GATGTCGCATGCTACTGTCACGGCTTCCGGCGCTCAAATGAAGAAGAATGATTTGAAAAGAAGGTCTACGATGAGGGAGGAGCTACTGGGTCACATGGTCCAATGGTCAACTGGAAAGAGAGTGCATATCTTGCTCTGCTGAACAGAAGATATTTTTGAATGTGAAATGCCTGTAGAAATCAGTTCTCCCAATGAAAATGTTTTTCGAATAATTTTTCAGCAAAATGAAAGTGTGATTTGCCAACAATGGTTAGGACAAGACTTCTTGTTTCCTTTTTTTCTAAATTGCCTCATGTAAACAAATGTGTTGTTTCAAACAGAATTGAGTGAGAGATTTAGCTCATCAATTTCGCTGCAAGGAAATGAAATTCGAGTCTGGTTTCTAGACATCTTAAGACACCCTCCACTGGAACAATGGTGAATATGATTTTAAATCAAAAGAAACCATTTTGTTTTCCAAAATAATATTACAAGCAAACTGAGGGTGAGCCATGGGAAGCCCTCAGTCCCATTCTGGCTGATATCTCCATGCATTATTTAATCAAATTGTGTGAAACTTTAAACTTCCTGGTGTGGTTTCCGTACGTAGACGATACTTTGTACCTGTTTGAAGGTATAAGATGATTTAATAAAGTTCTTCAACAATAATTCTATTGATTCTGCTTCAGTTCACTTTTGAACTTGAGACTTGCATTCTCTTTCCGTCTAACATTCTGATCACACGTAACCATCCAACTTCAGTACTACGGTTTACCGTGCTTCATCGGTTTTCTTCCACCACACTTTAAATCATATAATACGACTAAAACAAAGTTAGCTTCATTATTCTATGTTTTCGTGTCTTCAAGTTTGCTCTCCAAACTAGCCCTTGATGAAGAACTAAGTATTTGAAAGCAATAGCTATTGACAGGGGCTTTCCACCCAACATTATTAATCAAGCATTAAAAAATTCCATCTCAACCACTAAAAGGCACACTCTTGTTTAGGTGATTATAAAAATTTGTTGTCATTTCCTTCTTTCCATCATTAGCTATAAAGTTGCACATGTTTTGCAGAAATTTAACTTTCGGGTTGTTTATTCTCCCATCAATAAAATTCCGAGTTCCATAATCAAGGACCCCATTCCGGATATAATGAATTCCTGGGTATTTACAGATCCTTGCCAGTGTGGTTTAATTTACATTGGCCAAACTAAGAGAGCCTTAAAATTTCGCGTCAGGAACATGAGGCATATGTTAGAAAAAAAGAAACACAGAAGTCTTCTGTTGCTCAACATTGTTGGTCCGAAAACCACACTTCAGTTTTTCTGCTGCCAAAATTATTCAAAAAACATCTTCCATTGGAGAACTGGTTTTCTAGAGGCATTTCACATTCATAAAAATCTTTCTGTTCTAGTTAACGATCCTAATTCCAATCCAAATTTGCCTTCGGCCTTTAAAGAAATTATGTTTTAGTTCTGGTTTCACCAGCAGATGGCGCCACTTGCTTTTCTTGTCCAGGCTTTCTTATCTTATCTAATCATTTTTCCTATCTTGTTCATTTGCGGTTTTGCAGTGAAGATGGTGGTTCGGTAGACCATCGACTGTCCTGTGAAAATTTTGTAAATATAACGCTGATTTTTGTTGTTTGACTTCTGAATTAGTATGTAACACTATCTCTTCGCTTAGGATAAATTATAGTCTTGCAAAACAAACCTCCCTTTTTCATACAAATTTTCTGATTATACTGCTTTTTGACAGACATGGGGCCAGCAGATCTTTGTGAATTTATTGATGTGGCTCTAAAGCGAGAAGGGTTGAAGACCCCTAGTTTAGAGCATAAGTTATAGAAAAATATGTGTTTTTGCCTGCTGTTTTTCTTTCTTTCTCTTCAGAAAACTGTTTATATATTTTCTTTAATTTATTGTTTTTGTAATTTATCTCTCAAAATTGTTCATTTTAATTCTTTTTCATTCTTAACCTTTAACTGCTGTGAGTGGTCTTTCAGACCGCACATTTTCCATTAAATGCTTTCACCCTTTAGAATAATTAATAGGTATTGCCATTCTTAGTACCTTCCTAAACCAGTTGTCCTAGGTCACATACCAAGTTGCATTTGGCTAGCTCTATTTCTTCTTTTCTTTTTTTTTAATAATTAATTAATAGGTATTGCCATTCTTAGTACCTTCCTAAACCAGTTGTCCAAGGTCACATACCAAGTTGCATTTGGCTAGCTCTATTTCTTCTTTTCTTTTCTTTTCTTTTTTTTTATTTTCCCCCCTCAGGGTCTGTGGCACCGATCATAGCAGATACGATTCAGGCCGATAAGGTTCATTTTTCGTTGTTGTTACATATTTCGCTTTTTTATAAATATTCTTGACATGGCTTCAAATGTGTGCAGGAAACATTCTATATATCTTACCCAAGACCAAATTTAATAAATAGCTTGAAATTGGTCTAATTTAGAGTTCTCTGATGAAAGTTCCCATAGTGAAATTATTGAGAGCGACCATGACACAAATTCAGAAATATCTGCTGATGAAAATGAAAATCCATGTTCTTCTTCTACAAGAGATTTTTTTATTGGAAATAATGAGTTCAAATGGTCTATTCAAGAGCCCAACAAGGGTGTTCGAACTCGTAGTCACAATATTATTCTTCGTTCAATCTATTCAACTGCTCGTAGAACCCGATGTTGGCCTATGGCAATATTCTTCAGAAACTTGGATATCTGTGCAGTAAATGCATTCGTATTATTTCAATCTTATCCCATTGGCTCTGAAAATGAAACAAAAAGATTTCATTAGCAATTCAGCTGGTGCAGTCTCATGTAAAACGGAGGATAACTTCATCATTTTTACCTAAAGAACTCAAACTCACAATATGAAGAGTTTTCAGAATAAATGATGATGAAGGAAACATTGTGACCAAAGACGATAAATTAGATAAAAAAAAAAAAAAAAAAAGGAATGTGCTATATTTGTCCATTGAGCAAAAAAAGGGAAACAGCTTACAAATGTATAGCATGCAAAGAACCAGTGTGTCTACAATGCAGTAGAAAAATATGTATAAAATGTAGCTCGAATTATAATTTTTAAATGAAAATTAATTTTCTATATTTTTATTAAAGCATTCTTATTGCAAATTTTAATGTAAAATAAAAAAGTTGAATTTTAAAATTTACTTCTTCCAGCCAGATACGTAAGCGAAGGAATTATTATCATAGATATATTTTATTTAATGAACTAATTAAGTATAAAATTGCTTTATATCTTCATGAAAAAGTTAAATATATGAAATTAAATAACATTATTCAAATAAGAAAAATAAACACTATCTTATTTTGTTTTTAGCAGAAGTGGTCTGAGAGACCACTCACAGTAGTTATGCGACAATTTTAGTCACAGTAGTTAAAAGTTAAGATAAGAGATAAATTTTACCAGTACTTCTAGTAAATTCTGTAACTATAATAGCTAATATTACATGCTATTTATTTATATTTTATGAATCATCTATCACTTTTCAAGATGGTTTTCATGAGAGACTCTTAACGTATTATTTGTTTTCTAAAGCCATTATTAAACTCTTTTATATGTACACATATACACATATATGCATATACACATGTATGCACATACATACAAACACATATTCGTACATTTCTGAATGCAGTCCCGATAACAGAACAATACCATATAATGTTAGTCATGCAGCTGTTCGATGAATATTCACTGCATACATAACATTCCTTGAATATATGATGCTGATAGGATTTGCTCATGCTTTCAAATTTTGTGCATAATAGAAGGCATATTCATAAAACTGATCTTTTGATTGATGTCTGATAATTAATAAATTTTAACTGTAACTAATAACTGGCAAGCATAATCTAAGTCTTAGAACACTAACGTTTTTTTCTTTGCAAAATGCAGCCTCCTTTTCCACATTCAGCATTTTTCTCCTTTATTATTCAGTAATTTTATTATCATATGATTTACACTTCTTTCACATATATTTAAAAATTTACTCTTTGGTAAATATTTTACTATTGGTAAAAATTTACTCTACGGTACCCCTTGGCAAAATGTTTCTTTTTTGACACCAAGATCGGCACCAATTTCAAGATGGCCACTACACAAAACCAAAATAAGAAGTTAAGGGCTTATACAAACTCGGTGTCCATGTACACATCAACCTATTTTCATTAAAAAAAATATCAGAGAATTGCACAAACTAAGCACTACGCTCTGCCTTAACTTTGTACACATTGACCTTTTTTAATTCAAAAAAACATCAGAGAATTACACAAACTAGGCATTGTGCTCTGCCTTAACTTTGTCCATATACACATCGATCTATTTTCACTTAAACAAAATCAGGAAGCTAAAACAAAGTTAAAACTATTCACGGTAACCAGAAAAAATTCTCCGCTGTCTTAACACACAGAGATGAACAAATAACCAAAAATACACAAACAGAGAGGAATAAATAACCAAAAATTCATATTTCCTTACATAAAAACATTAAACGACATATCTTTTAACAAAAATTAACACACAGAGATGAATAAATAAATTAAACGCCAATTTTTGACATACCTTTTTTTCACATGCGTACGTTTAGGCTTTCCCACAACCATTTCCTCCATCCTCCAGGTAAGCAATTCAATTTTTCGTCGTTTCGGTTCATTCGCTGTTCATCAACATTCATCCTCTTATCCACCTCAGACATACTCAAATGATGGTACCCACAGCAAAATAATAGCAAGTTTAAAATCCAAGACCATGCCATGCACATGCAAGCACATCAACTAAGAACCCCAAACAGGGTCCATACAAAAGGGTTATTATTGCAAAAATGTTCAGCGTGCTTCCAGATTTCACCAACAACCAATACCGCTTGGCGATTTTTTTCAGAAAAAAAGCAAAGGGGTTACCATACAGTAAAGATTGGCCATTGCATTTATTTATTATTACATTTATATAATTAAATATTATTAATGATATGTTTTTCATATGAAAGGTGGGATGCATACAAAATCTTTTGACTGAAATGCTTTGGAGTCCAAGTGAGGTGCTTTCATTTCTTAAAGATGACTCGGAAATTCAGGCTACAGATATTCATAAAGTCCAAAACAAGTTAAGTCCCACAGCAGCATTTGGTGCTTTTCAGACATGGCCAAGTCCAAAGGAAGACTTTATTCTTATTGCTGAGAATTCCGAGATTCATGGGCCTAATCCTTTGGTATGTTTGTTTATTATTTTGCTGTTATTTCAATTATAAGGCATGTACAAAGCTAACATACAGTGACTCACAGTTTTATTTCATGCACTTAATGAATATTTTCATTTCTGATAAACAAAACTACATGTAGCATTTAAACTAAATATTATGACATTTTTGCTTCAAAAAACAGAGAATTCACTTAAATAACTCTGTTCTTTTTAGTAACTAAGGAAATGTCAATATTTGTTGCACAACCATTTATTATTTCTTTTAAACATTGTGATACAGATTGCTCTGTTTTTAATTGTGTCTGAAGATATTTTGTCCCTATTCTTGTTTCAAAACATGTTTCAAATTATGTTTGTTATTTTATATTAATGCACAATCTTTCTTAGCACAGACCATAGATTTTCAATAACACTGATGTCTAGTGATTGGGAAAGGGAATGTAGTTGCTGTTTACAGTGATAAGATGCTGCATTTTCCATATTATGTACCATATATTTGAGATCAGTATCTTGATGAAATATGAAATTTTGATGCAAGTTTAAATGGCATTTTTCTTTTGATTCTTTTTCAGTATTTCTAAATGCATCATGTGCTTCACAATACCATCAATGAAAAGAAGCTTCCCAATTCAAGCTTGCAGTCATATAATGGATCCTAAGAAGGACTAAGAGCAGTATTTAGCTTTCTTCAAGCAGTGTGTTGACCGTCAATACAAAATATATTAAATTTTGTTTCATGGTTGAAAATGACTCTTCTCCAGAAATTTTATGTCAATAATTAATTGGTTTAGTAAATTTTAAATGCTTTCGTTGATTCTGCAGATTTGTGATTTCTCTCTTGTTACTGTACTGTTATAACCACTTTTTCTGGATACATTTAAAATGGTTTGGGTACAAATACACCTACTGATGGTAGCAGAGGTCTTTACAGCAAGTTTAGCCACACGTATTTTGGGATTCAACTTGATTTCTTTCAGTACTTTTGTTTGTCTTCCTCTTCCACTTTTACTTTAGACTAGTTTCTCTCTTTTTACTTTTTATTTATTTTCTAAACACGCATGTGACTTAATCCTGTAATTTTAGCGATTTCACGATAAGATTTACTATTACATCGTCGAGGTTAAGTATCATCGAGCCAGATACATTGCATCTTAATGCAGTATTTCGGCAATAAACATAATGAATGAATGAATTTACCATTCTTTATTAACCTTAGATGAACTTTCTTACATCAATGCTAGTTTCTTTTCATATTACCTTCTAAAATCACAATTAAAGTGTAACAAATAAATTATGTCGAGAAATAAACAATAGCTGTCCACAATAATAGTAAAAATTTACTGTTTAATTTGCTGCTTTAAAAGAATTGTCGTAGTTAAACACTTTTTTTTTTTTTTCCAGAAATGTATTCCTGATTTTTTATGGTTAGATCTTAAATTATAATTAATATAATGAATGAATATTATGAATATATTTTAAATATAATATTTTTTGCTTTTATGTGTATGGGCAATTTTGCATTTTTATGCATAATCATAAAATGTTACATGTTTTATGGTATTTATATAAAATTTACCAAATTAAGTACGCATTTATGTAGAAAAGAAAGTATATTCTCAATTTCTGGAATCACTATAGTTGAACCTTAGTAGTTATTCAAGAGAGGAATACTTTTATTCATTACCAAAGAATGTCCACTAATCTTCCAAAGTTTGGAGATAGGAAGTCTATTGATGTGAAGTGTCTGTTAATAAAGGTTTGACTGCAATTGAGAAAATTATACTGTTACATTTTTGTCCTCACATTAAAGGTTCGTGGATTTGGAGTGAATAACGACGACACTTGATGAAGTATCTAAACACAATTTATTAGCCAGTATTATTTAAGACAGCTCCAAAAACATGTTTACAGTCATCAAAAGGGCAAACACACTGAAACAATCAGTAACACAGCTTTCAAGCTATAACGGTGAAGCCAGCTTGACGTCAAAGCACCAGAGTATAGCTTTCGACTCGGTTTAGCCGTTCTCGGAACTCTACGCACTCTCAAGACTCTCCACGCTACAGCTTGCGAAGCACTAGATGAAGCACTTGATAGCCTCAATGAAGCACACTCTCGATGCACCAAGTCGCGACACAGCCGACAACTAACTCGAGGCTAGACTGACGATCAACTCGTTGGATGAGATACTGACCAACTCTCTGTGTACCAGCAGGTTTTATATAGCTTTTGGCTTGTGTTTGAGAACATTCTGGGTTAATAAACCATTAAGCATTTGTTCCAGAAGGTTGTCCATCCATTCTATGGCACATCACCAATTTTGTCGCAAATGTGGCAACCCTTAACCTGCTTTGTGGGGAAGCTATCTTACAGCGTCTGGACATTTCGTAACAATGCTAATGGCATTAGTAACATTTTAACAAGTTGAACACATTTTCATTAATTATACAGCAGTTTAACTTCATGTTTCTTACAAAAATTAAATAGTATTAAATATTAATATATAATTCTGTAAAAAAAATTTGGTACAATAATAAAATTTAAAAAAAAAATGTTTTATTTTTCAGTTTACTATTCCTCAACAACAGTTTTCTGAAAAAGATCTAAATGCTCTTGCCACTCAGATTTTATCAGCAGATTATCAAGGATTAAGCAAGTAAATTATTTTTATTAATTTACGTTTTTTGTATCCATGTTTTCAATTAGGTTATATTTTTCTCAAATACGTAACTTTGGCTCTTGGTAACAAATCAGTTAATTTAAAAAATGAAAACAATAAATACTCATCATTTGATAACCAAGTTTTTGAATATGACTGCAATAATTTCTGAAATTACCAGTGGATACTTATTTCCAAAATTAATTTGATACAGATGATTTCTTTAATAAAGTGATCTTCTTATTAAGTTATAGAAAAGATTTCTACTCAAGAATTATGTGTTTTGAGGCATTTTGTTTTTGAAAAAAATGCTTCTGTCATAAAGGCAGTTTTCTCATTGACAAACTAGCTAAACAGTAAAGGTGCACATCTGGAAGAAATCTATTTTCTACTTCATAGAGAATTCTGATATAGCCCTCTTTACTTCAGCATCCAGCTATAATTATTATTTGGTACTTTCTGATTATCCCATACCCTTTCTTGAGAAGCTCTTGGTGACTAATATTGTTGCAAACTAAGATCTGAAAGACGGTAGCCATTTTCTACATAAATATTTTATTTAGCATGATTCAGTATGCTCCTAGTAATATCAAGTTGACTTGACAGTTTTCTGTTTTCTTTAGATGTTTCTTTAGATTCTGACTTATTGAATCTTGTTTAGAAAATATTTCGTTAAATGCAAGATCTGGAAAATCCAGCAGTCTTCTTCCTCTCCTGACATGTCTTGCTCTAATTTCTGAGTGTTATCTAATTAAAGATATTGCTCAATAGCCCAAGATTTGAGAACTTAGTAATAAAAAATTCAATGGAGCATCTGAATGCTCCTACAACCCCAATGAGTTTTACTAAGCTATCTCATCTAAAAGTGGAGGCTCTTTAGGTTAATGTTTTTCAGTCCCAAGACAGCTAGACTCAAAGACAATTAAAAGTTAAGCTTTATGAAGCATCATTTCATGTTCTTAACTAAAGGTCAAATATTTTTTTATCACATCTATGTGCAAAGGATTGTTTATCTGTTCTTGTGTTTATTTGGTGCTACTTTGGTAGACGGTTGCACGGATTTTTGGCGATTTACGTTGGCGCAATTGTTGGCGAGATTTTTACAAACGTCAGCCATCTTGAAAAACGCTGTTTTTACACATAGTAAAGTATTTGAAACTTTAAAAAAAAATAAATATCGTCAAAAGTAACGGATTAATTTTTTGTTGAAAATGTCGTTTTTTAAGATGGCAGGCAAGTGTAATAAATACATTTACTATGATTAAAATACTAAAGTAAGGTTATTATTACTTTCATATAGCAAAGAAGAGATAAAAACACACGCTATAAAAACATTGGGCCAAGGTTTAATTAGATTAAAATATTACTGAATTGAATATCGAATTAAAAAACCATCATACCAACATTTAAAAGAATTAGAATAATATTAATTCAATACTTTAAAATACGTTATATAGAATATAATTCACATTAAAACAATGGACAATATTATCTCAGCAATTTCTAAAATAGTGTATTAATTTTTTTAAAAAAATTGAAGTATACAATTATAAAATAAAGAAAAATATGTACTTACATTTTTTTGAGTATTTAACCTGTTTTTATTGATAAGTACCACATAAAAAAATCAGAATCATAATTCAGATAACCTCCTTGAAGGAATTCGAATATATGAATTAAATTTAAAACGGCACGGAAATGCACAAATTGGTCAGTAACAATCAGGGAGCTGATTACAGCTTGTTATCACAAATATTCTATAACCATCAGAGAGCTTTCTCACATCTAGAATTAAAATTATTTAAAAATTCATACATAATAAAATCATTTTTAAAAAATGCAAATTAAATTGTATTTTAATATTTAACAGCCAAATAATGTTTAAACATTAGATAAAATTTAATATTAAACGATTACTTTTAAAGTAAGGTGACGTCATTGATTACATCATCACAAAATAAATTTCAAAAAGATAAACATATAATTTTTATTTCAATAAATGCAAAATTATTGATTTTTAATATTTAAAACCATTAAAATTTTAATTTATGCACATAAAACGCATTTTTTTAAAATAAATGAAACAAAGTATGGTTACCATAATAACTTATCCAGCAATGGGTTTACCATAAGTTGTATTACTCGCCAAAGGAAAATCGCCAAAATCCATGCAACCGTCTACCAAAGTAGCACCGTTTATTTGTGCATAGAATTATTTTCAAAACAAAAGTAACAGTTTATGCTTTTTATCTTTTAATGTTTCTGATTACTGGAAACTAAATTTATGTATAATAAAATTTTATAATTTTTGTATGAGCATAATAGTAATTAACATTAAAATGTTTCAGTAACAAGATATTACCTGGAAAAAATGCTCAGTTGTTGATGCCGGATTTAGCTTCTGATGTTCATGCAGCTGTAAGTATTTAGTAAAGACTTGAAGAAAGTGATATGCTGTAATTTTATAGCACTATTATGTGCCTGCATTTTAAATTTATTCTATTAATTAAGAATTTGGCATTATATTTCAAAATAGAATTGTAGTCAGCTCTTAGTTTATTTATTGCAAATGATTTAAAAGTTGCCATTACAAACCATCAGTATAAAACAAAACTGTCTGAAAAGAAGAATATAAAAAGGAGAAGAAAGGCCTGGAATAGCTGTCATTAAAGCAGATGAGGTCACAATATTTGGGAGTTGTTTTTATCCATAACTATGTATAATCTGACTTTATGTAATCTGGAATATATAACAATTGTTAAATCAATCCTTAAAAATAAATTTCTCCATTGTAAATGTAAATCAATTGTCCAACCATTTACCTTCTCTACTGTCTCTTACAATTTAATTTCTTCATTCCTAAATGATTTATTGTTCTGTTATTTATACATTGCTCAAAACAGTTAGGGGATATTGTGATTTTGGATATAAACTGTGGATAGGAAATATTTTGGTGGCTGTTATATGGTGTATAGGTGTTGTAAGATATGAGAAAAAGAAGCAATGGACAAGGAATAATTAAATTTCATTTATGATATTTGCATGTTATCAAAAAGTGCACATTTTGTGCATATTATACAAACAAACAAAAAATGTGATTTCTCAGATACAAATGAGTTTCAAGAAGGGGTATGATTTCGCCTGACCTAAAGCAATAACACAAACCTACGAGGCATACAATCAATGAGGGACTGGGCTATTATGTCTTACTTCTATAGAAGAGCTTTTCAACTGTTGAATTGTTTCTGGGGATGATAAGTGACTAGCAACCCTTCTTCCTAGAGTATCCTAAACATGTTCTTTTGGGCTCACATATGAGTAACATGCTGGTCAATCCATTTGAAGAATTCCTTCATTGAAAAGGAAATTGTCCACTAGCTGTGCATGATGTTTAATGGCATTATCATCCATGAGAATTAGGACTACAACAGGTCTGAGTATCTCATACCTATATCACTGAGATATTAGTGCTTCATTCTTGATAATGTGCAGGTCAATGTGGCCTTTGGTAGAAAAAAACCAGCCTATACCATCACTTTGTCTCTGCCAAACTGGACACTTTCATGTATAAATGCAGGAATATTCTGGGTACGAGGTTCCGGAAAGGTCACTTATTGGCCGGCCTTGTGGTCTGGCGAGTCCTAGAGCGATGTAGCTTTAGTAGTGCCTCCTCCCGGGTTCGCTGAGTAATGTCCCACTGTGACGGGCAGCCCGAGCAATTGGCAGGTAGCAGATTGACAACCAGTGTCACTTTGAGTGACGCATCCTTCCCTCCGAGTTTCGCGTCTGGTTCTAAGGGGTGAAAGAACTCATTATGCTGTTCAGTCTCACGGTGTGAGGAAGCCCTATGTGTCTGTCTATATACAAGGTTCTCTCGAGATGAGAATCTGCCTATTGTCAGGAATCAGGACTCATCTGTGAAAGGCACTTTTGCTCCACCCATCTCGTCCCCATCTGAGATGCTGCTGTGCCTACCTTTTGCAAGTAGCACGATGGTCCTGTGTTAAGGAAACACAAAACATACGTCTGCAAGCATACAAACCCGCATGGTAGAGTTGGTTTCAAATAGTTTGAGTTGAAACTCTGGCACCAGTAGCTCTTTCAAGGTGCTGTTGCAAGAAGTGGCATTCATAGTGCAGATTCTTCTGGCTGTTAATGTTGAATACTGATCCTCATTTTGTGATCTCAAATGACTTTGTCCTAATCATCGGAGAACATGTCCTATTTCCAAAAACCGATTCAATAGTCTGGAAGTGACACTTTGAGAAACTCCTAACGCTTCTGCTACAATGGATTGTGTTTGACCCACTTCTAAATGACTGATGGCCCTTCTGGCTACCGATTCAGCTGTATCATGGTGTTGATTCAGTTATGTCATCATCATATTCACCCTTACAAAACATTCAATGCGTGTCAGTTGTTTTCAGCATCTTCATATAGTAGGAATGCTGCAGGTCACTTTTCACTCCTTATCTAAAATGGGAAGTTTTCAGTGTCACAGACAATATTTGCATATTCCCAATTTTGTAAATGTTATAATTTTCCTTTGTAACCTCATATTTCACTTTTGTTAAAAAAGATGTGGATTATATGGTTATTTTGTACTGAACTCGCAACATCCCCTAATTGTTTTGAGCAGTGTAGTTTGTTGTTTCTGATTTGAATATTGAATTAATTTGTATAAGCAAATGAACTTGTTTTTCAGATTAAATTTCTTGAAAATAAATGTAAATTGTTTATAATATTTTTTCTGTTAGTTAAAGTGCGAGTTATTTCTCTTTCTTCCTTTTTTTTTAACTGCCCTGGGAATAATCATGAATATATCATGTATTACCCTGACACTCACATTTAATTCTGAGTATTGTATCCTGTATTACTGTGTAAGTCAGGAGTTTGACTGTGTTATTTTTTAATTTAGACTCCGTGACTTAAAAAGCGACATACCAAGAAGGAGTTATTTGAATGGAGCAAAAATTGGTGAAGATGTGATGTACATGTATAGAAAACGAAATTTAACAGTATCACAAGAATTAAATGTTTTATTCAGAAAGTATAGCTACAAGAGGGGGAAAAATCAATAATGTGTTAACTTTTTAAAGCTGGTGGTACAACTGTTGTACCGCAAAATTTACTTGCTTTTAAGCCAGCTATGGTACAGTTGTTGTACCAGCCTTTCTGTCCCTCTTTTAGAGTAACCGTTTATCTTTAGAATCTCTAGGTGGTCCAGTTTCCTGTTCAGAGCAGCTCCTGGCTATGCATTGTGTTCCGTTTCTGATCTGGTTGGCTACATTTTGGCGAAGACGTCTCACACCAATGTACTTGAAAATAAAACAGATGCTATTTCTCTTTCAAACATTAGAGGTTTTTCTCGTGATTTCAATGTAACTTTTTCCCTCGCGCTCTTGTTCAGTTCTTATAATGGCACCTCGTTTCAAAGGTCTCAGTCAGGACAAAATTAATAAGTTGCTAAGAGATTTCAAATCTTAGAGTTGCGGCTAAATATAAGCGGGAAAAGAAAGCATGAAAGCGACTGGATGCCAGTTACATCTGATGAGCTTCAGATATTTTTTGGATTAGTGTTACTCATGGAACATATTGATAAAGACAGCATTCGAGATTACTGGTCCATGGATAATTTAATTGACACACCAATTTTTCACATAATGTTTCACACATAAGAGGATACTTTATGAAAAATTTGTTGTAAACAATTTTCTTAATTTTGTTTTGAAAATATTCCTGGCTAATCATTTTGATCACTGAAAGAAATACAAAAAAAAATATTTCCTACACTGTAAATGTCACCAGTAAGTACCCTTATTATTTTGAAGGTATGAAAGATTAATCTTTTTAAAATAAATTAGAAAATTTATTATTTAGAACATATGTACGTATATCCATTTAATTTAAAATCAAGGAAAAATCAAACTTATAATGATGGTTTTGAACGAAATTAGCCTACGAATCAAAATTTACGTAGAATTCTTTATAAACATTTAAAACTTCTAAAAAGTATTTTTGATAAATCTATATTTTCTAAAATTTAAATCATAGATTAAAATTCTCTTCAGCAGATATTAAAAAGAAGCCTCAAAGCTCTCTCTATGGACACCACACAAATGAAAAGATTTAAGAAATTACCTTATCAGACTTCACTTCACACTGCAGGTATAAAATGAATTGATTATATGGGTATTTGGAGAATTTTTTTTCCTGCGAACATAAGCAGTATCCGATTTTATAAAAAAAATTCTCTCTACAGATATACCATCTTTGCCCCCATAATCCAAAGTAATATTTGTTAAAGTTAAATAATCAAACAACTAATATATCTCTGATTTTCTTTTTTATATTACAATAACAAAATTGTGAAAAAAGAAACAGATTTAAAGTTTTATTATTGTTTTAAGTTTATTTCAAAATCTAACAGTAATGAATCATATTCTAATCATCTAATAGTAATGAATATTATTATGAATTCTGTATCATTATTTCATTAAAGTATTCATTACTATTATTTTATCAATGAAAATAGATTATCAAATATTGCATTCTGACCTACAGGCACATAAAGCTACTTCATATTTGTTATATTTTGCCAAATTCTGTTCTTGTTTCCTAATTTCTAGTAGAAACAAAGACACAAAATTCACAAATTATTACCAAGATTGATCAGAAATAATAAATGTTATAGAGTTTAAATTAAATCAAAATAAACCTTGAAAAAGTCGCAAATATAGTAACCTATTTTAGACTATTGTCTAGAGTCCGACAAACATGTAAATTTTACTTCATCAATGGAGGGGACAAATGACCAACCTAATGACTTTTCTCATTAAGGAACAGTAAAGGAGGGGGGAAAAGTGTTTTGAATCACGCCATCCTAAAGGTTATATTATGAGAATTTAAGCCTGGGTTCGAAGGTTAATGTGTTGGGCCATTTTTGGCCCTGGTTCAAGGTGTTTCTGGCAGGATAGACTCATCTGTTGAGGAGAGATTTGCTGATCCTGGCCACCTGGACAGTGTTGGCAGAGCTCAAAGACAAGCAGTAGAAAGGTATGCTTTGTGGAGCCAGGCATTATCCTGTTGAAATGTAAGCCCAGAGGTTCATGAAAGGAAGGGCTACACTATAGGAAGTAGAATCTTGTTGATGTACTGCTGTGTTGTAATGGTGTTACGGATGACAACCATAGGATCTGCTGTCAAATGAAAGGGCACCCTATACCATAACTAATTTGTCAGCTTGGGAGGTGGACAACAGTCAAATGAGTATCTCATCTCTATCCTGGATGTGTCCAGGCATTTTTGCTGGTCATCAGGGCTCATTTCAAAGTGGGATTCAGCTCTTAAACAAATTCTACTCTAGTCAGTGAAATCCCAGGTCTAACGCATGCAGTACTAATGTAAACAAGCCTGGGGGTGTGCTGTAGTAAAAGATAGTCTCTGCTGTGGTCTCCATGACCTCAGTCCCCATCTGCTGAGTTGTCTATCAGTGGTCATTGCAGTCACTGGTGTCCTGGTGGTTGTCCTGGTTATTGTTGATAAGGATGCATTGGGGGCTGTGAGTGCTGGATGTAGTATCATGCTGCCCTCACATTCTCTCATCACCCTTATTCGACCACTGCCTTCTTGACACTTTACACAGCCATGCTTCAGCAGTTCTTGCCAACATTGTCGAATGATAGCATCACTTCGACCCAAATGTCTTATGATCCTATGCTTCCTTTAGTGATCACCATGCTTCCTTTAATCCAGCTGCATATTCTTTTTCTCAAATGGTGATATCTGCCTATTATGTTCATAAACCTGTCTCTGACGCATTGGTACAGTTCATGTGGATCAACAGAACCACATTTGCATAAAAGTTATGCCTTAACATTGGAATATCTCTGTTTTATATGTCTTCAGGATGCTCTATTGCAGTGTGCTGAAGATCCAGCTAATCAGTCATTATCCTCCAAAAGTTAATCATTTACATATGAGCATACATTATTTCACCCCATTTGGTTAACACCTTCTTGGCGTGTAGGCCCACCAGTGGCCGAGCGGTAAAGTCGCTGAACACTGGTAGTTCGGTCCGAGGTTTGAATCCCGCGAATGGGCTGGCTGCATGGGCGTTTTCGTGGTTTTCCCCATGTGTAACGTGTATATGAGCCAGTTTCCCTTAGAAAGTCCTCCATGAAAAGGCATCCCTCCCCTTAGGCAGATAGCCTAGCACTCGTGTGCTTTGCCATAATTAAATACACCAACACACACCAACTTCTTGGCGTGTAGCTTTTTATTTTATAAAATGTATTGCAATTGCTCATTTTGCTACTAACAGGCAGATTTTAAGTGATTGTTATTTCCCAACTTCAGTTTACGTAAAAAGTTAGAAAAATAATATCTAAAAAAAGGTTTTTACAATAATAATAATAATTGCTGGCATGTAAATTATCCATGCACAAAATTGTTCATATGAAAAAATGCTAACATAAATGATATTCATGCAGAAAATTATGCATATTTCAAAAATTCTTACATTTATATTTTTATGAAATAAAGCATGCTTGCAATGTGCAGTTCAAATAAGTAGAATATTTAGTGATGTAAAGAATTATAATACACAAAACATCTGAATAAGGTTGTGTGCTGAATTTAGGTATCCTGTGCAGATGTCTGAAATGTTTAACTGAATATACAAGTTTTAAATTATTTCTTGTATCCTTGACTTTATATGCGTTTCTTTATGAAACCTGTTATGTTTAAAAATTAAGATTATCATGAAGTTGAAAGCTTAGCTATTGAAGTATGTTAAAAATTTAAGGAGCTAAATTAATTATGTAAATTTGAAAGGATTTAAGGGCAGTACCATACTTGGTTGCCAAATGTTGCCAGGTTGGTTCAGAGAGTATTTCTGCATTTAACTCTATTTATGCATCAGTAATCATTTTTGCATATTTTTGCTGCAAAAACCATTTCTCTAGACTTAATAATATCCTTCATCTTGTTATTTCTGTTGATGTGGCCAGAATGTAAAAATATGTAAAAAATATCAACTTATCTCTGATTTCATAATTGATCAGTTTAATTAGTCACATTATATAATAATTAGTATTTTCTAATTATTATATAATGTGTCAAATAAAACGTACACAGCTCTCACATCATACTAAAATGTATGATATTTTCCTCCAACTTTGTTATTTTCATTCGAAAATTATTTTTTTCTGTTTTGGGAAAATAAGGGGGGGAAAAGATTTGCATCTTATTAACCACCTGTCTGCCTGTTCAGACTTTGCCACCTTCTGTAAGCAAATTATACAAGCAAAGTACAGTCATTGAATCTAAGTTTAATTAGATCTTCTAAAACTCATTATTGCAAAATTTGAAGGCAAGAAAAATTTTTAGCACTAGAACTGCCTGGAAGTGGTATTAGTGAAGAAAAAATTAATATTCTAGAAGCTGGTGAAGTTTATTTACAGAAGCTGAAGTGCTTTTAGTAGCTTGTGATTAAACTCTGTTTTTATGGAACTTTGTTTAATGTTCCAAATTAAGAATAAGATAGCATTTGATAAGATGGAACCTTCTAAGATAAGTGCATGCAGCAAAGTTGCTCAATTAGATTTCATAAATTGTAGTTCATAAGTTGAAAATGCAAGTGTCTCAGTATAAAAGAAGCTCATGAGGAAAAGAAAAGAGGGGATGAATTGTAGGTTTCTGAAAGGGATAATAGAATAAAAAAAATGGGCATGAAAATCATATCTGTTGAAGCAAATAGCCCTTTAAACTGGAAAAATTTATTGGTGGAAAACAAGGCTGTTCTAATACATTTGCTTTTGCTGTTGTTAATGATGGTATAAACAACAGTAGTTCAGAATATGAAACAGACCAGAACACTCTAAGAGATATTTTAAAGAAGCAATCTTTTATTTGTGTGCACTATTGAATATAGTTCTTATATTCAATAGCAATTTTTCCCTCATACATGAGTGATACTTGGTCTTTGCTAACTAATAAATTTTCTTATGTCTGTCCATGATTCAGAAATTTTAAAATTTGTTCTGCTAAATTATGTCAAATTATTCTGTTCAGACATCTGCTAAACTTCCACCTAAGTGTAGCAAGCGTTTGAGCAGAATAATTTTATGAATTTTATGCATAAATTTGCAGTGTTGATGAAGAGTCACTTTAAATACTTTATTGAAGCAACTACCATGCCAAAAATATGGTCTGCTAGTTGCTGCAGTGTTCAGTTTTGTAGTATAACTTTCTTAAACAGTAATTCAGTTTTATTTATTTGAAATTTTATTTTCTGTACTATAAAAGTTTGTCAGAACAGACAATAAAATGTTTGAGTGGAGTTTTGAACATTTTCTCCATAAAAGGCAAGCTTTTATACTTGCTATCTAGTTGAAAAATATTCAGTTTTTGATTTATTTTCAATTTTAGTTCAAAAATCACTTTAAGTAAAAAAATGACTATGCATGTTGTAAAACTTTACAAAATATATACAAAATCACCTTAATTGAAACACATATATACCAAAATTACTTTAATAAAAAAACTGATTGTTTGGGAAGAGAGTTTATATTTCCCTAAAATAAATGAGTGTTTCAGGGTTATTAATGCAGAAATGAGGCAGACACTAAGTACAATCATTTTAGCATACAAGTTTGTATACAAAAACATTACTTATTATTAATTGTTTTTCATTATGATACCTTTTATTTTTGCAGATTACTCATCATAATTACAAGATTTAATAATAGGTATAATAATATATAGTGTTTGTGAAACACTCAAATTCATCAGGATCTTAATATAAATGATACTTACACTCGTACCTTTAAAAATATGCATAATTTCTTCTATAATATCAACAGTTTTCTATGCCTAAAAATTCTTAATTTATTGTATGACAATCCTACAATAAATCTCCCTTACTAAAGCAAAAAACATTTTTCATAATAAAGAATAGCAATAGTTTTATGCACTAAAATTTTCCTGCTATTTCATTATCTTGAATATTTACTGTAAAAAAAAAAATCTGACTATATCAGCACCATGTGCAATAGATTACATCACTCATGCCAGAATCAAATTGCATCATTTCTCAAGTTTTGCAAATTAAAAAAGAATGCAAGTTAATAGTACATTCATACTGAGGGCTTGTTTGAAAGAAAAAGGACTTCAACAGAAGCCATTTAGTTTTGTTCTGTGTAGTACTGCAGTATTTGGTTATTTAAAGTAATAAATGGTAAAGTGTTGCATTTATACCTCTCTGGTATTATTTTGTAGCTTAAGTCTGATATTTTAGTATTTTACTAAAATGTTTACTTGCACGAGGTTACTATTAGTTTAAAACTGTGAGTTATTTCATTGCACAAAATGTGTAATTTTTCTTCATGCCTTGCAGTATTATTGTGTGCTTTATTTTTTGCTTTATAAACATTTCTTTTATTTTTGCAGATTACTTATTTCTTTCTGTTTGATTCTGAAGCTCGAGGGTTTATACGACCAACATGTTTGGCTTATTTTACATCTGACAAATAGTAAGTTACTATATATATCATTTTGACTTTGTTCATTTTGTGATTTTTTTAATGTATATTTGTGTCCATGTAATAGATTTACATAGTGTTTTTCAATGGAAATCATTCCTAATTTTATTCTGTTTGTAGCAAGCTTATCAAGTCAGCTGAATCCATTTTGAAAAGACTGAGTGAAGTATGTTTCTATTTATCGTATGCATACAGGCATTTAAAAGTTATTGCTGTTTAAGAAGCTTTTTTCTCTGCTAAATTTAGCACCTTTTTTATGTTTTAATAAATTAAATAAAAAAAAAATAAAAAGAATATTTTTCATTTTGCTGTTAAAGTGTTAGTTTATTTTTAACATTTAATTAAATACTTTATTTGTGTACATTTTAGTGTTACAAAGGGCACTGAGAAAGTTTTGTAGTACAGCAGAACAGATTGTCATGGTTGGTTACAAGTTAGCTTTTAGATATGTCCCAATATGCATTTTAGCCTATCTTGTTATTGTTTCAATATCATTTGCATTTTAGCTATGTTTGTGAAAAGAAGTGTCGATGTTGCTGTAATTGAAAACTGAATACTGGGCAGTTTTTCACTGCAATCTTGCACGAGGTTTAAATGTTGATCGTTGTTTACAGGAAACGATTCCTGTACTTGAAGAGAATTGTCCTAGACAGCACCAACAGTTTGAAAGAGGAAATTTTGGCTTTAAAGATGCTCCAAGGCAGGGCAACCACTTCTGGTACTTTCATACTAGATCTAGAATTTTGTTTAAATTTTCAGTGCTGGAATTAATTAATTATCTGTTCTAGCATTTTTTTCCAAAACAACTTTTCCCCTTTTTTAATAATAACAAAAATAACATGAGAAATAGATTTATGAATTTGTACCTCATTTTGTATATAACAGAAGATGGTTTTAACAAACTAAGTAAGTTTTACTTTTAGCTACATTACATAATCCTTAAGGCACTGGTCTCAAACTGGTGATCCATGATTACATTGCAGTTATAAATTTATTACAAAGATAGTGTTGCAAAGTTTTCAAGATTTTAATTATTTGAAATCTAAGTTGAAATTATTTTCATTACCATTAAAAACTAATGTGAATAGTACACCAGGTCTATAAATGGAGCTAATTAATTACCATATAATATAAATATTTTTCAAAGATTTGAAGATTCAGATTTTTAACTTTTATCTGTGCTTATCAAAAAGTAAGTGCAGCCAATTGAGAATTTTTGTACTAATAATAATTATTTCATTTAGGAGTACATATATATTTGATAAGCTCTTTTTCACAGTTTTAATAAGAAAAGAATTCGATTGACCTATGAGTGTCTACATTCCCTAATGATGATAATTTCTAGTCCTTTTTCACCAGTGCACAAATATTATACAAGTAAATTTTGTACTTACATTCAAAATTTGTAACTATTTATATACAAGCATATCTATTATGTGTTGAAAAAAAAATTTTTGTAAATAAGAGAAAGAGGCTAGGTTGGCATTATTTTTTCTCACTTGGAAAGTTTTCATAATTTGTTTGTTTTTAATCTGAATTAAAGTTATTTAATGATTAAAGAAATGAATTGGTATTATCTGAAGTAAATGCTAATCTGAAATATTAATATTAAGCTGTCCGTATATGTGAATTACAAAATATAACCACCAAATGTCTTTCAGGTACCAAACTTTAGATTTCAGATAGGAAATAAATATAAATTTGAATTTTTTCCCTTTGATTTGTAACTAATATTGTTTATGTATGCTTTACTAAATATTTAGTAAGCAAAAATTTTTTATAGAGAATGTTCATTTTGCTAAAAAGAAAATTTTGGCCCATCAGTTATTTTTAGATCATGCATTTGGCCTGCATGCAATTTGAGACAACAATCTTAAGGTGCATTTTCTCTTAATGTTTACCCTCCAAGAAATAGTAAATCTAAATTTAGATTATTATTTTTAATTTAAAATCTGCTGTATTCATCTAATTTCATCAGTAGGAAGTGAACATAAATAGGAAATATTGTATGAAAACTTAATTTGTAGCAGTTCACATTGACTGAAATATAAATCCAGTGACAGTGCATACTTGTGTATAGACTAGACATAGTGTGTATTTAGGAATGCAAATGGAAACAAAATGAATTTAGATGAATATGAAGCCCTCCCCTTAAAAATAAAAGAAAGAAGAGGGAATCATTGAAGTGAAATACTTCCCGCTGTATACTGAGTTCTGTATCATGTTTTCAAATAAATTTATAAGGTGCTGTTAACAAAACTTAATTCTAAAGTGGGTAAATTAGGTTGTTTTCACTTTATGATGTCCTTTGCATTGAATATCTCATTAAGTAAAATAGCTATGAAGAATTTGATAGAGAATTATACTGACTGATAGCTGTAGAAATGCCCAAAAAAGTCATAAAATTCTGGGTTTTTTAAATAAATTTTTGAAATGAAATTTGCTGTAGAAGAGCAACTTCTTTTTTCCCCAACAACATTATTTAAAGCTGCATTGAACCTCCTTTTTACATCGGTAGCAACTAAGAGAATACTTCCAGCAATTAAATGAAAAAGAATAAGATAAGAAATCCACTTAAAACTTTCTTGAAGAGTGATAACAGATTTTAATATTTCTGAAGTAAATATTTATTTAACAAAATATTCTAAAAAAATTATAAAAAATTTCCTTGAAGAGTGGTAATGGATTTTACTATTTCTGATGAAAATATTTATTTAACAAAATATGCTAAAAAATTATAAATATTTTCCATTTTTTCTTCTGTGTGAGAATATATGTAATTAGTAACATATTGAATAAGTGAAATATCTATATTCAAATTGCATATGAAATAGGTAAAATATCTGTATTAAGTTTAAAAAAAAAAAAAAAAAAAAAAAAAAGAGCTTCATATGTAAATGATTATAATGAGAAGAATCAGGATAATTTTTTTTTAATATTTGTTGGGTATATCCTGAGTTATGATTTTTAGGTTGAGTTTATTTAATAATCAGAAGTCATACTGTCAAATGCTTTAAAGAAAATAAAACAAAAGCAAATATATATGTAGTAATATATATTTTTCAGATTTATGATCTTTTTCGTGTATTAGTCCGAAATGTTTTTACTAGGTGATCATTTTTCTCCAAGCTCAGATTAGCTCTCTTTGTCTGTGACTGAGAAATGCACTACTGCTGTATAAAAAGTGCATGGGACAGGTATATGGTATAACACTAGCTTTAGAGATGTCCTTGAGCATTAATCCACTAGCAGTTCATGCTATTCTGTAAGATCGCATTCAAGTTAGAAAGCTTTGTTCCATTGAACGCCATATAACTTTACTGATAATCAGATGACATATCATGTTTCGTACTGGTATGAAATATTCAAAAAAATTTTAAAAATAGGAGATTATCCTATGTGAACAGTAGTATGACTGATGATGAAATTTAGCTGTACCATTATAATGTCCCAACAAATGCTTAGGAAAAAGTTTGGGCATTGGAAGATAAGGAGACTCTTGTGGCTGTTTACAAATCCAAATTAATAAAAAATACTGTCATCATACTTTTAAGTGTGAGAGGACTCAAAAACTCAGAAGACAGTCAGAGGGAAGTGGTATGCTAAAGAAGTTGGCTGCCTAAAGTTGCTGAAGTTCTTTCTTCACCATGATAAGTTCCAATGCACCACTCCAAAAATTTTTCTAAGTATTTGACCAACACTGGAATAAATTTGTTCTAGAACTCTTTCTGTAATCCTGATTTCATTTCATATGTTTTCATGCCATTCTTACAGAGAATAAAGAACCAGCAGTTGAGTCGTTAAGTAAACATTGATAGTTTCACTTAAGTTAAATTTTAAATGGCTGCATGGGTTTGATTTTTCCCACATTTAACAAAAATATGAGCGAGTGTCTCTTAGAAAGTACCTAACAAAAGCATACTTCCCATTAAGTAGATAGCCCTAGCTTGCTTTGCCATAATCAAATAAACCAAATCAAAATCTGATAAAGAGCAACCTGAAAGGGAAGTCTTTTACAAGCAATGGTAACCTTCTAAGGGCTTAGGAAATGAGTGCACCCAAATAGTGAAACATCATAGGGTTTCTTTGAAGACTGGTGTTGAAGGAAGCAGAAATATATAATGCAGGCATGAACAAACAGCAGCTCTTAATTGCTACTCGCAAGGTACACAAACCTGTTTCATCCTTTAAATGTAACTTCAACTAAATTAACTCACTGTTACTTGCAATAAACAGTAATTTTATATTTGAAACACAGATGCATTTTGAAAAGGAATTATGCAACAACAAAATTCTTTATCAATTAGTAAATTTATTTTTATTGCATATAATATATAATTCATTTCAAGCTGTTCATCGTTCACTGATTGTCAGTATAACAAACAAACTGGCAAATATTTTCATTTCTGCAAATTATTATAATTGCCATCTTATTTTTAGAGTAGGTAATGGCTATTGGACAAGCACAAAATGCAAATGCAAAGCTCATTTAAAAAAACCATTCACTCTAATTGCTCCCCCCTTTTCAGGTTTTATTTTATTTTTATTTCATTCTCCTAGTAGTCCTTCTACGTTGTTGCTCTTTTTCTTATCACTTATGATCCAGTGTCTCAGAACATATACTGTTCCTTGTAGGATACTGCCTTTTTCAATCTCTGAATAGCTTGATTAATCATTGAAAAACTTCTCTTGAAGTGGCTGTTTCAAACTGGGAAAGTATTTGAGGTCTTATTATCTTGTGGGAAAGTAGGCAATGTGATGAATGAGGTAAAATTTCTCACTCATTCATAATTAGTAGATCTGCCTTATCTTTCCCGTATCCATCCTTAATTCAAGTCTGGTAATTTTTCTGCATTTTCCTTTAAAGTTTTGCAACTGCTCGTAATAATATGCTGCAGTTACATCTTTCCAACTGGAACTATGTGTTTTGTAATGATTGCTTAGTGAACCTGGGCAATTATTTACTTGAATTTTGATTGTAGATGTTAAAATGTTTGGAGTCCATGGTAAGAGACTTCTTCATTAGATTAATTAACTTTTTTCCCCCTGAATTCTATTTAAAAATTTCACATTATTTTTTTATTTTATTTATTATTATTATTTTTACATTTATAAATAAAAAAAAACTGTTATTAAAACTACACTTTTGATATTTTTAAGCATTTAGAAAACTATTTTATTGCAAATAAAATAATACTATTTTACCCAAAAGTTGTCTTTTCTTCCGATATGAATGCATAACAGTGAAGTTACATTTACGGTTGTGTAAGTAAAAAATACAAATAATTTAAAATTATGTTCAGTTACTATTACTACAGTTAAATTTATTTAGCCTTCCCCCTCAAAATTCTGATTTAGTGCAATATATCTTAAAAAAAGGTGAAAAGCACAGTTCAGATAAAATACAGAATCTCTTTTCTAATTCTTTTGCTGTTGTCATTTTTACTTCAGTGAACACACCTGGCATCATCTTGTGGGTCTTAGCTTTTTTTCTGTGAATAAAATCACATCTAAAAGTGTCTATGCTAGTGTTAGTGAAAGTGGTGTAAACATACAGGAAGATCTTTCCTTTACCTTCTAATGTTACATGCTTCTCAGTAAGTCAAAAGATAATTTCCAATCAAAACTGTAAATTCATATCTTTACTGCCATATTTTTTATTCTAGTATTGAAGTCATCTAGACAACTTCAACTACTCCCAGACTCATTTATAGACATTTCAGATTCTGATACTGAAACAGTCTGAATTTGCAAGAAATTAACTTCATACATTCTGAATCAGCCATTATTTTGTGGTAAAAAACAGTTTTAACTACTTCTACATTAGTAAAGTTATGAAATCAACAGTAAAATACACAGGAAAAATTAAGCGCTGAAAGATCAAATTTGTAGAGTGATGCAAATGCTCTTGAATGCAAGTGCTTGCTTTTGAACCAATCAGAATAAAACAAAATAGACTTTACAAACTATGACTTAGTGGACATCTGCTGCTATCTGTACCACTAATTGGATTTCAAAAATACTTAGATGTGTGTAAATTAGTAAAAGCAACAGAGAAATAAGATTCCCTGTATGCTATATAGGTCTGCATTTACAGGTAAGTACTGCATGTGCCTGTGCAATGTAAAGGTCTGAAAGCAGTGCTCATGCTGCTCTTGGACAAAACAAGCAAGTGTTTAAACTCTGATCCAGATTGTCTAATTCATATTTCTTCAGACTATATGAGGCGGAAGTCTCCTTTATTGTCAGAGCTTTACATCAAACAATAAGGAACCCATCATGCACAAACTTTTTCCCTTGTAAAGCTTTACTCAAAATGCTGATGGTATATTAATGCTGGTGATATTTTTTTGCATGCTGCTGAATGATCTTTTTCATTTCTGTTTCATTAAAAGTACTACAATCTTTGTTCATCTGTTGATAATTTTTATCTTTTTGGCCCATGGTTATTTTGTATCTTTGTTGTGTTCTATACAAAAGTGGACACCCAATAAAAAATTGTATTATGATCTACTGTATTATAACTACAAAATCAAATTTCAATTAATTTAAAAATTCAACATTTACAACTGAATACTTCAACTGGTAGGCATCTGGAATTATGTTCATCTTGCAGCAATTATATACCGTACCATGAGTTATTAGTAGCATCCAGTACCTATTTGTAGTAGGTTATCTATGTCCAAAATTATCAAGAAGAGTGGAGAGTTGGTTTTGGAAGCACTAATTACTTGAGAATTCTCACAGAGTTCTCTGGAAACCATACTGAAACACTGTGGCACTCGGGCCACCATGAGGTGATTTTAGTGAGTCAGCTCCTATTAAAATTGCAATAATCACATTCTGTTATTATTATTATTATAATTATTAATGCTTCTACTGAATGTTAAAAAACTAATCTTTTCAAAGTTTGAGTTAGAATGTTCAGTAGTTCCTTAAGATAGTATTCAAAAAATTCAAATGTATTCCTAAAAGTAAAGCATTAAGTTTCAAATTTTGAAAATCAAATCTTTTTGAAGATGCATGGGATCTGAAGATAACAAATGCATCATCTTTAGGAGGAAAAAAAATTCACTGATAATACAGTTTGCATCTAAAGAATTAAATCAAATATTGGTCTTCATGTTAATTGCATGGGTGAAACTAAATTATGATTTTTTAATCCAAATCCTAAAAATAGCTGATAATAAATAATTTTCCTTTTTGAATAACATACATATTTGAGCTCTTTCTCTTAAAATGTTGCATTCCTTGTCTTAGATAGATAGTCTTAGATAGATAGGTAGATAGTCTTTGTGTGCTTTGACATATTTAATCAAACATACCTTTCTTGAATAGCAGTATATCTGCAGCATGTTCAGTCTTATTTTCAGAGTCCAGAGGAGTTAAAAAACTGAAGAAAAATCATCAGTTCTATTTTTCAAATTAGCACTTTATTCTTAATTTAAATGTAAAGCATTTTATTATATTGCGCTTACAAACATAATTAATGATTCTTTGTTTCAGTTTCAAATTATTTTTGTTAAAATTAGTCAACAGTTGTAAAAGTGGGAAACAGGAAAGAAAAACAAAAGAAAATCCTAGGTTTTTATATCTGAAAGAAGAATGTTTAGTTGAACCATAGAATAGTTTTAAATCTGTATATCATAGTAATAAACTTTCCTGAATATCAGAATAGAGAAATAAAATTTGTCATTTATATTTAAATATGCATTTTTTAAAATGACGGAAATATGAAATTGTGACTCTCAGAAAATCTAATTATAGCTTTTAAAATTTCTTGAATCTCAATATGTGACTCTACATTCAAAATTTGGCCACTTTTGGTATAAAATGTGATCGAATTTTTTTTTTTTTTTTTTTTTTTTTTTTTTTTTTTAAGATTATAAAAATAAAGTTGTATTGTGAAATTTTCCTGTTGTTTATATAAATTTTAAATTGATTGATAAAATTAATAGATAGGCAGTTTAAAAAATAAAATATTTGATTTCAAGATATTTTTCTTTTATATTAATTTTTAGTGTAATATTCTGAAAAGATGATTTCGATGTTAAATCCTTTTAATCATCAGTTGCTCCCATAGTAAAATAAAAAGACAAATGCTTATAGAAATTAATAGTGAAAGATTTATAGTTATGTATGAATTCTAAATTAATAATTCAGAAACTAAATATTTCATTTTAATTTTTAAATTTTCAATTTAGTTGGTCTGTAAACATTCTTGATTTAAATTTTAAAGTAATTTTAATTTATTTTTTATTTATTTTTTATTCCTTTCCTCATCTTTCCCCCTAATTGATATTATGCTTTATTTATTCATTTATATGTTAATGTTATGACTTATTTATTCTGTAGGGTGTACTTTGTAGAAAATGGAAAGATAAGTTAATCAAAACAAAGAACATGAGGGGGAGGACTTTTTAATTAATAGGTTTTATAGAATGTACTTTAGATTTTAGCATAATTCATATTTTTATCAGTCATAATATTATTTCCTTTATACTAGGATGAAATGGAATTTAAGTACTTTCATATTATTAATACTTTATGATGTGTGATTACTTTATTTTATGATATATGATTTTTTTTAATACTTTCATTCTAGGCATCATCAATTTTACAACACAGTAACATTCAGCATTGCCTAGAAGATTTAAAGTCTTTAAAGGAAAATGTTAAACGCTCTGAGAAAAGTAATTGCTTTATTGTGGTTCAAGGATTAATATGTATTATGTATATTAAACAGTGTGTGGTATTTAATCATAATTAAGTGTTTTACTTTATTTTGTGAATTTCTACTAACAGGGTAGATTATATGGCATATTGTCTTATCATCTGGCACACATTACAAATGTTTGCTCAGACAAAGTTATGTAATTTTAAATCATGTGTAAGCAAGTAAAATAAGGGCAACTATTAACTGCAGTTCTTGCTGCTTTATTGCAGATGTTGCTGCTTGTAATTAATTATAACAAGGAATGTCCAGCTAAAACCTTTGAAACATTTGTATTATTAGTTGCTGAGAATGGGATATTTAATAATTATTAGTTGCTATTTAAGGTATTTGATGTCCATCCGAGTGGTAACTGAAACCTTTATGTTGCTGATTGAGAAAATTTAATCTAGTTCTCTTGCAGACACTCAAATTTTATTCTGTAAATTGCTGAAAAGCAGTAGTCACATTCGTGCAAAATTTAATGTCAAGAAGAAAAGATTTTTAGTCTCTGTATGTTGTCTTAAATTATATACTACAAGAGATGGTAAATATTTTTAATTTTTATTTTTAATATACTACAAGAGATTGTTAAATATTTTTTATTTTTATTTTTAAATTTTGTATTTCTAAAAATCATATTTTTTATTGACGGCAATATTTTGATAACACAGTAAACTCCTTAATAATTGAGGTAATACTGGAGGTGACATGCATGGCTAATTCAAAGTCATGGTTAATCTGAAGGCGGTTAAAAGGCTGGAAAAAGAAGAATAATGAAGATTATATTACAGAAAAATACTAAAGAATTTACTTGTATTTTTCAGGAGTTTAATATGGGAGATAGTTTCACTTATGTAAATTAAATCGATATTCAGAGCAAAAGAAGCATATAGTAGTAGATATTAGAAGAATGAATATCTTTAGACCTGAAGAAATTCAGTTATAAATGATTTTAAAGAACAATGTTTGAGGAGGGCAGGAACAATGTTTTTGAATTCAAATTCATTTAAAATATATAGCTAGGCCTTTTTTTTTCCCTTAGCCTAAAAGGGATCTTTGTTCCAAATGGGATATCAGTCTCGAACCAGTATTTTGCATTGAATCACTATAAACAGCATATCACTTTTCAAATTGCTGTCATCAAATATTATCACCCTGTGTTATATTTATAGAAATTAAATAACAAAGAATCTGTATGAATGTATGGATATCTATGCAATTTTGAATAACATGTCCTCCACCCGAACATGGGCACCTGGAAGCCTGAATTTGCTTTATTATCTATTTCATATTTTGTAAAACTTTAATGAATTTTTGATTACCAAATTTAACTATTTCAAAGCAAGCAGTGGCAACACTATATGATAAAGAATATTTTTATCTCCAGCACGTAAGATTGTCTATCAGAAATTCCAAAGGTATACTGTTGTAAAATATTTTGTGATTTTCCTTTTGAATTTATGTGTCGTAAGTACCGAGAACGTTATATTTAATAAATAAACACATAAAATGTTAATAATAAAAGGTTTTGTAAAGTCATTTTAGTAAGGAAACTGAACATTGGTATGACAAATTGAGAAAAGGCTGGGAGGGGGGGGGAATGTGTACCAACACTTAGCACTGCATTGGTAATTCTAAACATATGCTGCTGTGCTGCTTTTAAAATTCTTTCAGTTTTGCTGTTGAATTGTATATGATGTAAGTGTGAAGAAAATTATGCTTAATAATAAAGCTAAAAAGACAAAAAAAATACGATTAGTAGGAGTGAGTGAAACAGCAGACTGGTTAAATGTGAGCTCAGTGAGAGTGTAAAAAACCTTAGCAAACCCTTTTGGGGTACTGTTTCTTTTTTTTTATTGCTATTATTTAGTTTGGTTTTTTCAAGTTTTCCTTTTTTAAGATGGATGCTGTTATCTGGTAGTGTCATCTTATTACTTAATAAATTAATTTAATATTCCAAATAATTGAAAAGATAACAGTAAGCAAAATTATTTGAAATAATATCACTGATCACCACAAAAATACTTGAAAGTGAAACAATCAAAGCCCAAACTAATGTTCATAGATGGTGATTTTTATAAACGTTTGAAGGACTTCCAAGCCAGGGTTAAAGTGAAAGAAGTGAAGCCAATAGAAGATCACCTGCAAGTGGTACACATGCTATTTATTTTTCTTTACATTACTCTTGCATTTCCGTAGGAGTCAGCATGAATTGCAAGATTAATAACTGTGCACTGGAATTAATTTTTGTGACTGAGTAGTTTACTTTTACAGATGATTTTGCAGTGTGTATTTATTTTGGATTATGAGCAGTTTTTGCAGTGTGTATTTATTTTGGATTATGAGCAGTTAAGTCTCAAGTATTATAGCATCAATGTGTTATCACTGCTGTTATTCCAAGCATTCTTTTTGTATTCTTTGTAAACAGTTCTATTTTACTCTCATTGTAAGTGATAGTAATTCTTCTATGATTCCTTAATAAACAAATTTAACTTTTTTAAGATGGGGCTCAGTTTAACTGCTATGCAGTTAATTTGCCTCCAGTGAATCAGGAATCTACAGCATGAATCGGGAATTAAAATAGTTCATTGGCCATTATTTGAGGAGGAAAGCAAGAAAAGAGCTTTTAGAGAAAAATTAGACTAAGAACTGCAACACATAAATAAACTTATATTATCAATTATTTAAATTTTATGATATTAGTTAGCATTTATAGGCTGTACATTAACTTATTTTTAAGAATTATTTTATCATATTATAAAAGAGAATTGTTAAGACTAGTTATTTTGCCCTCTAAATAACTAGGATATTTTCTACAATTAGGTTAGAAATATATCTTAGACTTTTAATGTATCTACTATAATATTACTTTGCATTCCCAGTTATGTTTTAATGGTATTAAAACTGTACGGCTAAAGCAAAAATACAACAGTTTTCTAAAAATGTGCTTCTTAGTCAGGATGCAATTCAAATAAGATCTTGTTGATTTTTTTTAACATAAATGAAACAAATTAATTAACCATGCATGCAAGTTTTAATTTTTAAAATTTTTAGCATTTTTTTCAAAATTAAAATATTTTCCCAGCTTATTAAACCTGTAATTTTTAAAAATGTAAAAAATATTCTGCAGTTTCATCTTTATATTTTATCAGCCTGTCTATTTGAAATCTGTTCAATTTTCTAAACATTTTCTTAACTATCCTGCTTCTTTTGAGAAATTTCTATGCTTGTGGCTATAAATACCTTAAGGTTTGCATTTTGTCTGATAGTAAATACTGACCTCTTAAAAAAATTAACTACAAAATGGGTTTAACACTTAGAAGACTAGTGACTTGAAAATCGGCCAGATCTGCAGTATCTCAAAAAGACGGCTGTGGCCAAAATTTCGGCCAGAGAAATTCTTTCCCCCTGTCCTTCAGGGTGCAGAGATAGTAATTGTCCGAATAATTCCCCTGCCACTTGTGCGATCACCTATGCTCCTCCCATCTGTGGGGTTTCATAACTTTCAATTGTGTCAAATGATATCTGTTCTTCCTATATGTTCTTTGGTTGCGTTTTGCATGATTCCATTGCACCTGGGACTTGTCATATCAAATATATAAATTCGAAAATAACAATAAATAAATAAATAAAAAAGGAAAAGGAATTAAAAAATCTGAAAGGTTTCAGATTTTAAATCACGACCAAAGGGGAATTTTTTTTAACATAGTGTGTGTTACATTTATTTATTAAATATCATGTTTTTCGCACTTAACCCATAAAATTCAGTTTAACAGCAATATCGCAAAATAGTTTTAAAATGAGCATATCTTTAGAATTTCCAATACAGAGACTCGTGGGTTGGAGATAAAAATGTTTTTTCTATACAACGTTTACCATCGAGTTATCCTCGAGTTTGTTACTAAAAAATTTGTTAGTTTTTCAAAATATGAAATCGATAATAAAACAAATTCCAAATTTCAAATTTGGTCTTCCACATGCTGATATTCGTAGGAGGATTACGTCATTCAAAATTCGATGGCTATGTGTACTGTTGTTTTATCACAATGCGAGAAATATACATAATAAATAATGCAGATTTCTCATTATTTAATTTCTTCAAATATAATGCAGGACTCTAACATTTGGTGGCAACAGCTTAAAAAATGATTCGCCGTTTATAGTGATGCAAAAGGAAAACAATAGTCATTCAGGGCTAACCATACTAATATGCCTATGCGTATGATATATACATATGTAAATGAGGGTAAGCGAGCATATACTTGAAAATCACAGATTTAAATTAAAGTATTATATTCATTTATTTTTTTTTTCACATTCGGCATAGAGGTTTTATTAAAAAATACAAAAGTCATGAAACGGTTCCAATTACTGGATATTTTATGGAAAGAGATTAATTCATCTTATAAAATCAAGACTTTCTGTGATGGGAATCAGTAGTAATTACTCTTATATATTTGCTTTCTATATTTCTTTTATTATAAATATTTGCAAAACCAAAATGTGGCAAGACAGCAAAATGTGGAAAAATGTATTAAATTACAGTTTTACAGCATTTACTAAGATTTAACTTGTAAAAAATCTCTCATTAAATTAGCATTTACTCTTCATTTCTTAGGAGATAATCAAAATGAATATTAATTAAAATATAGATACATATGTAGCCTGTTCTTTCTTATTAGATAATTGTACCCGTATTCCTGTACTGATAACAGTCACGTCATACTTTCGGTCAATTGAATATCACGTAATGGTATATCAGTGAATTCGATATACATGGGTGGCTCTCGAAGGCTCTATTATCTATTTCAGCTAAATAAAGCTTCTGTTATTTTCTTCACGTACACACGTACAAAGAATATATGGGCCAGTTTCACGCACAAAATCTGTAACAAAGACCCATCAGCAGCTGAGCGATAAAAGCCACTGAACACTGGTAGTTTATTCTGGGATTCAAACCCGACGAAAGGGCTCTCTCTGCATAGACGCTTTCGAGGTTTTCCTCTTATGTAACATGCATACCAGCCAGTTCCCTTTAAAACGTCTTCCATGAAGCATTCCTCCCTTTCAGCGTAGTGCCTAATATTTTACTGAGAGACTGAATTAATTTTCGGCGTAAGTTTGTTTTTTAATTAAAAATTAAATTGTCATCACCATAGTAAAGTAATAATGAGAAATGATATTTTAATAATGTTTGTAATTTCAATATTCCTCACTTTCTTGTGCATAAGGAAAATACGAGCTAAATTTCTGCAGAAGTGACCTGCATATCAACATCAATATTTTGGCAAGATTACTTTCTGTTTTTAATACTTCCAGTTTTTATTTGCATATGTCAACACGAAATGTGAACAGAATCTAACTATCAGTGTTCATCGAATTTTCCGCTCGACCTCTGGTAGGTCTGTATAAATAAAGTTTATAAATTCGCTTGAAATTTTACATTAGTATTAATTTTATCAATTTTTGTGTCAATAAAATTTTTTTTTCCCTTTATATTTCCCCTTTTTATAGTAAATTTTGTATTTAATAGTGCTGTTTGAAACATGCAAAATGCAATGCAATGAAAATATAATCAATAAAATCTGTTTTTATAGTAAATGAGAATATTTAAAAAAAAAAAAATTCTAAAAGGGGGAAGCTTTTATCAGAAAACTGCAAGAAAGAACAGTGAACAATAATGTAGTTGAAAAATGAAATACTTATGATACAACGGGGGGTGAAACTCAATAAATTATAAAAAGAAACGGAAATACTAATGAAAAAGGTAAATGAAACTAATATAACAAAAATACATCGGGATTTGTTTAATATATAAATATAAGCTGTTGCGCAATGCTTAAAAACAAATGAAGAAAATTATACGAGAAACAAATAGATAAACATCATTTTCGAGTATAAATTAAAAATGTTAATTAGTACATGTAATTCTAAACTAAATTCAGTTTGAAAACAAATGAAAACTGATTAGACTATGTACTGATTTTAGGCATGTATAGGAGGTATTTGCTGCTAAGGCATATTTTTATTATGATGCAATGTCAAAAGTTAATATTCCAACATACGGCAGTTATATAGCTACGAAATCTCACCATCATATGTTTCTCTAGTTTAAGGAAATGAAACAGCAGAAAAGAGAACAAATTCCTTTATATTATTCCCTAGTTTCTTATCTGAAAATTAACAAAGGCGACCCCCAAAGGCAACTTAAAGGAAAGGTTTCGAAAGAGTAGTAGTTTCCCTTTACAATCAATAGCAGCTAAAAGGGGGGTGGAAATGCATTTGGATTTCCCGTCTTTTTAAGTGAAACCTTTCCAAACTACTCAGTCTCTTAAAGGTTAACATAGAAATTTAAGTTCAGGCAATCAGAAAAGTTAGCTTGGAAAAATGTATGCAAACCGAAAAGTGAGGAAATCATTCATTTTTGACATGGCGATAGAATCTTCTATCTCTTCTTAGTGATGGGTTACAGTTTTTTTATCAGGTTCCAACTTAAATATTTGTTTATGAGAAAGAAATCTTATGTTTCTGCTTGGCAGCATACAAGAAGTTTTAAATAATGATAGCTTATATATGTTTGAGTACTGAAATGTTCTTAGTGTAATTTTTTTTTTTTTTTTTTTTTTTTTTTTTTTTCAGTACTTTAACCAAATAACCATTCACTAGTGTAATCTTTATCATATATCATACATAATATTTTTACTGATTATGTTTATAGTATTCAGATGAAGTATTTACTTTTAAATATGTATACAAGTAAGAGAATTAAACTTGCAGAATATTATTTATAGTGCTTTCTAATGCTGGCATTGCTTATTTGAGTGGGATAAATTAATTCAATTTTTTAAACATGTTTTTATCATACAGGTTTTTTTTAAAGTGTTTATTCAGCAATATATTCTACAGTGCTAAAATGATTCAAGTATAGGAAATGAAGAAATCTGCATTTATTCCATTATAGTTGCTGCTGATTCAAGTAAAGTGGATGGTTCTGCACCAGAGAAAGCACAGTTTCAAGATATCATGACAGAATCGGTGTTAAAGGAGATTCAAGATATTATAGAAGTTGTAGAAAGCTATGAGGTAAAATATCTTCATTAGCAAAATTTCATAATTTCCCTAAAAGAATTCTGATTTCTTTTTCCTTGCCTTTATATTAAATATAACTTTTCAGATTGGTGGGGTTCTCTGCTGATATTCTTGCTATTTCAGCGAACATGGAGCAGATGAATGCTATGGTTGAGCATTTTCCATACATATGTTTTTCAAAATTAAGGATTTTGTAGTGATAAATATTCAGCAGTTGTTCAGACAGAATTTAATCTTCAGCCACAATTTAATCCCCCCTTTTTTTGGAGGGTGTATCGGAAACATTTGGTCTACTGGGTACATGTTAAAATAGAAACAGTCAGAAGGCTGAAGAGTGCCTGAATGGAGCAAAATATTTAAATAAAAAATCTCTCACTTCAGGAAGACAGTCTTCAATCCATTGCTTATCTACTGTCTCTCTTTTGAAAGATCAGCAAGGTATATTTTTACACTATTTGCACTTTCATTCACGTGGGAAATCATTGTACATTGCCTAATATCTAGCAACTAGGACATGATAAAAACAATTGTACAGCTGCTTCGATGGTGGACTAACGTCATCATTTTTTCTAATGTGCAGTGTGAACTATACTTCCATTTGTCATATGTGTGAACAATCAAACTTTTTAGTATTGTCTAATTCTTTTCAGTATTGTAACTAACCCACTTTAATGCATGAGTGATAGTTACAGAGTGTGTAAATTTGGGATCAGTATCTCATATTTTGTAGCAAAATGCTTGTATTGTTATCTAAGTGTAGATTTCTATGTTTCAGTGTCATGAAATTTTTACTACCTAAACTGTGCATATGGAAATGCTTTGTTTATGAGAAATCCACAACTCATCCAAGTGAACATCTGAATAGCAGTCTTTACCACTAGTTTTTCAAGGCATGGCATTTCTCATGATGACAGTATTTTTTGTCTCTTTAAGTCATATGTATTTTTCTTTTCTCCATTTGTGACTTCTACATTTGGTAGTAGGCTACCAAATGTAGCAAGTGGCAACAAAAAACAAAGCTTACATCAAAAACTGTTTCTGATTTGAAGAAGTAATTCATCACAAAACTGAAAACTAATTCAATACCTGAATAAAACAGGTTTTTGCTAATAGACTCAAGAAATAGATGATTATCTTTTGGAAGGCATAATTTAAGTTTCATACTCAGTAAGTTTAAATCCCTAATTACTTAAGCAGACCCTTCCAGCTTCCTAACACCATGTTCAGTGGTTCTTCCACTCTTGAAATAAGCCCTAGAATGCCTTCTTCTAAATTACCACCAGTATAGCAATTGCATTACATGGAATGCCCTGTTAAGTGTCAAAGCAATTACTTTTGAATTTCTTTCAAATAACTGGAAAAGTTTGAAATCACTAGGAGCTATATATCCAGAGAATAAGCACTGTGATAATGTTCTGAGAGAACTTGTGTTTTGCCAGGAAAAACTATGCAGGTAGTGTAACAGGTTGTTGTTATTATACAGTTTCCAGTTATATGGGTTCCACACATTTGTAAATGTTTTCTTAGGCTATGTAGTTATGATGAAATATGACAGTCGGGCAAAACTAACCAACATCACTTTGATTTCACTATGTGCCTGTTATGACCTTTTGGACCTTAGCAAGGCCAGGTGTTTTGACTGTGAGGGCTGTGCTGTGATTTCAGATCATATCTTAATATACAAGTTTTACCTCGAGCTATCACAAAACTGAAAACCCTGTATCCCGTTAAAGTCTGCAGGATGTTCTGTGTATCTACAAAACAGAGAGTTGGTTTTCTTCTTGCAGAAGCAGCCTCAAATGTGCAAAACCTCATAGAGCAGACCAACCTATGTATATAAAAATCTCCGTTTAAGCTTGAAAAGTGTATGCATCTTTGCTTCTACCAATAAGCTACATAGCTTCCCTGACATTAAAATGGTTAATATACGTTATACTCAGTAATCTATGCAAGACGGCTTATATTCTGCTGACATTAAGCCTTTGTTAAAACTATTTAAATAATAATAATAATGTTTGAGAGGGATTGTTGAATCTTGTAAATGGTTCAGTTCACATATTGCCAAGCTGATAGCAACATTCAGTACACTATTATTTTTTTAAATCCTGTGACAGGCATTTGTCTATTCAGCACCAGCCACGCCTAAGGCCAGAAGTGGTGGCTATTTTATTGTGGAGGCACCTTATAGGTAGCCGTCGTTGCTTCCTGTGAAGGGACGGACAGTTACAACCTTGCCTTCGGATTTGAAACTGGGCTCTTTGGTACCATAGTAAGCTTCCCTAACCACTATACTGTCTCAGAGACTAGTATGCTGTTATTGTTCTATATATTCTGGTAGCTGACTGCAAGTGTTATGCACATAACCAATGTAATAGCTGAAAGTACACGATGATTAGGCCATCCAGTGTGTATGCTCTCATGACTGCATGCATTGTTACATCATAAATTTTGAATTAATAATGGGAAAAAGGATGAAGCATCATAAGGGAAATTGCATGATTCTATAAAAATTAGGATATTTATTGAATTATATTACACATTATATATCGGGTGATTCCAGGTGGGATTTTTCTGGATATTAGACCATCAGTTTAAATATAGTAAGATGGGATGTAAAATTAAAAATATTAAATCTTGATTTATGAAATAATGAAGCATTTATAATCTAAAGGGTGTCAAAATTTACAAAAAAGAAGGCTCAATATTTATTTGTTTACTTTATTAAACATTTCTTTCAATGGAAGTTGTTTATGTTGCTTTAATTTTTGTGTACATATATAATAGACAGAATTTCTTGTTCAGTTACAAAGTTTCATTTTGTTCAACTCCTGTAATTGCTGTATCAAGAATTGACTAAATTATCAGTCGAAATTGTTTCAATAACCTCTCTGTTACTTTCTTCAGTATTGGTATCGGTATTTTGCAGGGCTAGAACCATACTACTGATTTTGCTGTCAATTAATTGATTGATGATTGGGGCATTGTTATCATAATGAAAAACTTCTGTTATATCATCTGCATGTATTACCGCTTCTCCACGTTTCTTTACAAAATTCATTAATTGGAAAATTTCACCTTTGTTTTGCGATATCCAAAAGCTTTCAAATTCGCAGTTATCATCTACATCGGCCTCACCGTGAAATGTGGTCACTGGCCATAATTTATGCCAAGCATTTCTTTAAATATCTGACGATACATCTTCCCACAATCTTGTGATGCTCCACATAGCAGATTTTATGCAAAAATGTTAAAAAAATTCTTTAATAGTCTGGCCATTATTCTAAAAATTTAACATGGATTTAAAAACTGCTTTATATTTGTATTTCTGCTCGCGCTCAACTCCGATATCTATGAGCTAAATAATGGACATACAGTTTGGGGAAAAGAATGATGTGCATACATTATCTTTCACTAAAACTTTAAGTGAAGTGTGAGCCATACAGTTGTCAGAAAAAAAAAAAAAAAAATGTGTCATCAGGTAAACAAATCGAATTCAAATGTTGCCGAGCCTCGGGTATGAAATGATTTTCAAACCAATCATTCATTAAAGCTTGTGTTATCCATGCTGTTTTTTTTGCACGATATATAACAAGTAAAGTCTTTACTCCTTTAAATGCTCGATGTCATGTATTTTTTCTGATTACAAAAAGTTTACGTTTATGCATTCCTGCAGCATTTGTGCATGCTAAAATTGTTAGTTTTGCTCAGAAACATAGCTAGGGTTTTCAGCGCCCAGGGACAATTAAAGATTTCGTGCCCCCTCCTGTTTGCCAAGAATGGAAAACATTTAATTCTAAAATTTCATAACAGCAATTTGGCGCCCTCAGGAGGCTGCGCCTGGGGACAAATGTCCCCAATCTAGCTACACCACTGCTCTCGCTTTGAAATATTTTATATTAGTTTTGAGCCTTTTCTGTAGAGTTTGCCAAAGTATTTCATAGTACATATTGCCAGAAAGGACCAGTTTCATCAGCATTATAAATTTGATGACATAACTTTTCACTGTTAGTGAGTTCAATAAATTTATCTGCAAATAGTTAGTAGCTTCAGTATCAGTTGTCATGGGACTGGCAACGAAAGGCAAGTTGTTTCGCTAAATTTTATCTTGTTTCTATTGTGCACTAAGACGGTTAAGCCTGAATTGTATTATTTTAGTAATTTATCACACTTGCATCTGTTTCTTGCACATGCTTATCTGAGTCCTGAATATATAAATTCCCACATATACTTAAGGCTTATCAAGGGCCTGCACTAGATATCTTACCGCCTGATGCTGTCTCTGCGGGTCCAAAATTTTGCTAACAAACACCTCCCTAAGTTCTAAATTTTTCCCGCCCCTAAATTTTGGGTCCCAGTTCTTTCCCTAAATTCTAAAAATTTTATCATCCCTTAATTTGTTGCTCAGGGCTTCTGTAAATCCCAAATATTTTGTCTTCTCCCCCTGGAGCGGCCATATGAGCTTTCGTGCCGGGTCTAGGTTTATGTGAATAAAAAATCAGTTATTCTTAATTAAAATTTTTCCTGGTTTTCCCTATGTGTAATGTGTATACGAGCCAGTTTCCCTTAGAAAGTCCTCCACAATGTCGTGTCATCCACGAAGGCATTTCTCCCTTTAGGCAGATAGCCCGTGTGTGCTTTGCCTATAATTAAATAATCCAATCCAATCTTAATTCAAATAGCACTAAATGTAATCTTTTGGTCTATGAATATCTTTAACAAAATCTATTTTTAGCATATGGAAAGAAATTTTTGTTAAATGTTTCCTCGTCAACATTTCTTAGTGCAATTAACATAAATCTGTAATCACTGCCAAGCATAATGTCAACAGAGAAGTTTACTGTACTTTCTGTTATTCAATCACTAATAGAGAATAAATATTTTAGGCTTCGCTGCATGAGTCATTGCACAAGTTGTCATGTGCTTATAAACATGCGGTAATGAAAGCCAAATATAATAAATAATGATGCGCCAGGTTGGTGTCAGGTATATAAAATATTAGTGGTATCTAAAATCGACAATGTTTCTATGTAGAATGTTTCGGTTTGAGATATATGACAAGCAGATACGCAGCTACAGAGTCAAGTTATTGATCGCACAAATTTATTCTAAAATGATTGTTTCTTCAATAATGAGGTATTTTATTAAGTAGTGAAGTGAAATTAAGAATCTGGACTCTCAGCATGTTTTATAATGGGAAAAAAAAATTATATACTCATGTGTAAAGCATATAAAAAAAAAATCCTTAAAGAAAGGTTGGTGTTAGCTTTGAGGTCCGAATTTTAGATCATTCCGGATATTGGATGTCCAGACTTTAGTTAGCACTGTATTTAGTTTCTAGTTGAATATCTCTGTCCCATGTGGCTTTTTTTTCCCCCGATGTAAACTTGGATATCATACAATTTTTATTGGAAGAAGGTTAAACTTTTCATCATGCTTGATATCTTTTATCAGTCATCAAAAAAGAAGGAATGTGCAAAATGAATTAATGATTTCAATTTGTAAATTCATAGGTTTAAAAATTTTCTGTTTGTTTTTTGTGTGCATATAGATGTGTATATATATATATATATATATTCTAAGCAGTTTTAATTATTTAGGGAAATGAAATTATTGATAGCAGAATTGGTGACATTCTTGACCATCTGAAAATGTTTACTGTATCAGAAAAAATAAGAAATTTTGTTAATAACCTTTCATCACCTGTTGCTGAAGTAAGTAATATTGCTTTTTCTAATAACCCCCTTTTGTTGGATATATTGTGGTATCTGAATCTAAGAAATTCATTTTTAGTATATGTTTTGCTATAGATTTTATGAAGATCCAAAAACATTTTAAATAAAAATTCTAAAAATTCTAAGCCATTTAGTTATTTTATTGGCTTGAAGAATATAAATATAAAATTTTGAAAACTTTGTGTTTTACATAGCTTCTTTATTTTTAAATTATTTTAATAAACAACAAAATTGAAAAATATTTTTACATGATCTGTTTATATTGTTATTATTGAAATGATAGAATAATGAAAGAAATTTTTTTTTTTTTTTTTAAAGAATTACAGATTAAATATTTTTCTACCTTTATGTTTCAGAAATCTAGACACATGGAAAGGGCATACCAGCCTAAAAATAAAAAATCAATGAAAAATTTATATCACACATGTTTTGGTGGATTAGTGCTTGGATTGTATCACTTGTATATCATGCATAAAGTTAGTATATTTTGTTTATTTTGCTTTTAATCCAGAAAGTAGTTAGCTGGAACATTCATATTATTATTTCATAGTTTTCTTTTAGCAGTTTGGTTCTTAAGTAATATCAGTTCAGAGATAACCTTGTAATTAATACATCATAATTTATTTAAAACATAATATGTTGATTTAATGACATTTTCTAATGAAAATATTTATAACTATTTAATATGATGTCACTGAAAAAAATTACAATGAAGCAATTTTTTCCTCATCATAAAATATCTCATCATATGATCAAAACTGTTTCCTGTATCAGTAAAGCTTTCAGTAAGCTCTCCCCCCATTTGCTTTGGTTTCATTAAATCAGTCAATCAATGTGCATTTAAAATTTATATGAACAAATTCTATGCATATGTTTAACAAATGCAAATGCCACCCAGATGAGATAGTGGCTAGTAATACTGACTATTGTACGGATAGACCTGGGCACAAATCCCAGAGATGGCATGGATGTTAGTAAATGTATAGTGTCTGTGTGGTATGAGGTTATTTAAAATGTATGGTGAGATGAAAGTCCTCTCAAGTGGTTTAGTGGTAGAAGAAGAGGGGAGGAAGGCTCTTGGGGTGTTCCTGTCTCTTGGGATGCTGGGCAAAGTCGTTTCATTACTTATGTGGTGCTCAAGGTTCTTGCTAATGACAGATGAGATTAGCAACAACAAAAAACAAATTTTTTAAATACCATATTTCCAAACTTATTTTTACCCTTATCCCACCCATCTTTTAGCTTGATAATAACTAGTAATTTATTCATAAATACTTTTCATTTGTTATTTTCTTACTGTACTTATAAAATCAAAAGTATTTATGAATAAACTGCTGGTAACTATCACAAGCTATGGAAGAAGGGACTAGGGGGAAAATTACGAAGAGAAATACAATAATTTGAATATCAGAGAAGCAGCATAATTTAAATATAGGTTTTAAACTCTGATTGTTGGAAAGGCTAAATTTTAAAGCTTGTCTTGAGAAATTTTTGTACCTTAGTCTTTCTGTTAATTTTCTATTAGAAATACATCGTATATGCATCTCATCAGATACACAATTTGACAAGCATGCCAGTCCATGCTGTATAATTTTTTTTTCAAACATTCCTGGTTGATTGTGAGTTGCTACAAAAGAAATTTGCCAAAATTTCTACAAAAGAAAATAAAAATTACTGACAAGAATTGGTTTTAAGTAAGTAATGCATGCTGCGATGTAGTTTTGAAAATCTAAAAGAACTTTCTTCTTCAGCTGCAAATATGAAATTGAGACAAAGATTTGCATTTATGTAGGAATACAGAAAATTCAAAAAATTGTATTGGTGTATACTGAAACTCCTATTGTACTAGCGTATAAAAGAAGTTAAATTGTGGTATAATTTTGCATGAATTGTAACTTATGGACCCTAAGAACACACAATTGAGACTTGAAAAAATATCTAGAGTGAAATCTTGAATTTTGAGGCCCAGTATATATTTTATACTCGTGCCTCTGCTAGGCGTTTTTTTTTTTCCCCCCATGCAGTTGCCAATTGTTATTTTTTTAAATCTATTTTTGTGTACAAGTTGTAATATATCATTTTATTCAGGAAGAAAAGCTGTTAAACAATAATGATTTTATTATTTGATACATCTCAAAGCTCTTATTTAAATTTTCATCCTGTTGGTTCCCCTAGGAGACCCTTTTTAACTTTTCAATAAATAAGGGGGTAATATATAATTTTGCTCAGAAAGAACATCTCTTCAAAAGAGGTAAAGAACAAACACTCCTCGAAGCCCTTTCTCTCCTTTCATTGTCAGGCTCATGGGCCCTGTGGAACCACGGGATATTTTTCTTCCAAAGATAAATGTTTTGAATCCAAAACTGGCCTTAGAAAGATTTTCCTCCTTTCATTAACTGTGAAGACTTATTTTGAAAACCCAGCAACCCTTGTATCCTTACTCAGGGAAAAATTTCTCTTGTATTCCCTAGTCTCTCACCTGAAATTAACAATCTCCTAAAGCATAAAAGCATGCTATCTGATGAGCAGATTTTCCATTGCACTACCAGACAAAAACGTAAAGTGCATGCCTATTTGCCGTGTTGGGAGTGAGCTTCCTTTTTGTGTTATCTTATTAAAATCCTGTTGTGGTTTGTGTGAGCTTATCAAAACCCTGCTAATATGACCAAATTAACCATCAATCATGTCTTTTCATTTTCACTGCATTCTAGGATTTTGGAAAACATGAAGCGGCGGGTGTCTTTCAGGGCTGACATTCCCCTACAGTTGTGTAACATTTTGACATCAGAAAACAATTTTGAAATCGATGAATTTTTCTCGGGAAAAAGCTGAAGTGGTTAAATTAAAATTTTAGCTAAAGAGAGATGAATGAAAACTGGAGTAAGCAAAATACAAAAAGGAATTAAAATACTTTTATTCATTCCTAGCATAGGGTGATTAAACTCCCCATCCCCCTATGAACATAAAATATTTAATCCCAAACAACATATAAATTAATCATAAACAACTGTATCATATTATGCCATAAACAATAAATTCTGTCACCACACAGAGAAGGAGAAGCATGGTGCTGCCATCTGTTGGCAAGATACCCTCAGTATGGGCACTGGTGTATCTTACATAACGGTATTAAAATTGTATAAATAATTATATAATTAAAAAGTATTAATGAAGTACTGGAAATTTCTTTAGTAGATAAAGCTTATCAGAATCCCTTTAAATATCCTTTTTAACTAGAAACTTTAAACATTCCACTTGGAAGTTTGAGTATATCTGATGTTAACTAAGAACAAAACAGCAAATTTACTACAGATGGCAATTTTTGAGATCTTGAAATCACTTGTTAAAGTCATATGATAAAACAGCAATTAATTTTGCATTATTTTTTGCTGTTTTTAATTAGCAAAATAAATATAAACGAAAATAAATTGCTGCCATTAAAAGGAGACTGCTGTGTTTATTTAATTTAATTTTAGAGTGTCAGTCTGAACCATTTCCTTTTGGTTTTGTCAATATCAGTTAAGTTCATTTGAGTGATCAGTGATATCACAATGATGAACTGAAAAGTGTTCAGTGATCTTTTTTATTTTCAAATACAACATTGTATGCATTCATCTTTCATCCATTTTTCAATTATCAATGCAGGATATAAGCAGCCTGTAGGCCATGTGCTGGACATAGGGTAGAATTTGAATGGTTAACCAAAAAAGGAAGCTTGCTATGATTCCAAGAAATCCAATTCACCAACTAATAACCATTTTTTGTATAATTTTGGCAGAAATGAGTAGTCAACCAATTAACAGCAGTGCACATATGATTTTTTTTCCCTCCATGCTGCAGTTTACAGAATTCCACAGCTTCTTTGACCAATGTATATTAATTCACACTAGTAAAGAACAAGAATAAAGGATTAGCAATCAAGCAGTGAATTTTAATAACAAGAGAATAAACAATATTAATGTTAAACCTCTGTAAAATATGTGGAAATTTGTAACTTATTGAAGTCAAGAATAAAACAGTTGCTAAATTCGTATCTGGCTCCTGCACTTACAAGATTTACACTATATTAAATTCTGTAGAATAGTATTTAGACTTCACTAAATGCAAATGACTTCATTACCTACTTTAACTTGTAGTAATATTAGCAATCATGGCTGCATTATGAACAACTATTGCATGAAATATTTTGATGTATGGCATATTATACCATACAGAACCTAACTAATTAAATGCTAAATTCTATCTGTGTAAAGGCAGCCAACTGATTTATCACCTTGTCCTTTAATCTTCCAGTAAAGTGACACTAACTTGGCGAAAGTTTTAAAACAAACCACGGTTTGAAAATCTCATTTGGTGATCCACAGTTTGAAAATGGATTCTGAATCAGTCAAGATTCGTGTACTAACCTAGTGCTTCGCATTAGAGAATAAAGAACATCTGTGTTACAAACATATTCTTTTATTTACACAGCAAAAGTGAGCAGCAACATGCTTAACGAAAGCTCATTCTCTTATAACATGCTTTCTTCTACAGCCAGGTTGCACATGCGCATCGACAATTACCAAAGGAACCAAATACTGCCATCTATTGGATAAACTATTTGCTACATATTCCTCCAACCTGAATTAACTGTGAGCTAAATTCACACATCTGTTAAGTATAACATATGCATAATAGTACAGTGTATAATATTTTCAAACGAATGCTTGAGATTACAATATTGAAATGTAAAATTATGCATTCCAAGATGTTCTAATTAAATTGAAATACAAATTACCTGGAGATGCAGCATTCCATAATTTTCTAGACATGCTAACAGATAATATTAAACCTAAAAAATAAAAAATAAATCAAATTGTTACAAAGTATTCAAACAAATACAAAACATTTCACAGACATATCACTAGTTTCACATATCTACCACTGCTGCTATTCATAGGAATATTTTCAGTCATATCCTTTTGGACTGGATTATCCATCTCAAGTTTGTACAGTCTTTGTACTGGTCTTAGAAACTCAGAAGTCTCTGTTTTTATTAGAGTCTTATTTGTCCGTCACGACCAGGTATCAGCTTTACCACACGCGCCAGGTTCCAAAAAGCATGTTTCTTGTTGTCTTCCAGTAGAACAATTTCACCTACCTGGAGAGGTTTAGCTGTGACCAAACCATCACGATCAACTATATGTCTGAGGTCTTTAATTTTATCATCGTTCACACCCTTAAATGATTCTCTTTGAATCAATAACATAAGAGTTATCTCAGCTCTTTCAATTTATGAAACTGACAAAATTTTGGAGGTTTTGTTTGTAATTCTTTGTAATTTAAAGTAAAACCTAAGAATCCAACCTAACATGCATACAATTTTCTTTATAGATGAAAAGTACCTGTAATACCAATTGTCAGTTTTAGAATCTTTGTTAAGAGTTGTCAATACAGATTGACGCCTTTCTGAATTTATGATCTCTTAGTCTGGCAAGTCGGTGCCTCTTGACCATGATGATTCTGGTTCTAACAGCCATAATGGGCCCTCCCACCATTTCGGCAGCAAAAACTGTTTAACTGAACAGCCTCTATAAGGGAGATCAGCTGTATTCAACTCCAAAGGGATGTGATGCCAATCTTCTATTTTTGAAAATGTTCTGATTTCTTGGACACGATTCCAAACGAAAGTTCCCCGTTGTACGTGTCGCTGGATCCAGCACAAAACAGTTGTTGAGTCAGACCAGAAGAATGTTCTTAAATTTGGCATGTTCAAATCTGAAAAGACCACACATCCCAAGTGGGCTTCGATTAAGCAGGATAATATTTCCAAATGAGGGATGGATGTACTCTTTAAAGGTGCAACTCTTGTGCATGCTTGCACAAAACTTAGATAAACCTTATTTTCGGTCTTCACTCTTAAGCAAATGCAGGTAGCATAGGCCAGCAAGTAAATACATGAAAATTCAGTGTTGCCAGCAAGCAAATACATGCTTATGCTTGTTGGCATCGCTGCAAATATGGAGATTCACATCTTCGTTAACCGATCTGTCAATATTAACCCATCTAGGAATTTTGACATCAGACAGCACTTTCAGTTCTTTTATCCATTTCATGGACTTCTTTTCTAAAGGTTCAGGCAATTTTTGATTCCAATTTAATCATAATTTCCAGCACCCTTGCAATATCAACTTTGGGAACAGGTTAACAGGAGAAAGGAAGCCTACTGGGTCAAATAACTTATGTGAGCAAGAAAGGAGTGTTTGTTTACTCGCGATAATCTCCTGTTTCTTTAGTGACTCAATTTTACAGGAAAGAGTATCATCCTTCAAATCCCAGTTTAATCTTAAAACGCAAACAAATGTATCTAATTTAGAGTTGGAAGTTATTTCGGTTTCACAATTCGACTGCCGTCCTCTAAGATTAAACTTTGCCATTGACAATAACATTCTCGATTCTAGTACAAATCTATTCAATTCTTCAACATTCTTAAAACTAGTCAGGCAATTATCAACATAGAAGGACTCCTTCAAAATATTGGCTGTAGCTGCAGACTGATCTGGGGCTCGATTTAAATGATAGTTCAACATAGCGGCTAACAAAAATAGACTACAGTTAAGCCCAAAAATCACGCAACAATCTCTATAAATTTTTGTATTCTCTTCTTCTACACTCAGGTTGTGCATGCGCATTGACAATTACCAAAGGAGCTTGGCAAATACTGCCATCTATTGGATAAACTATTTGCTACAACTAACTTGGTGAAAGGTTTAAAACAAACCTTTTTATTACTTGTTCAGTCTGACAGATTTACATAACCTGTGTACAGAACAAAAGATCTCTGATGACTGCAGGATCTACAAAACAGAAAGGTTAATTTAAAACCTGTATTTTAAAATGTTAAATTTCACAAAATAAAATCTGCCTGTAAGCCTTGGTTCAAGTGCTTAACTCGCATGAGCAAGCATGACTAGAAAAGTTTGAAGTCAATTTGAGGCTAATTTAAAACTTGTATTTTAAAATGTTAAAATTCACAAAATAAAATCTGCCTGTAAGCTTCGGTTCAAGTACTTAACTCACATGAGCAAGCAGGGCTAGAAAAGGTTGAAGTCAATTAAAGTCCACAAGCTGGATGAAAATATTTTTAAGACTGTCAATGGTTGCTACTTAAAGCTTTCTCCTAGCCTCAAGAACTGTGTTCTTTTATGCATTAACTAATTTGCATCCTGTTGGGATTTAACTAAATCAGAAGTAACTATAAAGGCAAAAATAAAAAGATAATGGATTAACAAAAATAAATCCTTGCAATACATCTTCAAATCTTGTTAACTGAACGTTAAGTTGAATTATCGTTAATTACTGGGACATATGGAGAAGTCGCCTGTTATTAGTTAGATTGATCTGTCCTTCATTTGATTGACAGCATATGCTAACAAAAGTTGTGAAAAATCTATGTTTTTATAATATTTTATTTATTAGTACAAATTTATTTGAATAATTAACCTTTAACCTTCCAGCACGCGCGCTTGGCAATTTTACATGAGCATGCGCGTGTCGTTTTTTTTTACAACACACATTATTCTACCATTTTTGGTACAAAAAACGACATAAATGAGTGAATGTTGATAATAAATTTGTTAAGAAATAAAATATTAATCTTATTATTGCAAAATACTAATGATATCACATTCAAATATAAGTAAATTATTTATAAGTTCATGTTAGTGAGATGGAAATGCAATGATGTATTTTATTATAGAAAATTTTTAATTTATTGTTTAATAATAATTATATTTTAAAATTGAAACTAATTTTAATATTCACCAAAGACAAGTATAGACAATAAAAAAGGAAAACACCTTGGTAGGAAGAAAAGTATGTTTAGCATTACTTACTTCTGCAAAGAAATTGACTTCTTACTGGTTACAAAAACATGCTTTAAACTAACTTTAATGTTTTTATTTATTTCTAAAAATAGAAATAAAAGAAAATAAGGAATGGAAAGAAATTAAGCAATGGAAATCGCTATTGTTCTCCCATCCAAAGGTTTCCTTTTGTTCCTTTTCTTCATCTGATAATTCTTGAAGAATCCGAGCAAAATCAGCTGTGGTTGCCCATATTTTTTGTCATGAAAACCGATATAAAATTTACAGAGCCAAATGTATTCAAATTAAAATAATACACAGCAATTAATAGCATAAAATTATAAAATATTTGAGAAAAAAATATTTTCCAAATTTTAAAACACAACTACACTTGTGTCATAAATTTTATGAAAAGCCTGCCACATAGCACAAAAGCCGAGTTAAAAAAGAAAAAGTCAAATGACTTCCTGTTGGCACATTCCATGATAAAGGGAAGTCTAGAGAGGAGGAATAGAAATGACTTGAAGACGTCTCAGCTTCGATATGCAAAAAATGTGCATTAAAAATTGAATTTGTCGTAAATTTTGCGCATATGCGCGTGCTGGAAGGTTAAGGTTTTCTTTCTTTCAAATTGTTTCTGAATTTGATATTTTTATATTATGTTATATATTTCCAATTTTCTGATTGTTTCATTTCATTATAGTATTTCTGCAGAAAATATGAAAATATTGCTTTGGCTGAATATTCTGCAGAACTTCAAATTAACAGTAATCAATTCCTTTTATATACCTTCTTCTATAATATGGATACTTGTATTATTTTTTTATTTGTGTTACATTCATTAATTTTGCTTGTAATTATACCATTTTGCAGTTAATCTGTATGATAAACAGAATTACCAGTATATTTTTAAAATAAACTCAGTGTATCTTTAGTTGAATAATTATTACATACAAGAATTCTGTTTTGGGTATGTCGTGTATGACATACATACAGTACTAAAAACAATTAACGGGTATTGTGAGTTTGGTATGAAATAACCAACACCAGGCCACATCATGCTCAGCTAGTGAACAGTTTTCATTTCGATGAAGAAATCCTTCAAATGGGTTGTATTTGAACAGCAAGAGAAACAGAAGCAAAATGTGTAGTTAGCCAATATGGCAACTTATTAAGAGAAAGATTTTTGGTTTAGGAAATTTTAAATTCTGAAAATTGGCTACATCATCATCATTATGGGAAAGTCATATGATATTGATTAATCTAGAAAGTGCAGTCCAGAAAAAAATATTGTTTTTAGAATATAGAGGGGAAATACCAAAATCAAAACGAGCAATTAAGAGGCTGTTAATTTAAGTTATAATTTTTGATATACTTTCTTTTTATCTGACACATATATACTATTTTTTATCTGCATATATATATATAATTCATATGTTTTAATGTATTTTATTTTTATTTATTTTTGTGAATTATTGTAATAATTAATTAGATGGATAATGGTTAATTTTCATCTTTTATAAAATAAACTGTAACCGAAGAACTGCATAAATTATGTTTTATTCTGTTTTATGACACCAAGATTCTGTGTGCACATAGTCTGTATATTAAACAATTATTGCTTATGGTTTAGTTGAATTTTTCTTCAACAATTCTTGACATATAGGAATATAGCCGATATCTCTTTCATGCCAAGTGAAGAAAATGAGATCATTTACCATTAAAAGTCCCCTGCTGACACCATTTTTTTTTATTGCCTTTTTTTAACACCTTAAAGAAAGTGATATCATTTTTTTATGCAAAAAATGTTCATGTCTTATTGATAAAGCAAGTGCTACAGACACATATCCTGTAATATTTAACATCCATGCACTATATCTATGTAAGAATTTCTTTTAGCTTGTTAATTATTGATCAGCATGTTATTGTTGCCAACCCATATGCTATCTGATATCAACAAACAGGAAATGTTGCCAATCCAAATGTTTAATATCAGTATATAGATATGTAACAGGCTGATTCAGGAAAAGCCACAATAGACTGATGATGTTTGTGTTGTAATAACTTAGAGAGGCTTTATCGTATAGTTACCTGAAATGCATTTAAAAAAAAAAAAAAAAAAAAAAAAAACCTAGGAATTGTGGCAGAAGATAATGAGATGCAATTTATTTCTTGATTACTACTTTTTAGAATACAGATGCTTCTTTATGCTACAAAATTATGGGTGCTCTATGAACCCCTCAGTTCTGTACAACTTACATTTTCAAAACAATGTACAATAGCTACCAAAGGCTAAATGACACTTCTAAGCAACAGTGAGCAGAGTAGAAAAGGGATATATCAGTAAAGCCCTAGATATATTGTAACATATGTCTTTAATCTGATTGGCTGAGGTTCTTTAATCTGATTGTGAGCTTATCTCATTGCAGCAAGATTACATAAGCAAACATAAAATGAATTAATTTTGAAAGACTCAGTTCAGTGAAATTATTATAAACAATTTCTACCTTTAGGACAGATAGGGAAGGTAGCTAATTTAAAATGGGGAATAAAACGGACTATTGCCAAACTAAGCTTAATAATTTTCTTTCATGTTTATGTCTTGCATATATATATATATAGTATATTGTTGCGAGCTACGGGCTCATGGAAATTTTTTGAAATAATTACTTCTTTAAATTAATAATAATACACAGCAGAAAATAGCAGTAACTAATGTGTAAATAACTGAAGAAGAATGCAGAGTTAGGGCAAGTCTTCCTTAACATATGAGAAATATCTCAGACTCACGGAGTAAAGTCAGCTAACTTTTTGAGCAGCACTCAAATGTGCTTAATGTGAATCAAGGAGACCATGTTGATGTGAAATTGCTATCTTGGCAAGAAAATGATTATTAAGGCCCATCAGGAGAGCTTATGCCTATAACTCAAGTTTTGTTTGGAGCTGTTTTTGCAATTTTAACTTTGTTGGATTCCTAATCACAAGATCTACAATTCTATACAAGAAAGAAGTGCTTATATACAAGCACTAGATATATTGTAACATATGTGTTTAATCTGATTGGCTGAGGTTCTTTAATCTGATTGTGAGTTTATCTCATTGCAGCAAGATTACATAAGCAAACATAAATATATACAAAGTATATGCCACAGTCTTTTGTACAAAATATATCCTAAAATTATCCCCTCCAAATGCAATAAATAAGTTAAATTTTAAAATATGTGATTTCTAACAATATTCTAAAACAACAATGTAATTAAATGGTTTTAAATTTGCAGAAATAAGACAATATATGCATTAGACAGACATGTACATGTATGCATTAGACAGAATTCAATACACAATCATAAAAAGTCTATAGTGACCTTACTTTTAATAATATATATCTGTTATATATTATTAAAAATTTATTCTGTTATTTTATTTAATTTTAATATTTATTCTACTAATTATATTATATATTATCAATTCTCAACTGGTCATACACAAGGAAACAAAGTATTTTTAACCATTCAATTCAAAAATTAAATACCCAGCATTCTGTTTAAATTTTTTTCTGTAACACTCGTAAATTTATTCAATCTAAGCTTTGTTCAAGATCAATAGCCACTCACAGACTTGAGCAAACTAATTCGTTTTTATTTTCACAAATATTCTTTTAGCCATAGATGTAATTTGTGATAAATGGTGTTTTTGAAAGGAATAATAAAAATAGATGTTGTTTAAATAGGAATAAAAATAAGTTCCTGTAAAAAGATAATAGTATCTCATCAGTTCTTTTAGAGTTGATGAGATACTATTATCTTTTATTTAGAACTGATGAGATACTATTATCTTTTTACAGGAACTTATTTTTATTCCTATTTAAACAACATCTATTTTATTATTCCTTTCAAAAACACCATTTATCACAAATTACATCTATGGCTAAAAGAATATTGTGAAAATAAAACGAATTAGTTTGCTCAAGTCTGTGAGTGGCTATTGATCTTGAACAAAGCTTAGATTGAAAACTTTACGAGTGTTACAGAAAAAAAAATTAAACAGAATGCTGGGTATTTAATTTTTGAATTGAATGGTTAAAAATACTTTGTTTCCTTGTGTATGACCAGTGAGAATTGATAATATATAATATAATTAGTAGAATAAATATTAAAATTTATTGTTTTTGAAGAACTCCTAATATACCATGACTTTAAATATTTGTGAAAAAATAATTTAAAAAAAGAACTAGTTTTTCAAAATGGAAAAATGGCTGAGACTAACTAAGCAGGTAAGTGATGATTCACAGGTGATGGATCCAGGACAATTTATCAGAACTAAGAATACCGAAAAGAAAAGAAACATTGTTTATACAAAATATAATGAAAGTTATTTATCATTTGGGTTTACTTGGAATGGAGATGAAATAGACACTCAACCTCAGTAAATTATTTGGAGTGAACTATTATCCATTGAAAGTATGAAATTTTTAAAAGACATCTTGAATCTAAGCATGTCAGTTTAAAGGACAAATATGAAGAATATTTTAAGAGGAAATTATCATAGTTCAAAAATAGTAAACAAGTAATGAACGATTTTGTTACTTTAAGTGCAAAAGCTTTGAAAGCTAGTTACCTAGTAAGCCTAAGAATTGCAAGACTGGGCGGGCTCACAATTTTGGAGAAAACCGAATATTACCAGCAGCTAAATATATCAATTTAACATTGTTCAAGAAGAAAGTGGCTATTAAACTTAATATTATTCCATTATCGAAAGATGCAGTAAGTCAATGAATTCATTAAATGGCTAATTCCATATAAGAGACATTTATTTAAAAAAATAAAACACAGTGAGTATTTCGCATTGCAGTTGAATGAAAGTCCCGGTATAACGAACTTTGTTCAATTATTAGTGTACATATTTTTCAAAGATAGCCAAAACAACCCCTGAAAACCTGAAAATCGTTTTGAATCAAGCTGTGAAAACTGTTCATTTTGTTAAAAGCCAAGCTTTAAATTAAGAAATATTTACTGTTTTATGCCAAGAAATGGGTAGTGAACATGAAATGCTTTTGTTGCATTCGAAGTAAGGTGGTTATCTAGAGACAGAGTTTTAAATCATCATTTTGAACATCGATCAGAAATTCAAATTTTCCTCTGTGATTCAAAATTTAAATTACAAAAATGTTTATTTAGAGAACTATGGTTGGCACATTTAGCATATTTAGCTAATATTTTTAGAAAGTTAAATTAATTAAATTTAGGATTACAAGGGCAAAGTTTTAATTTGTTTACCATTAGAGATAAAATAAATGGAATGATTAAAAAAGAAAAAGAAAACTCGAGCTAATAATCAAAGAATTGGATAATAATATTTTAAGCTTTGTACCACTTTTAGAAAGTTTTCTAACCGAAAATAATTTGAAAATAAAAGAAGAATCAGCATCCAATATTAAAAATCATTGATAAATAATTTCAACATGTATTTTCTTGAGGATTATGAAAGAGGAAATTGGATTAGAAATCCATATTGTTCAAATGTACCTGAAATTTTATCCTGGGAAGAAAAAGAACAATTGATAGAAATTTCCTGTGACTGAACTGTAACTGAAGATTTCAAAAATAACACACTTGTTAACTTTTGTCTGAAATGAAAAAAAAAAAAGAATTTAAAGGCATTTTAAATAATAAAACTATGAAATTTTTATTGTTTTTTTGCACAATCTATTGTGTGAACAAGGATTTTCTTCCATGTTATATTTGAAAACTAAAAGTGGATCCTAATTTATGATTAAAACTAAGTGAAATAAGACCAGACAGAGAGAAATTGATCTCTCTTAAGCAGGCCCAAATTTCATACTAAATTCTAGAATTAAAGTATTATAACTTAAATTTTGATAATTAAAATGGTAATCAATTTTTATTCTAATATTTGTTTTATCTGTGCATATTTATTATAAATAGCCAATAGGTTGTGCAAATGGCATTTATTATTCTTATTGAGAAATTGAAAATTATCAGTAAATAAAATAGGGGTGGTACTAAAATTTTTTCAATTTTCGTTTAGATGGTATGCGTTAGTCGAAAGGTTGAGAACCAGTGTTTTATATTATTATATTAAATATTTATTTATGTTATATGTGGAAATATTATTTTTATATTTTTTATTATAAAATTATGTAAAATATTTATTTGTACCTAAATAGTTCTCAAAATAAAAACAAATATAACATTTAAAAATTTTTTATCACTTGTTTCACATTGTATAAATACAAATTTCTCAGCTATTATCCGTTAAGCTGGAATTTAAAGAAATCGAAATAAAAAGTTTTTTTTTTTTTTTTTTTTTAATTGTCATATAAAAACAAAATATTTTGGCATTTATTAGTTCTCCATTTTTATCTTGTTGTTTTAAATACAAAAATATGATAAGAAGAAGTGCCGTAATGTATTCTGGTTTTTTAGCCATATCATTATATAAACCACAGTTTGATTGGGAATTGAAGGTTAGAATTTGAGAGAGGTCATAAAAAGTGAAATGTATATTCAGTGTTATGTATGTTTTTTCTTTTGTTTAATTTAGAGTTTAAATCATACTATTTTTATGAACATCTGCTTGTATTATTTTTAGATGACGTACTCCACTTTGGAGCTTGCATTAAACAAATAGTCAGGTAATATTTTGGTATTTTGTTTATGCATATTTTTTCATTTCTTATTTGAATTGTAACTCTGCAACTTAACTTAGTATTTGGTTTACTGGAAAGTTCTGTCCGTTTCTCTGACATCAATTTTTACACATAAGCATATGTTTATTTGCCACATGTTCAGCTCTGTATTTTGATTGCTTAATGTATACATACTGATGTAACAAGTTAACTAAAACAAAGTTGATTCATGTTAGTCTTAAGTTTGAAGCAATTGTGTACTTATGGCTACTGATAAAATTAATTTATGCCATTGTATTTTATACGAATTTCAACAAAGAAGAAATGTTGCAGAAGCATGTAGAAATGTATTGAAAGTGTTTGGTGAAGGTACAGTTTCTGATAGAATATGTAAAAGATGGTTTGAAAAATTTGAAACAGTTGATTTCAACCTTTCTGATAAGCCACATTCTGGGCAACCATCTTTGATAGACAACATGTTGTTAAGACCATGTTAGTGCAACATCCTTTTCTGAAAACAAAGGAAATCGCAGAAAGGCATAATTCAGTTCAGCAAACCATTTCGGACCATAGTCAGAAGATAGAATTGGTGTGGAAATATTCAAGCTGGGTGCCGCATGAATTAAGTCAGAAGAATTTGGATGATCGAGTCATCAAGTGCACATCTCTGCTTACTCGGAACAAAACTGAGCCCTTCTTGAACTGGATGATAACTGGGGATGAAAATTGATTACCTACCAAAACATCGTAAGGAAAAGGCATATTGTGAACCCAGAAAATCTAGCTCTTCCACCTCTAAACCAAATTTGACTTTGAATAAGCGAATGTTGTGTATATGATGGAATATTCGAGGACCAATACATGCAAACTTTTAAAAACAAACAAAAAGCTCAATTTGGAAAAGTATTGTCAACAACTGGATAGACAGCAGTCCAAGAAAAGAGGCCGCTGATGTTCAATAGGAAGGACATCATACTGCATCATGATAATGCCAGGCCACATGCTGCTTTGGGGGACTCGTCAAAAAATTGTAGAACCAGGCTGGGAAATTCTGTCACATCCAACATATTCCCCAGACTTAGCACATTCTGATTATTACGTGTTTTTGTCCTTACAAAATTTTTGAAGGGCAAAAAATTAAAAAATGAAGAAGATATCAAACAAGCACTGGTTCAATTTTTCACATCAAATGATCAACATTTTTCAAAAATGGGATATACAAATTGCCCTCACGCTGGCAAGACATCATTAATAATAATGACAAATATATTATTTAATAAAGTTTATTGATGTTAAAAAAAATTGCATTTTGTCTTATTCCAAATATGGGTAGAACTTTTCGGGTAGATCGAATAAAGTTATTTATAATTACATTTGATTATGACTGAAATGAAAATTTGTAGCAAATGATAGTAGAAAATTTCATCATTCATGAAAATTGATCAGGAGAATTTAGGATTTCAAACTGAATAAAAGAGTTTGGGAATGCCCCTGAATAATGCCAGGGATTGCAAAAGCTATGTTATTCTGACTTTGAGTGCATGTAAATCAGAATTGTAATAACCCTTATATAAATCTAATTCATAAAGTATAAATTTTTGATAAATATGTTGTGACAATTGCCCTTTTTCTAATTATCTTTGAATGAATCCACTTAATCAGAAAGTTCAATGATTATTCATAATTTTATCATACTACTGTTTTTAAAAGTTAGCATAACTACTATGTGATTCACACATAGCAAACATTTATCTTTAAACATAATTTATAATACAATGAATCCTCTCTAAAATGCTCACACTTAGTAGATGACTTTGGTTTCTGTAAAAATAGTTCTTTTAGACGAATAGAAATGAGTGATAATAGTTCTTGGTTTGCATAATACAGTACAAAGTCCGAAATCCAGACTCGTTGGGACTTTGGCGATTCTGGGTTTGGGATTTTTCCTGATATTAGATCATCAGTTTAAATCTAGTAAGATAGTATGTAGAAATTATAAAATTAAAAATATGAAATCATGATTTATGAAATAATGAAGTATTTATGATCTAAAGTGTATCAAAATTTACAAAAACAAAAAAAAAAAAAAAAAAAAAGCTTAATATTTATTTGTTTACTTTATTAAACATTTCTTTCAGTGTAAGTTGTTTAAGTTGCTTCGTTTTTTGTGATAATACTCTCTTTTTAACTCTGTAGACAGACACAATCTCTTGTTTAGTTACATTGTTGAAGTCTTGTAACTGCTGTTTCGAGAATTCTGACTAACTTGTCAATCGAAATTTTCTCATTTTCAGTAATTTCTCTGTCACTTTCTTCACTAACAGTAGAGGTATTTTATGGATCTAGAACCATACTATAAATTTCGCCATTCATTAATTGATTGATGATTGAGAAGCACTGTCATCACAATGAAAAAACTTCTTTTATATCATCTTCATTTATTACCGCTTCTCCACATTTCTTTACAAAATCCGTTAATTGGAAAATTTCTTTTTTTTTTTTTTTCTTTTTGCAATATCCGAAAACCTTTAAAATTAGCAGTTATCATCATCAAATTTAGCTATCCTTCACTATACATATTTGGCTATGCATCAAGAGCTTGGCGACTAACGGCAAGTTGTTCCATTAAATTTTATCTTTCTTCTATCACGCTGAGACAATTAAGCCTGAATTGTATTAGTTATTTATTATACTTATGTCTATTTCTTGCACATTCTTAAGGCTTATCAGAGTTCTGAATAAATAAATTCCCACATATACTTAAGCCTTATTGAGGACCGACACAAGTTGTCATATTTTGATAAACATGCAGTGATGAAAGGAAAGTATAATAAATAATGATTGCCCAGGTTGGTGTCAGATCAACGATGTATCTATGTGGAATGTTTCAGTTTGAGATATGTGTCAAGCAGATACGCAGCAACAGAGCCAACTTACTGATCGTACATATTTATGCTAAAATGATTGTTTCTTCAATAGCAAGGTATTTTATTTAGTGTTGAAGCAAAATTAATAATCGGGACACTCCAGATGTTTTATTACGTGCGGAGGGGTATCAAATGTGCATGCGTAAAGCCTATGAGAAAAAACGTTGTTGATGGTTTTGAGGTCCGGATTTTAGATCATTCTGGATAATGGATGTCCGGATTTCGGACTTTATACAGTATTTACATTGCAAATTTTTCTGCATTTTGATTTATTCTTTATTTTATTAAAAGAATATTATATATCACTGTTAAAAAAATAAAACAAAAATTATTTATTTTGATTTAAGATATATATGTGTGTGTGTGTACTTGTACTCCCTTTGGGTTTCGACTTTCTTCGAAAAACAAATGTTTAGGGGCTTCATAGGGAGATATTGTAACCTTTCATTTAATATCCCTTTTTTCCTATTCTTTTAGTAATTATATTATTTTCAATATTGCTGCATTTGCACAGATTCATCTCTTGGCTTTTTTATATAATTTATTTGGGGAAATCTTTTTGAACTCTCTTTTGAGTTAGATATTGACCTACATATATATTGTACTGACCTACGTACCACCTTCATAATATATATATATATATGTATGTATTGACGTACATTACCAGCTTCACAATAGCAGTAATAATGAAATAATTTATTTGTAAAAAAAATATTTTAAAAATTATATCTAGAGCATCCTGAATTTTGAACTTCGAAATCTGGTCACCTTACTTTCAGAGGTGGTCATCTATAGAAGATAGACATTGGAAGAGGGTTTGCTATATTTATTATTAATAAGTTTTTGTAATTTTAGATTATGTTTAAATTTTCTTAGTTTTAATTAACTTTTTTTTCCAGCTGTGGTAATTATTCTCGAAGCAGATGTGTAAGTGATCACTTTTTTATACTTTTTTTCTCTATTTTAAATGTAATTTTTAAAAAATCTTAAATGGAATATCAAACTAATTTGGTCACTGGAAAAGGTTTGACTGTGGCAAATGGTAGTCTACCAATGGGTTCCAAAAGTCTGACACATATATTTAAAATGTGCTTCTGCCCTTAACACAGTAAAACATGGTTTTGGCAGATTTTAAAATGGTGATTTCGTAAGGAAATTTTACATTCCTACATGTGAGTGTAATGGTGTAAGTGATTAGACATCCTGTTGGAAGATCTGTAGTTTGAAGTAAAAATGGAATGGGCAGTAACTCACCATGTTTTGAATCTGTTTGGCTGGGTCTCATGCCTTATCCCATTCACACTTTAAGTGGAAAAGGATGTAAGGAATTATCGTATTCCCCCATGTGTGCTGTCACATTGTAAGTGGTAATCGCATATAACTAGCAAGCTCAAAGATCTGTGGTTTGAATCCCAGCAAAAGCATAGGTGATTGAAACAAGTCGAAAGGGGCTAATAAACTCACTTTGAATGCCCTTTTGGCAAAAATTACATCATTTAGGATTTAATAGAAAATAACCCATAGATAATGACTGAGAAGATTGCTGAGAGACCTATCTGAATTTCACCGTTTACAGAAATCCGGGTTCTATAGCTGGAGAAAATTCAGCAAATTCAGAAGCGTATGCTAGACTACATCTTTGTAGGCATTTCTGAGCTCAACAGTGTGAAAAAGAGCTATTTAATTGTATGAGAGATTGATTCATAGGAGGGAGCTAAATCAAGTAGGTAAAATTAGAGTATCCATAATTATAGCTGCCTTTCATATAATGAAGGCATTGTCTGTTGGTTGGTATTACAAAAGAATTATTTTCTTTATTCTCTTTCCTGGGCCAAACAGTTGTAGCTGTTCAATACTGTAAGCGACTCACTAAACTCAAGGTGAAAATTCACTAAAGGTTTGGCACTATTGTCTGAATTGTCAATGTCTTGTTTCATACTGCATTAAGTGATGCAGTAAAAACTGAAAGAGTTAAAATGGAAAATCGTCCAGTAGCCTCTGCATTCTCCAGACTTTTATGCATAATACTTTTTCTTTCTTTTTTCTTCTCCCACCTTCCAAGTCCTTTTAAAATAGTTCGAATGCCAGGAAGTTTAATTCTTAATTTACAAAAGCTATCTGATAACTTCTTTTGCCGAAGAACCGAACAGTTTTAATCTGGTGGCTAAAATATTGTAAGACAGTTATATTGGTGATCATTCTTTAGAAACCTATTTCCTTACAGTCATGATTGTTTGCTTTTTATTTTCAAATCAGGCAAAAATTTTTAAATCATTTATTGTCTTAAATTCAGTCTATGAATGTTCAGTTTATAAAATTGTGTACTTAATTAGTATGATATGTATTCTGTTTTCAAAAGAAAAATATGCTTCCAATTATTTGCAGAATTTATTATATTTATGGCTATTTTAAATAATATTATAAAATGTTTGTGAATGGTATCAGCATTTCTTATTCATTTTATTGTGCAGCGTTAGATGGCAGCCCTACATTGATATGGTTTTTTTATTCTTTGTCATTAAATTAATTATAGCATATGAGATGCTGAATATGATTTTGTTAAAATAATATTTGCATGTATTTTTGCTGAGCAAAATTTGCCTAAAATTTTGTTTTTTGTAGCAACGTTTCCATTTTGTCTGTATTTGTTTTTATTGAGCATCTTGATAACTTTTCTGTCCCAGTCTATTTAATATACTTTAATATGTGCATATATATTAATAAATTCTTTATCATTTTCAACTGTGCTGTGATTTTATTGTCCTTTGAAGATTTCCCTTCGTTTTTAGTTTAGTACGAGGGCAATCCCCAAAAAAAGGTCTCCTATTTTTTGGGGACGTAGAGAAAGTTTTAATACGGTTGTTGGCAACACTGTTGTGAGTGGTGCCTTTTCCGCTACCACATAAGCATGCAGGCGCTTTGCTCGGATGCTCAGTCTTGGCTTGGCAGCCATTCGAAATGGAGCTCCCGATAAACGTTACCGCCAGGTGCGAAGTGCAGGGCAGTTATTCGATTTTGAATGCAAAAGGCGTTAAACCGGTTGAAATTTACCGCCTATTGACGGAAGTGTATAGACAGTCGTGCATGGATGTCAAAAACGTTTGCAAGTGGTGTAGAGAGTTTCCAGCCGGACGTACTGAAATTCATGACGAAGAAAGGAGCGGGAGGCCGTCAATTGCCGACGAGACAATTGCGAAAGTTGAGTAACTCGACTTTCGCGATTGTTGAGTTCGTATTCGTTGAGTTTCGCGATTGTTGAGTTCGTAAAATGCGTAAAGATCGGAGGATCATCTGGATGCTCCTGAAGCTCCTCAACACTTCCTGAAGGGCATATGGCGGCAAGCTGGTATGACATGGGCATTGTAAAACTGCCACAGCGTCTACAAAAATGCATCGACCGAAATGGCGATTATGTTGAAAAATAAAGCATTCTTCAATCTTTAAAGTGATGTAGCAAATATAGAAAATAAACAGTTCTTTGTATATCTAAAAATATAGGAGACCTTTTTTTTGGGATTGCCCTCGTAAGTTACTCAAAATACAAAATCAGCCCAATATGAGTACTGTCTAGTATAAGTACAAGCATTATCCTGTTGGAATAAAGCACTGAACATGTTTTCACAAATGTCACAGCTATTTGTCAAAGGCCTTATTAATGCACAGATGGACACCTGTGATGAAGACCCATAATGGTCGGACATTATAATGAATCACATTCCATATCATGGCACTCATCCATCATGATGTTGATGGCATTCCCTCAGACACAGATGTACTGGTCATCTACATCAGAACAAAGGCAAGACTTATCACTAGAGATTACTCAATACTGTTCTGCATGGTTCCATGATGCTTTCTCACAGCAACATTGCAGTCTGTGGTGGCGCTGCTTATAGTATCAGGCAGTCATCATAATGGTCTCATGCCTATAATCATCAGTGAGGTATAAAAATTTTAACAAAGACCTCATATATTATCTTATAAAACAAAATATCAAATTTTAATTAAATGTTTCATTTTTTGCTAAACTAGAAAATGCAAATAATTGTGCATAGACAAAAAAAAAAAAAAAAAAAAAAAAAAAAATTAATGGGGGTTGGGAAGAAGTACTGAAAAATTACAAAAAATAACAATTGAAATTAAGTTACTTGAACTAATTTGAATTTATAAGAACTAACTTGATACCCAGCGATAGATTTTATGGCATTTTCCATTACCCGTTTTAAATTGTTATGTACAGTGCATTTGGAAGGCATTTAAAAAAAAAAAAAAAAACAGAAGTGAGTGTAATACTCAAGAATATAAAGTCTAATGTAAGTCAAAATATGATTGTGACATGCAAGGAATTTTTTGAATAAATAATTAAGCAAATAAAATCAACGAGAGGCTCACAGAAACAAATTTGACAATGGGCTTTGATGAGTTCCCTAAATCTCATCATGCCTGGAATCCAGCTGCATGCAGCTCTGTGCTAAAAGTATTGACATACACAGGATGCAACAAGAATTGAATCATTACTCATTGTTGTCTATTAGTGTGGCAAATGGGACAGTTCAGGCATGTTGGATAGTCCTTTGGCCATGTTTCACTGTTATAGAGGTTCCTGGAGTTTGTATATTATAATTGCATACTTTTCTGAATACAGTACACAAACAGCATGTGATAGTAACATGTTTGATATCAGTACAGCATGCATTACAATAATCTGTTCATCTGCCTGTGCCCAGCTGTTCAAACTGTTGCTGAATTCATCTCAAAGACATAATGCACCTTAAACTAATGGTTTTAGGTTTTAGTGACTACAGCATTAATAAAAATAAAAAAATTATACACATCAAGATAAACTCTTAAAATGTGGCAGGTGTGATTATAAGCTTTGCCCTTGCCCACATCATTTGTAGAGTTAAACCACCTGCATGTCTAGACTGCTGAATATGAATAGTTTGCCCTGGCTCCAAGCCCATGCAAACAGGCTAGTGCATGGTTGGTTTTCCTCATGTGTAACATAAATATGAATCATTTTCCCTCAGAGTTCTTTATAAAGGCATTCCTTCCCTCGGGCAGATAGCCTTTGTGTAGTTTGCTATATTCAAACCACCATAATCATTTACATATCTAACAGTAAAGTACCTCCATGCTTGGTTTCATCTAGGTATACTGTTTCCTTGCAAGTGAACCTATTTTTGATGATGAGTCTCACTGTTTTTTTAACCATCATTAGAAGATGAGTAATCCATGTGCAAATAGTCAGTATGTAGTGAATAGTCCATATGTTTATGCAGAGCTGTGTTTTTAGTAATTACTGTCATAAAAAGTAAGTATTAAGGGGAAAAAAAATCATTGTGGAGCTAGAGAATTTAGCTATATCTGGTTCGATTCTAAAATTTAAAGGCCATGAAATGAATGCAGTTCATTTATTCAATGATATGAATGTTCAAAATGTGTATTTAGTACATTTTATATAAATTGTTTCTGAATTTGAAATATACATTTCATTGATTGGCTAATGTAACTAATATGTGCCATATTAAACAATATAATATTAAACATGTGCCATAATTGTTAAGTAGTCATGTGTTCTAACTTAGGGCAGTGCAGGAAAACAGTGATGCACCAAGTGCATTGCATACCGAAAATGTTTGTGAACTATAGCCACTGAGATTTATATACTTCAGGAGGAGGGTAGACAATGTACTATAAAAATTTTAGTAGCTAGATATCTGTTGTTAGTTTACAAATTCAGCATCATGACTACTAAAATTATTTATTTATTAAATTATAAGAATATTCCTTGTACAGAAACAGTTTCATGATGCCAAGCTGTTTCTTTATTACATACTGACTGCAGATTACATCAGTATATTTACCACCATAATAAAAGCATAAACAGATAATTATGGATTATCAAAAACAGATCAGTAATTGTATTGTCAGATATGAAATGATTAAAATGCTTTTCATGTTGCACAGCTTTATTCTGGTAAGCATGTATTCTATTTATGTACTTTTATCATAGCTGACAGGTCTTCCAGTAAATCATTGAATCTCCCAGTTTTTTATTTTCAGCCTTACTAATGAAAGTGTTTCCCAGTAATAAATGAAATTTTTTGAATTGATGAAACTTTAATTACGTAATTTTTATTCCCACATCCAAAGTGATTTTTATCATAATTATTCTTTTGATATGAATTGTCTTAATCTGTACAGACATTTATATGAAGATTTGAAGAACGTTTAATCAGTTAATATTTGTCTTCAATTTTGTTTTACATCAATATATTATGTATGTATATTACTAAGTTTGTCCATGAATTGTGTATGCATTTTATTTCCATTCCTTTTAAAATTACTGCAATAAATTAAATCTTTCTTTCCCTACTCAGAATTTTCTTAGGATAAAAATGCAAGAGGATTATAAAATGAAATTAACTAAAGAACATAAAATTTAGAATAGATGATTAAATATTAATATATTTTACATCAGAATCATATTGCAAATAGTGGAATAACCTAAATCATGCATTATAAAGTGAATTTAAGTCAATTTGGGGTCCTTTTGAAATGGTGCATTTCCCAATGCTGAAACTTCTCGCAAACTCCCAGTTTTGAGCTGAGAATCCTTAAAATAATAACTCTTAAAATTCGATTTCTCGTATTTGTGTCAATGGCTGTGCTTTTTACTTTCATGTTATTTATTTTTTACTGTTTCTAATGCCATTTGTCTTTCTTTGACAGAAATTAAATTTAGATTTAGCTCCCAGAACATTTTTTTTAGAAGAGGACAGCTATTTAGAGAACTTGGACAGCAAATTTGAAAGCATTCTTTTGAGTTTTTTAAATTGGTATGTTGTTTCTGTTATTTTTGCTATTATTCAGGATTAGTTTAAGTGCAAATTTAAGGAACTTATTGATTAGTATGTCAAACCTTTCAGTAAGTATTTTTTCTCCCTAGTATAGCATTCTCATTTAATAATTCGAAGTGAAATTTATACAGACTGCTTTGGTTTTATTTGCATTGAAAATTCTACTTAAAAACCCTGAGATGGATTTCATAACATCCTTTAAACTTTACTAAGAAAATTGCTTCTGGAAGTGTGTGGAATAAAGAATTTGAGGACCAATTCTTAATTTTTTTAAATCACCTTTAAAAAAAAAAAATCCATGCAGCGTAACTTGTGTCAAATTTAGTTAAATTTGTTTGGTGTAATATAAAAATTATTACTAAATTATTTTTTTATGTATGTATACCTTTAAAGAAATGTCAGTTCTTTTTAAAATGAATTCAAGTTTTCCAAACATTTTAAATTATACTCTTGAAACTTGAAATTATATAATATTAACTTGAAATTATACTCACAGATAATTATTTCCAAATTGCATTTGATAAAAAAATCAGTCCTGGGATTTAAACATACTAATTTTAATGCATTATTAAAATATTATTTTTGAAAGGAGGAAATTATTATTATGAAATTACAGGGGGATCAGCAAATAAGCCCTGATTTCAAAATTAAATATCTCTACAAGAAAGATCGATAGAATTATGCGGTAAACTGTTCGTTTATTAGCAAAACAGTAAAAATGGTGTACAAAAGTTTAGAAAATTTAGTTACGAAATTCGTTAACAGATGGCGCTCTGCCCTGAAAACTCTTTCCCTGAAAGGAGTCTTAAAAAAAAAAAGCAATAAAGTGAAGCGGGAGTAGCGGGATTGTTTCGATAGGCAGTGTCTTTCAATGTGTCCCACGGAAAGAAGTCACAAGGACTCAGATCGGGAGAATATGTAGGCCAAGCAATTCTTGTGTCAGTAAATTGCAGATAATCTAACGCAATTACTCTATTCCCAAAGTATTCATGAAGAAAGTGAAAAACTTTATCTGTTCAATGTGTTTGAGCCTCATCTTGCATGAACCAATCGATACCTGGTTGATCCTCCAACGCTAGTTGAGTGCTGACAAACTGTTCCAAAATCGTAACGTTCAGTAGTTATCGTTTCTCGTATGAAAAAGGGTCCGATAATGCTTCTGGCGCATACCAAGTGCCGCTGATATGCCGCAAATACCGCAGCCCATGCAGTAATTTTAGGTGAATAAACAGTGCTTTCTCTTCACACAAACGAGGATTTTCAGAACCCTAAAATCTACAGTTTTGTTTATTAACAATTCCATTCAAATGAAAATGTGCCTCATCTGTGAACCAGATGCAGCTCCCATTAAATATGTCATTGTCGATCATTGTTAGAATTTGATTCGCAAAGTCAACCCTTTGTTGCACACCTTTCATGGTGACATTGGATTTTGTATGGAAACATCCGTAGGCTTTTTTTTAATTTTTTTGCGTGCTGGTGTACTTTAAACCTGTCTCTGATGCAATCCATCGGATACTTTTCCTAGGATTTTGCTGAACAATTCCAGAAACTTTGACTGCATTTTCAGGAGTGACTACAGTTTGCCTAGGCCCAACATTTCCCTTCGATCATCAGCCAAGCTGCCAGTCCGTTCAAATTTCGAGAAGAGCATGCGAATGGTTTTTGCATCGGGTCCAACTGGAACATTGAATCGGTTTTGAAAACTGAGACGTGTTGCCGTAGGACTGTCTTCTAATCGGTGAAATTCTAAAACACCCCCCACAAAAAAAATCACGTTGTTCAATGGAATACATTATTTCACTTTCTACGCTAGCCTCTTTTCACTAGCCAACAGTCGTACTGATCACTTTCGACTTCGATGCAGATTTTAAAGGCTATTGATAGGTCATTGCAATTACAGCGCCCTCTGTTAACGATTTTTGTAACTAAATTTTCTAAACTTTTGTACACCATTTTTACAGTTTTGCTAATAAATGTACAGTTTACCGCATAATTCTATCGATCTTTGTTGTAGAGATATTTAATTTTGAAATCAGGGCTTATTCGCTGATCACCCTATATAAACTGTATCTGATATATATGTTAGTTATTGTATTCTAAATCTAAACTTGTGAATTGGATCATGCTTTAGCATATAATTAGCAGACAGAATAAAAATAATCCTCAAAGTGCTTCAATTTTTTGCATACTATTACAGTTTTTATAAAAATTTTATAATTGTTTTTATGCAACCTACATTTAAATACATATTTTCATGCAAAAGTATTAAAATATACTCTTGCTCAGAAAATAAGCAACAAGTACTGAAAGAAAAGTACGAATGTAAAAAGGTGAGTTACAGCATACAATTTACATATGAGGTAGATGTTGTATCACCAAATGCAAATAGGCAACTAAAATTAACATAAAACTCAATCCTGCAGACACACCACAACACTGTAAAAAGAAGCATGCCGAACCTATGCATCAGTTCGCAAGCAATGAGAGTTCCATGTAATCTGGGATAACGAAAGTGAGTGTGAGCCAAAGACACCATCTGCATGATGAAATGCATTGGAGAGTTGTCAGTATGTTTCAAGATAGTGCAAGACAATCTGTTGTTGCGAGAGAGCTGAATCTACATCGTAATGCCATCAGTAGGCTGTGGAATTGTTACCAAAGGGATCAAAATCCCTGTAGAAGACATGGGTCTGAATGCCGGAGAATTATATTATCACAATGGCAGATGATTTCTTGTTGCCATGTGCAAGATGCTGTAGATCACTAGCAGCACAAGAGCTGGTACTGCATCTCTCTGCTGCTGCAAGATGATACATATCCCGCCAAACAGTGCCACATCGACTGCATGAAGGTGGACTGTTTGCCCAACGAGCTATGTTTGTGTTCCTTTTGTCCCCATCGCATGTCAGATTGCAGTGGAATTGGGCTCATGAGCATCACAGTTGGACACCAGAGGAGTGGGGCCATGTACACTGTATGGATGAATCTTGATTTCATCCAAAATGATTACTGAAAGGCAGTGTTATGGCAAGAGCCAGAGACATGCTATTGGGGCCAATCATCATCAAAAGAGACCATTGCAAAGAAGAAGGCTTACTTGTATGGACTGGGATAGCAAGTAATGACTGCACCAACCTCAACGGGATTCCTGGTGGTTCTGTCACAGCTGTCTGATATCACGTCAAAGTTCTACACCCTTTTGTACCTCCTTTTATTGCTACAATGGGTACTAACGTGATATTTATGGATGATACCCCCCCCCCCACATAGAGCTCAAGTGGTGTGAGGTTATCTGAAGAGTAAAACCATTCCATATCTGCCTTGGCCCTCTAGATCACAGGACCTGAATTTCATAGAGTATGCATGGGACATGTTGGGACAATGGAGAGCAAGTCACAGTGTACTGCCACGCACCCTCCACAAGCTCCACAAGCATTACTACAGGAATGGGATGCTACTACCGCAACAAGCAAACAAAAACACTATTACCAGCTCGCCTTGCCGTTGTCAAGCATGCATTTCAGCTAGAGAATATCATATCCGTTATTAGCGTGATGTTTTCATTGTGCATTCTTTTGAATCACTTGGTCTTTCGTGATGTGATGTTCGTAAAAAGTGTGCTTTTGTGTATCTTTGCTTTATTTTTTTCCGTGTGGTCTAGTAATCCACACTAACCTCTTGGATCAATTTTATGCATGTTTGTTAAATAGTTTTTGCTTCATTCCATGTTTTACCTTTGTTGCTTATTTTTTTAGCAGAAGTGTACTTAAGAAATAGTTTATTTTGCAGTATGACTAATAAGGAAATTTTGCTTTCAAAAACAAATTAAAACTTATGATTTTTTAAGCATTTAGTAGCTTGAATTAAAACAATTATTATATTTGTAACTTAATTAAAAATATAATAATGATAGTTTTTACCATACTTGTGCCAGGATCTGTTATAAATATATTTAACAAAACAAAAGGCATTATATAAAAATATATTACCATCCAGTGTCTATAAGCTGCACTTTTTTATCAGTACATCATTATATTTTTACCTATTAAAATATTAAGTGGAACATCATTGTTGAAAACTATTTTATAACTCATTGTATGCCTGAATTCATTTGTTAAAATAAATTGTTTATTAAAAAGTGCTTTCCCTCCTTTCATTCTTATTTTAAAGGGGCAATGGTATACCTGAATCATTAGAACAAAGTAATAGCCTTTCTTCTTCCTGTATTTTAAATGCTTCCATTGGTGAAGAAAGTAGTTCATCTAATAGTAGTGGTTATTTAAGTGAGTATTTTAATATTTTATTACATTTGTATGCATATTCCTAATTAAAAGATTTTCTTTAACAGTTGTTATGCTAAATAATTTTAATTTATGATGAGTTAAGGTTTTATAATTAAAGGTCAGATCTGAGTTAATGATTTTTTGGATTTAACGAATTTTTTTTTTTTTTTTTTTTTTTTTTCTATTTTTTACAATTTAAGATAAGCCCCCCGAAAAAGCCTTGGTTAGGCAAATATTTTATTGCAATTTAATGAACTGTTAAAAATTTCTAAACCTTCCCTTTTTTATAATTTTTTTAAATGAGCCCGTTTTAGTACTCTTTTCTAAATTACATATGAGCTGTTTAAATATGCTAGTCGAAGTTATGGTTTTAGTTGACCAGTGTCTCTCTTCTGGCGAATTATCATTTTTGAGATTTGAAATTTGTTTTCTTTACCTGCGAGATTAAAGATTTGAACTCTATACTTTTTCCTTATATGAATAATTTTATTATTTAAAATGAAATATAGAAGATAATTAGTATGAAATGATAATTAGTATTAATCACACAACATTCTTAATGCAATGAAATTTGTCTGATATTTTTGGCATACAGTGACATGCCTGCTTTAACAACTTCTCAACTCAGTATTCTTTTTTAATGTCAGAATTTGTATGGAAATTGTATTTTTAGCCAAAATATATATATGAAGCATCATTCCTTGGCCAAAAATTAAATATGTAAGTATAGAAATATCAAAATTACCATAACCTTTTTTACGTTAGTTTTTTGCACACTTGCTAGTATAAATTGTAAACTTAATTTTGCATTGTTTTTATATTTTGCAGACGCTATATATTTTGAAATTTTTTTACCCAAATTTTTATATTTCAACTCAATATGATATACTCTAATAGCAAAATGGAACGACCCAGATTCTAAAAGAAGATTCGCTTATAATTTAATCTGAATTGTAAGTGAGAAAAGATGCCTAAGTGACAAGTATCTAAACCAAAAAACTTTAACTAATCATAAACACTTTCCCTTTTATTATAATAGGTTTTCAATTAAAAATTGTGCCTGTCCATGTGGCATGAGTAATGTCGATATTGAACACCTGTTGTTTAGACGCTCTTCCATGAAAAATATTGTTCTAAGATTTATTCCAGATATTGCTAAATTTAATACTCTAAAAGATCTATGTAAAAATACAGTGACTAAATTGAAATTGTCAAATTTCATAAAATATGTATCTGTAAATGAAATGAATTTATATATTGATTGTTTTTAAAATTTCCCTGACTGTTTAAAGGAAAACTAGAATGCTTATGATATCCTGTTATTTTATTTCTTTGTATATGTAAGTAACATATTTTTATGCATGCAAGTAACATGTGTTATATTTTACAAAGTATGTAATAATGTGCTTTTGTTGGTATAGTTGGTAAATCTCACCAGCTCCTAGACTTTAAGTTCATATTTTAGTTTATTCTATTTTAAGTTATTTCAGGTAGTAAGGTGGTAGTTCTACTGTTTAATGGGCCTGATTTAGGCCTTGTTTTAAATCTCAGTGTTTCTTTAATTAAATAGCTCGACTAAGCCGTGTTAAGCCTCTAATGGCAGTACAGGAAGTTCAACCACTCATACTCTAATACAAGAGACAATGATAATTTATTTCCCTAATGCATTGCAGCATAGTCAGCATGAAAAACACCAGTTTCATTTAGTGTCATGGGTTTCCATCACTGTCCATGTTAATATGAAAATAGCTATCCCTGTTATTCAGCATTAAGATTAGTGTGTAATGTTATGTTAGTTAACCTGTTTTCTTATTATTTTATCTGTACTCTCGTTTTTACTTTCATTGACTCCAATCAGAATGTGAATTAGTTAACGTGTATATAAGAACAGTTTTCTTAAAGAGGGAGGTTTTGGCTGCAGTGTTGGCCGTGATATTTCTCACCTAACTCTTATAATTACTTAGATTGCCTTTAGCCTTTTGCTAACCAAGTTTGCTTGTGCATTTAAAATCCTGAACCAAAGCTTGATAGAAATTTGCCATCTGAGTTTCAAGCTTAATTACCTATAAAGCTCTTACTTTGTTTTACTTTATTTATCACCTCCAATTCTGTAAAAATTGAAACAGTTCTAGTTTCATTTTGTGAACTTTTACAGATGCTAAGATCAGAATTTCCACAACCATTGCTGTCTCACCATTTTTGTTTAATATATAAGAATTAAATATGTAAACTATATTAAATAGAAATTAAAACTCTGTTATTTGCTTTTAACGTGTAGGGTTTATATTTATTTTAACTAACATTTATTTTAAGTTTAAACTATCTTTCCTGTCAAGCCTTACTTTCCCCTGGAATTGCCAATGCCAGAGTATGTAAACTTTAGTACAACGCGCAAAGTATTCAAATTGTCAGCAGAAGTAATTTGAGTTAAATAGAAGGGAAACGAGTTCGAAAGTGTGCTTTCTTGCTTCACGAGAATGGAGGTTGCTAGGTAGAAAGTTAAGAACCATGCGTTTCGGCTTGCGTGCTTGCCTCGGCAGATAGTTGAATCTTTCAACTTAATATTCAGAAGTTTGCTGAAATATCAGCGGTATCTTAGAATGCGGTTAGGTTAGTTACGTTTAGAAAGCCTCGTAGATAGTAACTTGTTATTATTCATTTTTAGTTTCTTATTTTTATTTTACTGCCGGGTCAGCGTAGCTTGTGAGCGTCAAGAGCACGCATCTGTAATTTCTAAAGTTGAATAAAAAGGGATTTAAACCTTTCTCAAGACTTTGTGTACTTTCCAGTTCATAGCAGTCACCACTATTGTTGCGTGCAGGTTGGGGCAGCGCAACATTACAAACAATATACTAATAAAAGTGCACAATACTTTTCAGCAAAATTTGCAAGAAAATGTAATATACAAAATCCAAAAGATATCGCATGTTGCAGAACATATTAAAAAAAATGTGTAAAAGGCTAAGCAAGTTTATTATGTGATTCAGTAGCACCATATATGAATAAAAATATAAACTATAATAAATGAGACATGATAAGCAAGAATGAAGCTTTGAAAATGAGATATGCAGAACTGCTTACACATACACATATTGCGTCATATAAAAAGTCTCCATGTTTTTTTTTTTGGTACATTTTTGAACAAAAATTTTCTTTACTGAAAATCATATTTAATCATGTACATATTGACCATTATTATCTATGACCTTTTGCCATTTTTCGGATAGCTTCATGATTCCATTGGTATATCGTCAAAAAACTTGGCCAAGTGATTTTGAGTGGCGCTTCGATCTGCCAACTTTTTACCATCAAGAGAGTTTTGCAGAGACTGAAACAGATGGTAGTGAAACAGAACAAGGTCCGGGCTATATAGTGGATGCATCAAAACTTCCCAATCAAGCTCTGTCAATTTGTTCCAAGTCATGAAAGATGTGTGTGCCCACATATTGTCATGATGGACCACAACTCCCTTTCTGTTGGTCAATTCTGGTCGCTCTTTCTGGATTGCTTTGTTCATATGATCAAGTTGTGCACAGTACAGGGCTGAATTGATGGTTTTGCCAGGTTTTAGCAGCTTATACAGTACAAAGTCTATAATCCGGACGTTCATTATCCAGAAATATCTATAATCCGGCCCTCAAAGCCACAAACTTTATGCATGTGCATACATTACGCATGCACATAATGTATGCTTTACACATGCTTGCATTGAAAGAAATTTTTAATAAAGTAAACAAATAAATATTAAGTTTTTTTTTTTTTTTTTTTTTTGTTGTTGTTGTTGTTGTAAAATGTGATACCCTTTAGATCATAATTGCTCTTTATGAAAAATTACTTTTTCATATTTTAACTGTATAATTTCTGCATGCCATCTTACCAGATTTAAATTGATGATCTATAATCTGGATTATGGACTTTGTACTGTAATGGACAATTTCTTTCCAATCCCACCAAACACTCAACATAACTTTATGTGGTGACAGTCCAGGATTTGAAGTCTGTGGAAGGTCACTCGCCTTTGATCATGATTGCTTGTGTATGATACTCCCATATTTCACCCGTTTTTCATCGCCTGTAATAATTCACTCCAAAAATGGTTTGATTTTGTTGCGTTTCAACAATATTTTGCTGATGGTAATTCAGTTAACCAAATTTCTTTACGTTAATTGATGTGGCACCCAAATATCGAGCTTCTTTTTGTAGCCTGCTCTTTTCAAATGATTCTAAATTGTCATGTTGTTGAAGTTTAGTGTCTCCGCTATTTCTTGACAGCTTGCATGCCAGTCCTGCTCTACCAGTTGCAAAATTTTATCAACTTTTTCAGTGACTGGCCGACCAGAGTGAGGTGCATCTTTAACATCAAAATTTCCAAAACAGAATCAAGCAAATCACTCCTGGGACCTTCTTTTACTCACAGCATTCTCACCGTATACTTCACAAACTTTTCAGCATATTTGCGTGGCATTTTTACCTTTTTTATAAGTTTGATATTACAGTTGAATCTGAATTTAATTAATCTCACTGGAATGATGATAAAACTTGTTAAATTGAGATTATTCATTCAGTTTAGAAATATTAAAACAGATATATTTATATATATGCAAATGAAGCACAAAAATTATGTATTTGCAATTTGAAAATCTCAGTAAGTATAACAAATGAGAGATATTTTTTATACAAAGGTGTAACTGTAGATTTCTTTTAAAAAAAGTCTTGAATAAACTATTATTTATAAAAGAATTCTAATACCGAAATATATATTTCAAAGATTTCAATCTTAATATGTCTTTATTATTTTTTTTTCAGAAAGCTTGTAAAATATCTCATCACTTATTAATTAATTCATTATAAACTTTTTGAAGTCTGTAAAACAAAATGAGCAACTATGAACAAGATTTGATAAATTCTCTCTTTTTATAGTAAAAAAAGCATAACATTGCATATTTCTTCAGATATTTCACTCAGTTCCTAATTCATATAACTTTTTACATAAGCAACGAATTCAAAAACTATCTTCACAAACAATGGAAGCTGAATATCACCTTTTAAGCACATGTTCATTTGAGACAATCGGGTGAGTGTTGCCGGATGTATAGGCATCAACACCATCTAGTGGCAAAAAAGCGAAGGCCAATACATACCCCCAAAAATATGACCCAATACATACCCCCAAAAATTGTGCTACCTGTAGAACATAGTAGAACATACAAGCAGAAGTACTAATTGATTTATTAAAAGCTGGATTTTATTGCATGACACATTTAAATGCAATCAATCTATAGTAAGTATAGTATTAATAAAAGAAGGGGGATGAAATAAAGTTTCTGAGACCTTTTAATTTTCAGACTATATAATTATTGATGTTCATAATGGGGAGAGAATTTATCAAATCTTGTTCATAGTTGCTCATTTTGTTTAACAGACTTCAAAAAGTTTATAATGAATTAAGTAATAAGTGATGAGATTTTACAAGCTTTCTGAAAAAAATTAATAAAGACATATTAAGTTTGAAGTTTTTGAAATATATATTTCAGTATTAGAATTCTTTTATAAATAATAGTTTATTCAAAAGTTTTTTTAAAAGAAATTTACAGTTACACCTTTGTTTAGAAAATATCTCTCATTTGTTATACTTACTGAGAGTTTCAAATTGCAAATACATAATTTTTGTGCTTCATTTGCATATATATATTATAGATAGATAGATAGATAGATATAGATATATATAGATATATATATCTGTTTTAATATTTCTAAACTGAATGAATAATCTCAATTCAACAAGTTTTATCATCATTCCAGTGAGATTAATTAAATTCAGATTCAACTATAATATCGAACTTATACTAAATCTTATTGTATTAAATAATTATGAAAATTCAAAACCTCATATTTGCATTTAAAAATCTTAAATCTTTTTTAATGTAAATAATTAAAATTTGTCAATTTTTTAATTTGCAGTGTTTGATCTAAATTTGATTGTATTAAATTTTATGTATGCATCATTTGGCAGGTAATGAATATTCGACTGATGAAGAAACTATTACAGAAAATCAATGCAGGTATATTTAAATTAAATTAAACTTACTAGCTTAAATTTAATTAAACTTGCTTTCTATTGTAGTTTTGAAACTTAGTATCCTTCCGTTAATCTTGTAATTTATACTCATTCTTAATTTGTTTAAAACAGAGTTTCTTAAATTTTGTGTCACTATTTTAATATTGGGGATGCATGAAAGTCATCTTTTGTTATTCTGCTTAGTATATCTTATTCTTATTGTGTTTTGCTTGTTGTATATTTTACTAATACCTATCACTAATTTATAGTATAATTGTTGTGTTATTAGCTGTTGTATAAGTGTTGCATTATTGCCTGTTGTTATCTGTCATATTAAGTTTTGCATTGTTATGTATTAGGATAACATGTCATGTGCTAAAACCAGCATCTTATCATGTATTTGTAGTGTTTTATGAATATATACTATATTATCATAAGCCTATTTATAACTTAGATTGTTGTGATGGAAAGTTACTAAGAGCATCGTGAAAAACGTTCATACAGCAAAAGAGAGGCACAGGCTTAGTAAATTTAATTCTGGTTTTAGTTGAGAAAATTTTACATTAAATGATAAATATTGTATGCTTTATGATATATTGTAAATGTTTCAAAAAGTTTGCTATATTTAAGATTTATTAACCATTATTTACAGAATGCGTGTTGCAATGGATTCGTGTTTTGCTGTTGCTTTATGCATCACACAAAACAGTAAATTAACATTCTCAGATCTGCAGAATGCATATGAATATATGGAAAGACAGATACATATAAGACTGTTTGCTTGTGTGCAGGATTGTGTGATAAATTTGTAGTTAGTAAACACTGAAAACTTTTTCAGCTTTTCAATTAAAGAGATACAGTTCAATTTTTACATTGTAAATCTAATAATTAATAGATTTGTTTATTTATCCATAAAAGGTAATTATTCCTCGCTTGCGATTTTCTGAATTCTTTACCTGATCACTTGACTAAATATATTATGCATTTGAATTTGTGTATGGAATTAGCTACAACACAGCTAAAAAATTTTAATGTAAAATTTAATTTTATATTTATGCATAAGTTGTAATCATTTAATGAAATTATTGAGCAAAATAAAGAAAGGTGTTTAGAATTTAGAACCAAAGTCATTTCACTTGTCATACTAAATGCTACCCCACCCCCTTCTCTCTCTCTCTCTCTTTTTTTTTTTTTTTTTTTTTTTTTTTTTTTTTTTTTTTTTTTGTTGTTGTTGTTGTTGTTGTTGTTGTTGTGTGTGTGTGTGTGTTTTAAGAACATATAAATGAATAGTTTATTGCAGAATGGTAAGAAATTGCAAAGTTTTCTTTTTTCTTTTTTAATTTTATTTAAACAACACTAAAATATAATCTTAATCCAAGCTCTGAATACTATAATTTATCAGATAATATATTAACTCTTTCTGGCATACTACCTTTTAATGTCGGTAGTTTTGATGATTTAAAAAAAAAAAAAAAAAAAAGGTTGGCAGTCTAGTTAGGCTTAGAGGAGTATATAAGTAAAATTTTGTGAAGATAGCATTTATCGTTTTAATTCTGTGGGTGTGTCCAAAGTGACACATTGAATAGAGCTTCGAAAAGAGTGCTGAAACGAGCATTGTTGTCAATGAACTGACCGATGAGATGCGGAGAAACAAAGATTACAGACTCTCAGTTGTCCCAGATTATCGGTGAGCCCAGTCTGGGCACACCTAGGGTTCGCCGTTTGATTTTAGGCAAGATTTCAAGGTAAAAATTTAAAACTAATATAGAATAAGGAGATTAGCATACAGCCAAAAAAAAAATAACATATAAATTTCTTTTCAAACAATTCCTTTTATACCCTAAAAAAAATCTGGAAGATTTCTTTGAAAAATGAGGATCTTTAAAAACTAAACATAGCTAAAATATATGGACTGGTTTGTGTTGAGTTGCCATCTACTATAAATAAAGAAGGTTCAGAGTAAGCGATAAATCCTTTTTCATTCTATTTTTCTGTGTGTACAGAAGGAAATTTTTAGGTGTGTCCAGACCAGACACACTGTGCCGCAAAGGGTTAATACAGAGATAATAGTATTTTCGTACTGTTATCTCTGTATTATTATATTATAAAATTGATAAATTATAGTACATTTAAAAACCAATCCTGTTATACTCAACTTGATTATTGACGGTTTTATATAACTACAGTTATCATGTCATGTTTTTATGCTTCCTAGACATGTCATCAGCCTAGATGCAATATGGGATGTTTTAAGTAGCCTAAAGGAAAAAAATCCAGGTATTTTTTTATTTTAAAATTTCTGAAATGAAATGTTTGAATATATTATAAAAGAAAAATCTAATAATTTTGTAATGATATAACTAATTGTGTGCATATATATCTGTCTATGAGTTGCAAATATGCAGGATATATTGCAAGACTAAAAGAAACTAAAAAACATAAATATGAACTAGCAAAAAGCATTGTTTTTATGTAGTCTCAATGTAGTGTAAAATATTTAAGTTAGTTCACAATAAATAAAACAGATGCCTAAAAACAAATTGATGTGTAGGAATGTTAGGTTGGACTTTTACAATATAAAGCATAACTATTTTAATATCAGTTAATTCTAAAGTGTTGAATTATTTCTGATAATTAATCTAATAATAAAATAAACTTAAATTATCTTAATAAATCTGTAATTAAAAATAGGGTACAAAATTGATGTGTTACAGGAGAAAATATAATTTTTTTTAATATATCCTTTTGTATTTACAAGTAAAAAGAAGTAATAAGATTAATATAATTAATAAGGTTTGCGTGGTTTTATGTAATTTAGTTTGTTTTTGTTTTTTTATTTAAGCTAATTCTTGATCTCCTTCTATGAGTCCTTTTTTATTATTATTTCAGACCTGGGCATTTGTAGTGACAACATAATATCTTACAAACTTTTTCTTAAAATTCAGTGTAGTTCTTTTTTTCCTGAATTTTTCTCTTATATCCTTTTTCAATAATGAAAGTGGCCATTGAAGATTTTGTTCTCTATGCCAACAAACAGATAAAAAATAGATTTTTCAATTTCTAGCATAATTAACTTTTTTTTTTTTTTTTTTTTTTTGGAAGTCGTGCTACTATTTCCTAATTGATCTGCTAATTTTTTAATTCAGTGATTGAATTTTTCATTGACAGACATTATGATTAAATGATGATAAGATTCCTATTTTTTTTTTACTTTAATGATTTTTAAAAAAATGTGATTATAATGACTAAATTTACATTGCCATATGAATTGGAAGTCCTTGAAAAAAAATGCCACATGTTCTCTGTTGTTATGCTGATTAGAAGGAGAAATTTTGCTATATTTTAAGGTAATTTTCTTTCTTTTCTATTTTACTGCATTCTATAAACTTAAAAAAAAAAAAAAAAAAAAAACCCATAAAATGAGATCTGTTTCAGAAAGATTTTAAGTTACATTAGTTTATTAAATGTTCTAAAAATTAATAAATAATCATTTTCTTTTGTTAATTTATGTACTATAATAGTAAGAATAGTCTATGTTTTATGATAAAGTCCATCATGAAATTAAAAGAGATAACAAAAATAACTAAATAATGAGATTTTTCAAATATTATTGTTAAATAAATTGTTAAACAGAAATAATTTTATTTGTAGGTGTTGAAGAAGCATTTTTGGAAATTTTAAAACTTTTTGATGACACTGAGAAGTTTATGTTTTCAGTCCTCACACGAACTCCTATTGTTATAATTTCAACTCCTCAGGAATTAGCCACTGCCCAAAATTTTATTAAAGCTTTAAGTGTTTTTATACCTAGAAGAAAAGAGTAAGTTTAATCTTATTTTATTTATGCAGTTTTACTTAATTATTGTGTTAATGTTTTACTTAATTATTGTGTTTACTTAATTATTGTGTTTAGTCTGTGCTTTAACCCTTTGACACACGCAATATTATTTTTATAATTTTTTTAACTAAAAACTACAAATTGAATACAGTCAAAAGTCGTTAATCCTGGACTCGTTGGGACTTCGATTCCGGATTATAGATCATCAGTTTAAATCTGGTAAGATGGCATGCAGAAATTATAAAATTAAAAATATGAAACCATAATTTATGAAATAAAAAACAATTATGATCTAAAGGGTATCAAAATTTACAAAAAAAAAAGCTAAATATTTATTTGTTTACTTTATTAAACATTTCTTTCAATGTAAGTTGTTTAAGTTGCTTCGTTTTTTATGTGATAATACGTTCTCTTTAATTCTATAAACAGACATAATTTCTTGTTCAGTTACAAAGTTCCGCTGTTCAAGTCCTATAATTGCTGTGTCAAGAATACCAACTAATTTGTCAATCGAAATTTTTTCATTTTCAATAACCTCTGTCACTTTCTTCGCTATCGGAAGCGAATTATAATGACGAGGAATTTGATTTAAATCATATCAAAGACGGAGTACATCGAGATGAAATACTACATTTAGTAAGGAATTATAAGCCAAATAAAATAAAAACATCTGCCCTGAAGATAAGGATAGTGCTGACAGATCAACTTCCAATTCATTGTGCGCCACCGCGGCGTTAAAGATAAACAAAGTTTAGATAAACAAAGGATATGCCTTTATTCATTTTTTGCTGCAATTCCACTTTTTGTTTAATAGACTTTGAAACATACTTTTGCTTTATAGATCCTTAGTAAATATATATCAGAAATTCTATTTGACATAATCGGAAGTTCAAGCTTAATTTTATAAAATTGCTCTAACAGTCTGCAAAAAATAATAAGCCGAATCCAATTCGAAAATTAAGGAACAACGTAATCTGCAACATTAAGTGAATTAGATAATTTTAGCTTAGCTTATACCGTCTGTTATACATTAAACGCGCTTGCGTAAACGTATGTTGCACATGCACACACGCATATTCGCAGCCGTAAAGGTCTTACAATCTACTTTTGCCCATAGTTAATTTTAAAAAAATTCATGTAATAATTGCATAATACAGTCAAAAGTCGTTAATTCGGACACCCATAATTCGGAATGATCTATAATCCGGACATCAAAACTAAAAACTTCCTGCGCATGCGCCACGTTGACACATGCGCAGAGGCGTTCACGCGTGCGCGTAAGACCTTTTACGACTGCGCATATGAGTGTGCGCAAGTGCAGAATACGTTTTCGCGTGCGCATTTTATGTATAATGGACGTATAAGCTAAAATTATCTAATTATCTATTTCAGTTAATGTTGATGATTGCGTTGTTCCTTAATTTTCGAAATGCATCCGGCTTATTATTTTTTGCAGACTGTAAGAGCAATTTTATAAAAGTAAGCTTAAACTTTCGATTATATCAAATAGAATTTCCGATATATATTTTTAGTATGTAAAGGATCTAAAGCGAAAGTATGTTTTGAAATCCGAAATCTGTTTATCAATTTCACGTTGCTCGGCGGCGGGCGCCTAATGAATTGGAAGTTGATTTGTCAGCACTATCCTTATCTTCAGCGCAGATGTTTTTATTTTTTTGGCTTATAATTCCTTACCAAACGTAGTATTTCATCTCGATATGCTCCGTCTTTGATATGATTTAAAACAAGTTCCTCGTCATTATAATTCGCTTCCGAAAGCGAAGAAAAGTGACAGAGGTTATTGAAAACAAAAAAATATCGATTGACAAATTAGTCGGTGTTCTTGACATAGCAATTATAGGACTTGAATAGCGGAACTTTGTAACTGAACAAGAAATTATGTCTGTTTAATAGAATTAAAGAGAAAGTATTATCACATGAAACGAAGCAAAACTTAAACAACTTACATTGAAAGAAATGTTTACTTAAGTAAACAAATAAATATTAAGCTTTTTCTTTTTGCAAATTTTGATACCCTTTAGATCATAACTGTTCTTTATTTCATAAATTACGGTTTCATATTTTTAATTTTAGAATTTCTGCATGCCATCTTACGAGATTTAAACTGATGATCTATAATCCGGAAAAATCGATAATCCGGAATCGCCGAAGTCCCGACGAGTCCAGATTAACGACTTTTGACTGTATATATATTTTTTACATTATTTTACAAACTAAATCGTCAGAAAAAATAAAAAATATTTATGTAATTTTTCTATAGCAGTGAAAGTATAAGTACCTACATAATGAGGACGTTTGGCTGCATGGATTAAAAAAATAAGAATAAAAAAAGACTCTCTTTTTATTTTATTTTTATTTATTTATTTATTTATTTATTATTTTATTTCAAAGAACGAATATTTTTAGTGACACTGTTCAAAGCACGTTTTGTCTTTTTGATACATGCATAAACCCACATTGGACGTTTCGCACATGTATCTTCTTCTATGATGTTTCTTCCTTGTGCTACAAAATGTACACTGATTGAATCTAAATTTCACTGGTATACGTTCAACGTTATTCAGTTTCTTTTCATCTGGCACATGAATTTTTTTTTTTTTTTTTTTTTTTTTTTTTTTTAATGTTAGTCGGGCCCGGGGGGGGGGGTATTTTTGCCTTTGGTACGGATCATTCGTTTCCCATTCATAATTATTTTATTCGTATTTCGTCTTGCAATTTCTATTTTTAATTACAGCAAAGTATATTTACATTAAATTTAAACCACAGGAAATAATTTATAAAATCACAATACTAGCTTGGGGAGCAAGTGTCTGGAAAAGAAAGACCTTTTTACTGGACAGATACATGTATCGTTTAGTAATAAAATAACTTTGTGATTTCAAAACCCCTTATCTATATCTGGGTAAAAATAAACATTCCTATTTGAGAAGCAAGCAAACGCCATTGTGAAGAGCAGTGGTTTCCGCGACCATCAAGCCTCTAGAGCATTGTGGCACAATGCTTTAGTGGGGTAATGGTCGGGCCTGAAACCATAAAGCAAATGCCATATGTATAGAGGGTTTTTTTTATATATGCAGTTTGATTATTGCTATTTTTTATTGTTTATGATAGAAATCATGATGTGCTATGAATAACTTTTGAAATTTAAAGTTGTTTATATTAATAAAAGGAAGTTATTTTGTCTCATTGAAAACGAATTTTAAAAGGCATCCAATTTGAAGTGCTAAGACCTAAAACATGTATGATTCTGTAGTCATTTTGTGTTATTTAGAGGTAAAATATTAGTAATCAATTGATTTTCACTTAAAAATTTCGGAAGGAAGAGAAGAAAAAAAATCAAAAATTGGTGGCTTCAAGGTGCGACCACCGCGCGTCAAAAGGTTAAGCAATTTATAATTTGTAATTCTGACCATAAATAGACACACTTCAGTTACATAATTTTGTATAACACTGTGTTAATTATGTTTATGATTTTATGTGATAGTTGCTTGAAAATATATTGGAGTTTACACTGATATAAAGCAGACAATAAATTAAGTAAGAATTGTGTGAAATCGTGAAATAATATTTTTAATTATGTCTACTTAATTAGACCTATATTTCTAAAATTAAAAAGTGTATGCTTTGTAAATCTTGGTTTATATAGCTCAACTGAATATTCATGAAAAATTATACGTACAGATTATGGGCTTTGAACTTCTGAAGCATTCATAGATCATCATCATCCTGTCTTGGCTAGCTTAAATTGTTAGAAAATGTTAATTTCATAAGTCCATCTTGTACTGAGAGCAGATTGAAATTGCATCTGATGAGAGATCTGGTGAGCGAGGTGGATCAAACTTGATTAGAATCTGTTAATAAGCTAAGAATTTTTTTACTGACGGATGTATGAATGAAAACATTGTTGTGACAATTTAAAGATGCTGTTACTCCATTTGCTCTACAACTTAAACTACATTGGAATAAAAGAAGAAAATTGCTTTGCAGATTTTTTCTCCAGAAATTACAGTCAACACATGATTAACCAAGCTGTAGATTAACTCTGTTTTGTCTAAAAAAATATGTTTGTTTATTGTGGAATGATGATAAAACTCCTACTATAAATCATCAGAATAAAGGAAAATTGCTATGGGAAATACCAAAAAAAAAAAAAAAAGAAGAAGAAGAAGAAGAAGAAACTGTGTGGGATAACAGAAAAAATAAATGGGATAATGATAACAGATGGTATCACAATATTTAGGAATTTTATTTTATAATGCAAAAGTACAGAATACAAGAACAATACAAACAAAATTTTGTTCCTTCTTTTTAGAAACGCGTTTTGATTGCTGATTTAATTTACATAAACAAATGAACTTATTCTCCAAATGAAACTGCTTTAAAATCTAAGTAAATTGTTAATAATATTTCTTTTTAATTATAATACAGCTTATTGCTCATTCCTGTGTCTTTTTTAATGCTTTTGGATTAACCATGATTTTGTATAAATTACAGAAAGCATCCCCAGTGTTACCTCAGATAATTGGGGCTCTGCTGTGTGCTAAAACCCTCTGATAACATAGTTCAAGTATTGCAAGTTTTATTAAGTGATCTGATTTTTCCATATATTTTTTTGACATTGGGGAATGCATGCAAAATAATCATTTAGCATTAGATGTTAGAGAAGAAAAACCATTCTTGAAAAAAAAAATCAAATTCATTTTGGCAAGATTTAATTTAAATATTTTCAGGTCTTTTATATAAATCACATGTTGCCAAACACATATTTAAGCATATTAGAAAAGGATGTATCATATATGTCTCACTAGTATTTGAAAGATGCTTCATACGTAATGACAGAGTCAATTTGGGCAGCATGACTTTTTAGTGAATGCCTTTATAATACTTGTATTTTGTTTTTCTCTCTCCAGCATTCTGATAAATAAATTAGTTTAAGACATTTTTCATATATTTAATTTATATATATTTGCCATGCACTACAAAAAGCTTACTCTGTATAAGAAGCTTTTTAAAACAATTTATTACAAAATCCTCTAATAATTGAAATTGTTTGTAATAAATTATCATACATGATGTGTGTTTTTTACATCGTGTATCATAATTTATTATGTTCAATAACAGTTGTTAAGTTCTCATGGTAAAAATTTAATGTTTATATAGTAATTTGATACTTGTTTACATAGTAAAGTTTTTAAATGTTTATTAGAATTGTCATCATAAAAGGAAAGTAATACATGTTGTTATGTAATTATAAATTGTAGTTTTGAACATGAGTCTGTAAACAAGTGGTTAATATTAATATTATTTCATAACAAAATTCATGTAAAAATTTCTTGATTGTAATAAATCCAGATTTTATTAAATTGAAAATATCATCGGTACTTACGTATTATCGCAACCAGGTCAAAATTCGTATAAATTGCGAAATTTGGCAACCCTACTTACTGCAACCCTACGTGTTATACGTAGTTTTGTAAAAAGAGCATGTGGAGATTCACAAAATTTTCCTGCATTTTCGTGCAAATTTTTGTAATTTATGAAAAAATAGCAGTGTACATGGATAAAGTGGAGAGTGTGTGCAATGCCATTTTTGTGCAATTCTGGGATGTTTTTTTAAGTAAAAATAAGTCGACGTGTACATGGTTATGGCGAATACGGTTTTTAATCAGTGCTAAAAGCAATAGCCAAAAGATTTCCGCCGAAAAAATAATTCTGCAGCTTATTCAAATTCGAAACCGGAAGGGTTTAATTGCTATTTTATATTTTAAAAGAAAATAATATAAAAAACTGTATTAAAATTATCTGTAATTAATAAATGTATATTGTCTTTCTATTCATACTTTTTTACTCAAACTTACAAATAGCATCAAAACTTACGAATAGCGTCAACCTGGTTGCGATAATACGTAAGTACCATATCATCATTGTAACCTGATTAATTATTTCATCTTTCCATATATTTGCCAGATATTTTTATGACTATTAATATTTTCTGAATAAAAGTTTAATGGAAAACAACTTAAAAGTGTTGTTTTATGTTTAAGACTTATTTATAACATATTAATCAAGAGAGAACTTTTAATATTTAGAATTGCTGTTACAATGCATGATAAAAGAATTTTTATATTTTTTTCTTTCTGAATTTTAGCGAAATATTATTTGTGGATATTGATAGAAAAGAACCTTTAAAAGCAGAGCATTTTAGTAATATAGCTGCTGTAAATATATGCCTTCATAATCATCATAATGTTGAGGATCTGCTTCCACTAGAGACTTTGGTAATCTTTATATTCTTCTTGATCACATATGTTGCCGTCTATAAATAAAAACCTTTAGCAAAATTACATTTGCAGTAGCAAGTGGAAAATTTTGTATTTATTTATTTATTTGGTTAAAAATATGATTAGCAAAAATGTCTAATTTAGGAATTCATACTTTAATGTTTATTTTTTACGTGATAATGTTATACATTGTTTTTATGTGTTCATGATAATGTTATACATTTTCTTCAATTATTCTCTTTTAACTGTAGTTGTTGTTCAAATAAATATAGATTTTTAGTAGCATAAACCATAAAAACTATACATGTATTTAATGTTGATAGCTATACTCCTTTTACTCAGAAATATATTACTGATCTTAATTGAATAGAAATGAGAAGCCATTTTTGAGGCTTTTAGTCACACAACTTGAACATGGCTTTCAGTTGTCAATAGAATCAATTTTATATGCTATGTCAGATTCTGTAAATAATATTGTAAAAAACATCACTTACCATTACATTTCACACATAACAGTACTAATCTATCATAGCGTACTACTATCATAGCATACTTATCTATCATAGCATATGTTTCAATTTCTAACAAGATAATAAGCATAAAGCAAATGAACATTGTCACACTGCTAAATGTAAACAAAGTTGAAAGCAGCTGCTATTGGCATTCAAGGGAAGAAGAATATATGTGTTTTTCATTCCTGCAGTAAAAAAATAAAATGACTTTGTTGCCTAACATGTGCAAAAAAGTCTGGAAAGCATAATGTATCAGCCATTTAAATCTGCAAGTCTATGGCAAAAATTCTTTATAAAATGTACTACAGTTTAAAAAATTTTCTACATCTACATCACTTACATTATTCTTGGGAATGAAAAATGAAATTTAAAATTTGAATGTCCTTTGTTGCCTTAAACTCTGGACAAGTCCATTTTTGAATCCCTCTCATGTGTTCTGCATTGGGATGAACCGATCTATGGTATTTTTTGTAAAATATCATGAAATATTTAATATTTTAAGCTCTGATTTATCCTATTTTAAAAACATGCCAGATAAAATTTGGTAATTTTTTTAAAATAACTATGTACTTATATATGTTTATATGTATTATACTGTTATACAAAGTGCAATCCCAAGTAGCACGTGACATTGCAAACTGGTCCGAGAGGTTGCAAAGTTGTCATGGTAACTTTTACGACGTCTTTACAATGTTGCGAAGACGCAAAATATTTGCCGTTGAGTCTTGACAATTTGTCGACATCGCTGAAATGTCATAATATGACCGCTTTTAGACATGGTCATTTTAGCATTTTTTTTTTATAGTTCATCAACGTTACTTTTAGAATGAAAAGAGACTAAATCTGCCCTTTCAAGAATCTGAAGTCTGCATAAGATTTACTTTGCAATGTTTCATTACTTTATTTCATCTAAATATATTAATCTAAGGTAGATTCATCTAATGAAATATAAATTTAATATAAATACTTTTGATTTATTAATTTTAATTAGCATCATAAATCGCTGAATTAAATTAAATAAATTTATTAAATTTAATTAGTACTAAAAATGCATGCTAATAATTGTTTAAAATTTTGTTAAAATAATTAATACTTAAAATATTTTTTATAAATATTATAGCAAAATATTTAAAAATGAAACTATAAAGTAAGTTATTAAGTTATGCATTTTATATATTTTAAAAAGTCATTTTTCCGAAATCAATGCAAATCACATTAGCAATTATTTCACTACTGAAATATGACTTTATTTATTATTTTTGAAGGACGAATTTATTTGAATTAATATGGTGGCATTATATGAAACATTTTACTGCATACAGTGCAAAAAGTACAATTTTCACAAAGATACGATTGTGCATGAAGATGTATTCACAGATAAAAATAGGGCGATTTTAAGAATTTCGAGAAAATGTCCAACGTTAAAAGATTATGCGTATTTAACGACTGTCTAATATATATGATGGAAAACTCATCAACAGTCAGGAGAAGTAGAATGGTACATTATTTACTGGATGTTTAAATGAACATCTCGAGAATTGCGCTCTTTGGCTAGCTGCCAAATTCGAACAAGTAATTGCACAATTAATTGAGATTCCAGCAGTTTTTTCAAGTAATTTATAAAAATGCCATCTGTAAGGCATTTGAAAAGACTGACTTCATGTTTGAAATTGAGTCAAGCAATGACTGATATAAATAATATTGCTTATATTAAAAGTAAATGTAATGCGCTGTCAAACAAAGAATGCATTGTGAATCTTCTCATTGTTCTGTATCTACTTACCTCAACTGCCTTCAGCGAGTGAAATTCCATTGCTGTGAGCTTCTGTTTGTAAGCCTCTGAATTGAGAAGAAATCATTGTGAGAATGCTGAATTTGTGCTTAATTTGTTTGTGAATATCTGCTCTACAAGAAATGCTACAATGCTAATCGGGAATATAGTGTTCATGAAATAGCGTTGTGTTTTGGTGTTTTATGTGTTTCTGATGGTTAAAAAGTTATATGGTGGTGTTCTCCAATCTATGTGGTTCCAGCGGTGCAATATTTGGGTACTCTTTATTAGCTTTGTGCTTCAGTTAAAACTTCCTAAGTGCTGTATAGTATATCATTCATATTAATCGATTGTGTTCATATTGAAAGGTTGGTTTTCAGAATTAATTCATATAAAACCAAAAATAACATACAATGTTAAGGCACTTTAATACAGAAGCAACAACAATTCAGACTGTTATGGCATGTTCATTATTTTCAAAATACTACAAAAAAAATTAGACTGGTACCAGTACTTAATATGACTGCTGAAGATGACTTGAATATATGTAATAGCAAGAAGAAATATATTAAAATTAATAATAACGCATATTCTATAGTACAGTCAAAAGTCGTTAATCCGGACTCGTCGGGACTTCGGCAATTCCGGATTATCGATTTTTCCGGATTATAGATCATCAGTTTAAATCGCGTAAAATGGCATGCAGAAATTCTAAAATTAAAAATATGAAACCATAATTTATGAAATAAAGAACAATTATGATCTAAAGGGTATCAAAATTTACAAAAAAAAGCTTAATATTTATTTGTGTACTTTATTAAACATTTCTTTCAATGTAAGTTGTTTAAGTTACTTCGTTTTATGTGCTAATACTTTCTCTTTAATTCTATAAACAGACATAATTTTTTTCACTTACAAAGTTGCGCTGTTCAAGTCCCGTTAATTGCTGTGCCGAGAATACCGACTAACTTGTCAATCGAAATTTTTTCGTTTTCACTAACCTCTCTGTCACATTCTGTATGTCTTAATCCATTTTTGCAGCAATTCCACTTTTTGTTTGTTGGATATCGAAACATACTTTCGTTTTGTAGATCCTTTGGAAGTTCCAGCATCGGAAATTCTATTTGACATAATCGAAAGTTCAAGTTTACTTTTATAAAATTGCTCTTACAGTCTGCAAAAAATAATAAGCGAGATCCAAAATCGAAGATTAAGGAACAAAGCAATCATTAACATTAACTGAAATAGATAATTAGATAATTTTAGCTTACACAGTCCGTTATACATTAAACGCGCAGGCGAAAACGTATTCTGCACTTGCGCACACGCATATGCGCAGTAGTCAAGGTCTTACGCGCATGCGTAAAACGCCTGTGCGCATGTGCCAAAGAGGCGCATGCGCAGAAAGTTTTTAGCTTTGAGGTCCGGATTATAGATCATTTCGGATTATGGGTGTCCGAATTAACGACTTTTGACTGTATATTGTCTTTTGTATAGTATGTAGAACAGGTTAATGATTTTAAACAGTGTATGAAATGTATGATCGAAAAACTAGTGTTAAGGAAACATTAGCATTTCTGTGAAATATTGTAATCTATAATTATGTGATATTTAATAGTGTAATATTAAAAACACTAAATATTTTTTATTGATTGCAAATTGCAGTTTTATTACTTTTCGTTTGGTATCTGTTCTTTTAAACATTATGTAATTCGCGTTTTTAAATATTGCCTTTATGTATGTTTATTAGATTATCTCAATAAATGAATGTTGAAAATTAGGTTTTATATTTTATTAAATTTAAGTATATTCTATTTTCTTCACTTACTTTTTATGTGCTTGTGATAACAAAGAAATTCATAATAAATAGAAACAAAAAGTTTCATCGTGTGCTATTTATATTTAACAAAGAACTTACTTTAACATACTTACTATCGTATACTATATTATTTAAATTATTTCTGTACAAAATTATAAAAAGGGCTTGAAATAATCATTGTAATCTACCACTATTCTAAAATGTAGAAACTAAAAATAAGTGAATACATTAACATATGATCGAAAGAAACGGTGTTAAAAAAAACAGCATTACTAGTAAATTCTGCAATCCATAATTATTGCATTTTTAATTGCTTACTATTTAAAAAACACAAATATTTTTTTTATTAATTGGAAGTTTTAGTTCTCTTACCTTCCTTCTGCTATTTATACTTTCAAACACTACTAGTTCATGTTTTTTCTTAAATAGTGCTGTCATGCATGTTGTTTGTTAGGTTATTATTTCATTTTACATATGAATATGGGAAGTTATTAGATTTAAGTATATTTTTGTATGAAATATTTTTACACATTTATTTACTACTTTATACAGTCTTTCATTTGCATATCTTGGAGATATAGAAGTTAATGGTTATATTTTTTACTGTGAAACGCAAATAAATTTATATTTGAGTTCAGGTAAAATACTGATTTTCTTACCTTAAGAACCATTTCCTAATTTATCATGACAGGCAATTTTCAATGTCTCGGAGATTTAACAGAAATAAATGTGATAATGCTGATATCAAAAATGCTCTTTTTTTACCCACATATATCTCGTTACTTTTATTCGTGTCTAATTGAGTTTTATTTACTTAAAACCTACTATTAATGTCATACAGTACAAAGTTCATAATTCGGACATCCATTATCCAGAATGATCTGTAGTCCAGACCTCAAAGCCACAAACTTTACTTATGCGTGAATTGAAAGAAATGTTTAATAATGTAAACAAATAAATATTAAGCTTTTTTTTTTTTTTTTTTTAAAATTTGATACTATTTAGATCATAATTGCTCTTTATTTCATAAATTACGGTTTCATATTTTTAACTGTATAATTTCTGCATGCCATCTTACCAGATTTAAATTGATGATCTATAATCTGGAATCGCTGAAGTCCCAACGAGTCTGGATTATGGACTTTGTACTGTATATCTATAATAACCACTTTCATAAGTACTCATTTCATAATTACTTAAGGAAAAAAAATGATGAAATCTTAAATAATCGTAACTTAGAATTTAAGTTATTTAAAAAATATAGTTTAAAGTACTGAAAATAAATTAATTCTATTATTAATTATGCATATTTAGTCTAAAGAGAAAAAATTGTATTTTCTTTTGGTTTTCTGGAAATGATAAAATATTTAACTTTTTGAAAAATACAAGGAATGCAAAATTTTAAAAAAGAAGAAAAATATATTAATTATTAAGCTTATTTTTCTGCATAAATCAATATGTAACACAAGGACATAATAACGACATTTTCACAACTATTGCAAAAAAGTGGAATTTTGCAAACATTAAGGTGTCGTTAAGATATCATGATACAATGCTTTCACAACCAAAATATCACCTGCGAAAGATGCAATAATGACATCTATGCTACAAAAACCTCATCTATGCTACAAAAACCTCTCAAGACATAATAAAGATGTCTTTGCAACAGTTACAAAACAGTTACGCGGACATCTGGGCATCTTAAAGACGACATATTACAACGTTTTTGCAACACGACTCGCGACCAGTTTGCAATGATTTGGAATTTTTTTGTTAATAGAACTAAAATTTCTTTATTTTCATTTTCAGCCTTCCTTATGCATTTTAAACTTGAAAGACTGCTCCTTCACTGCACCTTCATATAATGTATGTGCTGGCTATATTTTTCAGTGATTTAATACTATCAACTCTTATAAAGGTTTTTAAAAACTTTCTGCAGAAAACTTTGTTCTTAATACTCATAATAATACAAGTTGCTCAATAAGTTGGATATTTTATTGCTAAAATAAAATCTGTGTCAGTCAGTATATATATATATATATATATATTTAAACAAATTTTAATTTTAATTTTAACAAACACGTATAAAAGTAAAAAAGCAAATTTAAAGTCAAAATAAAGAAAAAAAGCCAAAATAATTTTTAAAAATGTGCAAAAATATAAAAGATTTAATTTCCGAACTAATCTACAATATCATTTAAATTCAGAAACATAAGCAAATCAAGTGCAAAACCAATCCATGAAAATAAATTCACTAATTTAGCAAATTAAAATTAAACTAAACAATTTTTTTTTATGCATAGTGAATGACTGTTGAGTAGGCAGGAGACAGACTTATCAAGGGGAAGTTGCCTCCAAACCTAACTCTCCAATCATTCAATTCGTGTTTCGTCATTCATGCAGGCAAGGGTAAAAGTCAAAACCAAAAGTAAAAAGAAATACCAATAAAGTGGTACCCTTAGAAATTAACATTTAAGAATTAAAGTTCTAAAAGGAAAATACTAATGAAGTCTTTTAAGAAACAAGCAAGTAAAGTCAAGTATTAAATTAAACTTTTTTTTTAAAAATTAAATTTTTAAAAAAAATTAATTTTTTATAAAAAAAAATAATCTAGAAACCAATGTATTTTAGAAACCCTTGTCTTGTATTTTAGAAACCCTTGTTTGGGGGCAACTTCCCCTTGATAAGTCTGTCTCCTGCCTACTCAACAGTCATTCACATATGCATTTTAAAAAAATTGTTTAGTTTAATTTTAATTTGCTAAATTAGTGAATTTATTTTCATGGATTGGTTTTGCACTTGATTTGCTTATGCTTCTGAATTTAAATGATATTGTAGATTAGTTCGGAAATTAAATCTTTTATATGTTTGCACATTTTTTTAAAATTATTTTAAAAATTATTTTGGCTTTTTTTCTTTATTTTGGCTTTTTTTTTTTTTTTTTGGACTTGACATAAATTTGCTTTTTTACTTTTATACGTGTTTGTTAAAATTTAAATTTAAATGTCATTCCTTGCAGCAATGGCACAAAGAATATTTATTTAAATTGTATTTAAATAAATTTATTTAATTTTTTCTTATGAAACATTTATATATATATATTTTAAATGTCACTCAGTTTTACTTGGTATGTTGTTTTTCCCCATCTTATATTATTGTTTTAAGATTTCTTTGATATATATATAAATGATTTTAAAACAAACTTTAATCAAGTTACTAATAGTTATAAATAAATAAATTAACCAACAATAATAAGTAAAGAAATTTAGATATTAAATTTATTATTTTTTAGGTACTATACTTATTTCATTCAGGTTAAGTACTTTGTTATCTTTTCATATAAAACATATGAGCCAAAATAACCTGTAAAATACTGATCTGTCTCAATGGAGTGTGATATGCTAATATTGCTACCAGATGTCACCTACAGTATCACTGAGAAACATGAATAAATTATACCTTTGGCATAACTGCCAGCTCTTCTGTTTCATTGTGAGGCTTCCAGTTTTTTTTCGCGTCTTGCGGTTTTTAATTTTAAGCCTTTACTGAGAAAAATATTCCTGAGCAATAAATGAAAATTATTGAATTAAAGAAACCTAAATTAGGCAAATTCCATTCCTCCATTCCTACATTTTCAGCATAATTTATCTGTTACCATTTAATTTGATCTGATTTGTCTTAATCTACAGTAGATGTTTGTAGAATTTTTTACAAAGGTCCCACCCATTTTAAATAAATAATATTTGCATTTAGCCCTCTGAGCAGCATGGGTTTGGGGATCTGTCATGAAGATTTGTATTTAAACAGCCTTTATTAGCTAAATTTGTATAATTACTTACTTTCGTCTCTATTTTCTTTCGTCTCTATAAATAATATTTGCATTTAGCCCTCTGAGCAGCATGGGTTTGGGGATCTGTCATGAAGATTTGTATTTAAACAGCCTTTATTAGCTAAATTTGTATAATTACTTACTTTCATCTCTATTTTCATAAACTTCCATTCATTAAGATGGCATTTATATTATTAAAGAAACTAAGAAAGCAGAACATCTTAAATTTTAAGCTAATATATACCAAGTGACAAAAAATCTCATGACCAGATAAAGCTGGTCATGGCACTCAGAGGATTAATTTTGTTTTGCATCTGCATATAGTACATTACCAAATTTATCCACACAATAGTATATATATTAATTGTTAATTTAAATTTCATCATGTTTAAAAGTTCTCCTTCCATGTTTTGGATTTTCCCAGGATAAAAGTGTAAGGAAATTACAAGGGAAAAAAATGTAAAATTTCTAATTAAGTATTAATGTATTTTTCATCATATTATAAATAGTTCAGTAACCTGACTCATGCATTATAAAATGAATTTAATTCAGCTTTAAGATCCTTCAAAATAACTGCATTGTACAGTTCATGAACCTCCCAGAAACTTTCAGCTTTCACAGAAGAACCTCCTGAGCTTTCATATTTCAAGTGAGGTAGCTATGCCACAGTAAACCCTATTATTTTACACTTTTTTTTTTTTTTTTTTTTTTTTTTTTTTTTTTTTTTTTTTTTTTTAAGTTATATGACTGGTGTTATAATTAACTGGAAGGAACTTGGAGTTTGAATGTAATTTTGTTGCAAGTCAATGGGAAAATAGCAGCAGAGACCTACCAAATATTAAAACAAGCATTTAGGGAGGAAACTATATTCATACTCCAATTTGTCAATATTTCAAGTAGTTTTAAAATGGAAGAATGTCTGCTGGGAATTACGAATATTCTTTTTTTAAATAAAATAGAACTTCTGAAAAAATCCATGAGGATTTCCATTTAACAGTTAATAAACCTTTATGCGGCCTTTAATCAGTCTTTCAAAACTTGTAGGCAAATTTTAATGGATAAACTACAAGTGTGATGCATTGCAGCAAAATTCATGGTCTTCTGATGATTAAAAAAAGGGAATTAAATATGCCCAGAATTTAAACAATGGTGTGAAAAGGACTGAAACTTCAGGTCATGGTTAGAGGTGAAACAAAAATATATATTTATGACCCTGAAAGGAAATGGCAGTCATCTCAGTGGGACTCACTGAATTCATTATAATTGAATAACATATGTCATGTCTGGAGTAACTCAAAACCATGCTGATTTTTTTCTTCCCTTTTTGAACAATAGGCTTGTCCACAAGGAAGCTATCCTAGAAGGACAAAATGTGAAGGAGCTGTATTAATGGAATGTTTTGAAATATGCAGTTTAGAGAATAGGTTTAACGAAAATGTCACAGATCTGGAAAAAAGTATGTGGATGACCACCATTGCGGTGTACCAGCTCATTCTTCACTTGTATGCCAAATTCTGACTTTCACATATATGGCTGTCATTTCCCACTCTTTTAATGACTCAGCTTACTCTCTGCAGTTCCCCTCCCCCCCCAAAAAAACGGAAATGAAGCTGAAGAAGAAAATATCTGAGGTAATAGATGATATTAAAAAGGTAATGCAGGATGTACTGAAAGAAATGACTGAAAATTGTTTTCATGTATACTTCCAAGTATTAAAATGATGATGAACATCAATAAACTTATGCTTCAAATGCAGCAGCAGACTACTTCAAAGGAGATTAATTTTGTAAAATTGTCTTGAAAATATATTTTTAATAAATTTCTGGGAACTTTTGGCTCATACTTTATATGATAAGATTTGATAAATTCATCATTTAATGTTACTAATGAAATTGTTTTTCAGGGACGCATTCTTTCCAATATAGATCAAAGAATAAGGATACTTCCTTTAGATGGGCCTGTTTTTAGCATCATTGTTGGGTAATTAACTTTCATATTTTAAATTGCAAATATGTGAAATAGTACTCTAATATAGGACATACTTTGCAAATACATAAAAGATTGAGAAATATAATATTAAGATAGTCACAAAAATATGACAGCATATTCAGTACAGATCCAATATTATAGAGGATGATTAGGGAAGAAAAAGTGAGGTATCAATTACAGCACTAAATATATCTGCTACAAGTAGCTAATTATATTAACATTCATGCTGTATTGGCTTAAATAATTAAGTTTTGAGTGGCATTTTTTATATTTCCTTCTACATGAGCTGAGGTAGAGTGAAGTCCTACTTGAGCTGAAGAAAAAAATATGGCAAAAGATTGAAGACAAAAACATTAAATTCATACAGGCTACTTAGTCCAGTTTTGATGACTGATAAATATGCTGAATGTCAAAGATGTATTTCTGGGATTTATCTTGACTTGTCTCATTTTGATGAATATGTGAATTCCCTAAATATCAAAATACTTCCTTAATTAGAAAATTCATACATTCATACCACATGAGGTCGTACTTCATATCGTGGCAAAATGGCTCGGCTCTGTCATTTGGGGGTTATTTCAGAAGTTCTGCCATTTTTAGCAATCATCAGATTAAGAAAATATTTATTAATCATGGTATAATCATTCTAACTTCCCCTATTTATCTCATTTTCAAAAACTTATCAAAGAATATTAACCGTTATTGTACTCAGTCTAAATTATATCAGTAATCTTCACATTCAAAATATAATCATTCCTGTCATGATGACATCCTCCCAAAAATGACCAGTATTTCTGAGAACATAAATAAACACTAGTTTGGTGTTAAACATAAATAAACACATGGTTGTTTTAGGAAAGATTGAAATTTTTATTCATAACTACTCCTATTGAATAAAAGAAATGGTATGCCACTGATATCGGCTGTATATCTTTTCAAAAAAAGAAATTTTATTGAAAGCTCTGTATCATTGTTACTATTTAAATCTGCATCAAGAATCCTTTTATAATATACAGTACTAATTTTGAATGATATATAAAGATTATCAAGACATGGTTGAGTAATATTCAGAGCTGTGACTGTCTGCAAATATAATACCAACATGTAAGTGTCTGTAGAATTAATGAAAATTTAAGAAATGAGCTTGAGTGTATATATCTAGAAAATGGGAGTAGTTTGGGACTGGGGTATTATAGCAACATAAACTTCCAGTGTGTAGCTTTAATGTTTGGAATTTAGTATATGTATTTGATAAAATCATGATGAAGTTGATATTTGTTACAATAAAGTATTCCTAGACGTGCTGCCGGTCATAAAAGTGGCTAATATACTTGCTACATGAGAAGTTTAGAAATATAATATTCTGAGGTGCCATTTTGCTATCAGGACCAGATTCAGAAATGTCTTAATGTGTGTGCGTTTACAGTACAAAGTCTTTAATCCGGAATGATCTGTAATCCGGACCTCAAAGCTAAAAAGTTTCTGCGCATGCGTCAACGCATGCGCATAATACCTTTACCCATGCATATACGCATTTACGCATGCACATAATACGTTTATGCATGCATTTAATGTATAACGGATAGTGATGAGTCTGTACTACCGAACCGGGTATTTTGTAACGGGTACTGAAAAATCGGTACGTCCAAGTACCCGTTACTTCAGTACCAAAATTGGTACTTTTCGGTATTCGTTACTTCTGTACCGAAACGGGTACTTTTCGGTATTCGTTACTTCTGTACCGAAACGGGCACTTTTCGGTATTCATTACTTCTGTACCGAAATGGATACTTTTCGGTATTCGTTACTTCTGTACCGAAACGGGTGCTTTTCGGTATTCGTTACTTTGTAACGAAAATATGCGTCTCTTCTCAGTATTTCGGTATTCGTTACTGGAGGATCGATGAGGGTTCAGCTCACTTCGGTTTTGGTACGAGGACAGTAGTATCTGGTTGTATTTGTGAAATGGTGATATGCGCTCCTTGTGTCCATGAATGGTCTGCTCATCAGACACTTCCGTAGTTGACATGTTTTCTGATATTCAAAATCTTACTCCGTACAGATAAAGTCAAACACGTGGTGACGTGGCAGAGTTCCTTCAGTGCGCAAAATCGTTAGCTGCGTATTTCGGTACTCCAAATCGTTACTAGGGCACTTCGGTACTCCAAATCGTTACTAGGGTACTTTGGTACTCCAAATCGTTACTAAGGTACTTCGGTACTCCAAATCAGTACTAGGTACTCCGGTACAGTAAACCGTTACTAGGTACTCCGGTACAGAAAACCGTTACTCCGGTATTTCGTTACTTCGGTACTCCAAATCGTTACTTGGGTACTCAGTACTTGAAATCGGTTTTCGGTACTTTTCAAAGTAACGGTTACTTGAGTAATATTATTTACGGTATTTTGTACCGGGTACTTGTCTGTACCCATTACTCTCGTACCGGGTACTCTGTCATGTACAGAAGTTGCCCATCACTAATAACGGACGGTATAAGCTAGGCTAAAATTATCTAATTATCTATTTCAGTTAATGTTGCAGATTGCATTGTTCCTTAATCTTCTAATTGGATCCATCTTATTATTTTTTGCAGACTGTTAGAGCAGTTTTATAAAAAGTAAGCTTGAACTTTCAATTATGTCAAAAAGAGTGTCCGATTCTGGAGCTGCCAAAGGATCTACAAAGCGAAAGCATGTTTCGATGTACCGCTTCTGATAGTGAAGAAAGTGACAGAGAGGTTATTGAAAACGAAAAAATTTCGATTGACAGGTTAGTCGGTATTCTCGACACAGCAATTACAGGACTTGAACAGTGGAACTGAACAAGAAATTATGTCTGTTTATAGAATTAAAGAGAAAGTATTAGCACAAAAAATGAAGCAACTTAAACAACTTACACTGAACGAAATGTTTAATAAAGTAAAATAAATATTAAGCTTTTTTTTTTTTTGTAAATTTTGATAACCCTTTAGATCATAATTGCTCTTTATTTCATAAATTACGGTTTTCATATTTTTAATTTTATAATTTCTGCATGCCATCTTACCAGATTTAAATTATGATCTATAGTCCGGAAAAACCTCTAATCCGGAATCACCGAAGTCCCGACGAGTTCGGATTAAAGACTTTGTACTGTATGTGTATATGTATACACACACATACATTTGTGCTTACATATATACCTGCATACATGAACACATCCATCCATACATACATTCATACATACATTTTTGGATCCGGTCCTGATAACAGAATAGTACCTATTCTGTAATGTAAGTTTAAATCACAGAAGAAAATCTTGTATGCCAAATTCCTGATTATTTATGTTAATTAATCTATATAATTGTATTTAACTAAATATGTGTAAAATTGTGTAAATAAAACTATCAACTAAATCTGTGTAAAATCAAGATATTTACTTAAATTTACTTAGAGTATGGTTTTTAATACGTTTAATTACTTTTTTTTTTTTTTGAACATCTTCTTATTAATCTATTATTTGTGAGGCAAGATCGTGTGTTAAATATTTTTTCAAATACTTTCACTTATACATAATTCATCACAGTATATCTTACAAAAATTACCTTAAGCATCTTAAGTTTTAGCTAATGAAATTTAGAATACATTAAGTTTCTAGTTAAATTTACAGGAGCATATGTGATAATACATACAGTATCTAAGTCCAAAAATTGGATGTTCAATATTCGGACTTAAAAAAAAAAAGCAGCACTTTATTTTTTAAACAATATGTTGGTAATGATAATAAATAGTAAAAAAAAAAAAAACCCATCTGTGCCATAAAAGGTAAAAGCGATTTTTCTGCCAATTAGCTGGTATTCCTGTATGTCACTTTAATGACAATATTTTGTTGAATTGTTCAATGAATACTTGGATACTTAAATTAAAACTGTAGCAGCTGTTTCTGGGATAAGCATAACTGGTTGAAAATTCTTCAGACAGTCTCCTAAGAGAATCTGAAAGAGGAGACACTTTCATTTCTCACAAAGTCATTGCAAAGCGAGATGATGATCTGGTCAAGTACGAGAGTAATTTTGGTGGAGGGGGAGGCAAACATCTGTATTTGGAGGGCAGTTCTTCTGGAAAGAAAAATAGGCACATGATCTTAAGAAAAAACCAGGATCATTGGACTATTGTTCATTAAGCCTCATGTATTTTGCTAAACAGAATTTGGCAAAATACATGAGGCAATAAGATGAGTCCAACTTTGTAAATGAAGTATACAGTACAAAGTCTGTAATCCGGACGTAGAAATGTTTAATAAAGTAATCCGGAAAAACCCCTAATCCAGAATCGCCGAAGTCCCGACGGTTTCTGATTACTTTGTACTGTAGTATTAAAATAATTATCTATTTACTTGCAACACACTGAGTATCATCACTGGTGCACTTGCTTAGCTTGGCATTTCTTTCTACGGAATCACAATATGACTTACGTTAGCCATAACTACTCTTCTGGCCCTTAAGTAGTTGTGGAGGGGCAAAGTACATTTTTGTATGTGACCTAAACATAATGTGAAGCACCAAGATATACGTATTCGAAATGGAATGTTGCTCATACAGGTTTTTGTTTGTTGGCAGAGTAAAAAGAAGAAATAATAGATTTCAAGGAACTGAATATCAGTTTTAACATAGAAAATTGTGTTCTTCCTTAAATTTCCAATATGATCAAGCTTATTATTTTTTCACAGGTTATAATTATTAGGGTTATCTCATGAAAATTAAAATTTAGTTTCTGTTTATATCTAAAGAGCTTCTAATTCTGGAATTGTCGCAGGATGTGCAAAGTGAAACCATATTTAGTTCTAGCCTTCTATAGCAGCCTTGACTTATTTCAGGTTTAAGAAAGTGCAATTTCAAAATTAGGTTAAGCAAGTAAACTTATTTTGATATAAAATTTGAATGCTGTAGAAGATGAAATTTTCAAATTAATGTAATTTTCAAAAAAATGCAGAGAAGTGATAATAAAGTGAATTGCCATAACAGAAGTTTTCCATTCTGATCACAGTGCCGAAATCAACTAACGGGTCTCATTTATGCCCTATTAATAGCATTGTACTATATTAATGCCATGTATTAACTATATTGACATGCTTAATTTATTGCTGCTGATCATTAAATTTTATTCTTTTCGAAATCCCGGGATTTAATCGAGAAATCCCTTGGATTGGGCTTCTAAGATGTTATTCTCCTCTTTCTGTACTATGAACCCCCTGGAATAGCTTTTATATTGAACAGTATTTAAGAGGCATATATATTTCCTCAAAAATATTAACTCATATAAGCATGTCTTGTTTGGGATTCGAGTCTGAGTGCGTCAGGGTTGAAGCAGAAAATATCGCTACCAATAGTGAAGAAAGTGACAAAGATGCTTTGAAAATGAAAAGATTTTGATGGACAGTTTAGTGAAGAATTCTAAATGTGGCAATTTCAAGAGTTGAACAGTGGAACTTTGTAACTGAACAAGAAATTATATCTTTCTATAAAATTAAAGAGAAAATATTGACTACAAAAACAAAGCAGCTTAAACAACTACGTTAAAAGAAAAGTTTAATGAAACAAATAAGTAAATATTAACCATTTTTGTTAAATTTTGATTCTCTTAAGGTCATAAATGCTTCCTTATTTCATAAGCAACTTTTTAGCATTTTTAATTTCATAATTTCTACATGTTATCTTCCTAGATGATCTAAAATCCAAAACTGCTAAAATCTCGGCAGGTCCAGATCTCAGATATTGTATTCCATTGTGTGTGTTTGTTTTTGTGTGTTGAGTATAAACAACCAAAAGCTTATTCCTCCTTTTTTTTTCTTTTCTTTTTAGTGTCTTGTCAGAAGTTGAGAGGATTGTAATGTGGTGGCAAGCAGTAACTTCAACTCCTTATTATACCTCAGCTATAACAGATCATGTTCTGTCCAAAGATTTTACTCGATTAGATATGATGATAATAGAGGTAACATATTAAACTGTTTTACCATTAAAATTTATGTTTTAAAAGTTATCTTTGAAATGTGAAATGAAACTCTTTTAAGTGGAAAACAGATTTCCCTTGTACTTAGACATTAGAACATTTTAAACTGAATACCTTCTTAAATAAATTCATAAATTTAAGGAACGTATATACATTATAAAATAAGCACTTTTAGATGGAAAAGTTTTTTATTAGTTATGTATACTGAATCCAGATAATTAATTGTATATGGATAAATAAAAGTGAAACATATCAAGTAAGCAAGCTATTTCACTATACAGATAAATTAAATTAATGTATAAAATTTAATTAGTTTCTATAAAATTCTAAACATTCACAAATTTATGCATGTCATCAATATGAAATATAATGTCATATATGAAGCTGCTTAGCACCCAAGTACACACTTATGTTGTTGTTTCAAAATGTGTGGTTATAAAAAACCTGAGATAGTAAAACTTTAAAATGTAGTTTAAAGAAATTAAATGATGGATACTAAAGAGACCCAAAGTTGTATAAAGTCATTTAAAAACATCAAGAAGCTTAATAGGAATCATAACATTAAAAGTCCTTTTTTGAATTTCTTTGAAATAGTATTTCAACGTTCTCCAGTATGGTTATGGAAAATACATTATTAAGAATGCAGCAATCCAGTGTGTAGATTTTCATGACGAATTTTGATGGTGGCAACGTCTGTTGACAGTAATTAGAAGCACTGTACTTTCAATTGGTTGATATCAAACTGCTGATCTATAAGGAGTTTGGGGCGGCAAGTGTTATAGTGTTATGTTTTCTAGCTCACTGAATTGCTCCAAATCTGTATACCAAATTTGTCATGTTTTTTCCTGAAAGCAAGCATAATTGCTACATAGTCCTTTTATGCACTGTACAATATTTGAAACTTCTATTTAGCATGTTACTTTGAAAGAGGTAGTTATGAACACTGATAATCTGATGAACATATACTCAAGAGTGTATGAACTATCCATAGTGAATTGTAGCATATTAGGAAATAGAAAGGAATAGTGTGTCACATCAGATAACACCAGTCTGCTGCTGTATATTTTATGAATTTTAAATTATGAGAGCTGGTTTCATCTATTAAAAAAATGGAAATGCCATAGTATTCATTGACTTAGATCCTTCAAACCTTAGATCTTTATTCTCTTAAGTGAGTTCTTCATCAAGTTTTCTAAAAGCATGCTTCAAGTAGAGATGTCTTTCCTATGAACTAATGGTATCACTAGATTACTACTTCTTCCTCAGTCAACATTGCATCGAAAACATGAATTATGACAACTGCAATCAGATCTTTCATAACCCATGTGAACTACCTTCTGTCAAACCATATTATCTAGTTTTAATAAAATCTATCTTTTGGGGTGAAAAAAGAGTTTTTTAATCTGATTATTGATTTATTTATGTAAGTTAAAACAGCAGATCACATTTTTTTAATATTTTTCCTTGTTCTAATGATGATCATAATTATCATGGAACTTTGAATTTGCCTAAAAATCTGCTTAACCAAAATGGTGAAAGAGTATAGCATTGAATTTTACAATTGGAAAATTTATCATCCCCATCATTTTAAGTACTTATTATTATGATGAAAAGAAGACATTATAATAATACAGATAATATACATTATGATAACTATGTAGAGTGTGCAGAAATAGTACACTCTAAAATCTCTGCCTAAAGAGTCTAATACAGATAATATACATTATGATAACTATGTAGAGTATGCAGAAATAGTACACTCTAAAATCTCTGCCTAAAGAGTCTGATATTCATGCTGTTCATTGGGGATAATACAGCATAGCTATTCATGAGCATTGCAAGAAAAACAGAAAAAAAGTTCATTATTAATACCAATATACATATATATATATATATATATAAAGTATTGTAATAGCAATATATAAATGTATTGTACCACTTCCTTCTCCCCCCCCCATAACAATGTTAAATACATTTATTTTTAATCAGTTGCCAATGTAAAATTTTAAATTAGACAAAACTTTTTGTACTTTTGAAGAAGAAGGATCTGTGTCTGATTGTCGTCTAAATCTATGCCAAATAAAGATTGTCTTTTTTGGTCTAATTTTAAATATCTATTTTAACTTTAAATTGCTGAAAATAATTCTTATAGCTTATTCAAAATAGCATCATCCAAAATGATACCACCTTTACCTAACAAAATAGGCTGCTGATTCTCATCTCATTTTAATGAATCTTAATACCTAACCATTAAAAGTATGTTTGGTAACCTATTACTATATTAAAAGTCGTGGATTAAAAATGCAGGCCACCAGATCTAAATTAGAGCTTTTTAAAACGGCCACAGCCCCCAAGGGATTTTGAGTGACCTTAGTTGAAACAGAAACAATACATTTTTTTTATTAAATAAAACTGTTATGAATATAACTTTATAATACTATTATACAAGGGGGCATAAAAAGTTTGGAGACTAGATCTGTAGCATGTCGATAGATAGCAGCACAAGCCTGCACATAAAGTCGCAGGGAGCACTGACCTCCATAAGTCAGCATGTCAAGAGACATCGCACTGTGTCCATCAACAGCTGTGCATCTCATGCTGTTGTGATGATGTGCATTACCGTGTTATTCCAACATGAGTAGTTAGTTTGAACAAAGAGCAAATAGGAAATTCTATGTGAGACTTGGCAAATCTGTCATTGAGATGTTGCACATGATGCAACACATACGTGGCTATCTGAAATTTTCAGATAGTTGAACTTTTACCATATTTAAAATAACTTCTGATATTAATATTTTGATTTAAATATTGGCTAGACTGTTCTTTGAAAGTATGTACAAAATTTTGATTTCAAAGCAGTCCCGGATCTAGGGGGGAGACAAGCCGGGGTCTGTGCCCCGGGCGGCAATTTCTGAGGGTGGCAAAATGAAGAGCGGCGCTGAATTGTATTTGGAATGTTGTCAAATTTTGATGTAACATTAGCAGTTTTAAAGCCAGGTTTAAAACCTCTTTTAAGAATATTTATAATTAATTACTTGAAACCTTTTAATGGAGCAAACAGTTTTAAAAGTAAGCTAAGTACAGCCGAACATGACTCTAAAGATAAGATCAGAGAGAGGACAATAGAGGGACTCCAAGCATCACTGAAAAAGTCAAAGTACCCTGTCCCTCTGCCAACCCAACATACAGTTTTATTACGAAGGTACTCCGTAAACACCTTGGGCTTTGGTCCCTGTAAGTGATGCCTGAAGCAGAGAATCTATATATCTTTCTCTTCAACTTCTTTACCTAGAGTCCTTCTGTTGTCCTCTCTTCTGGTGGGAATATTCAAATGAAAAACAGAACGATAGCATAGAGGCGCGTTGTTTTTATATCAACGCCTCTTACGAAATAAATGGAGAAGCATTGTAAATTGTAACACTTTCTTAACATCCAATACAAATTAACCTTGGACCAATGAAATAATTCAAATTAATATACATCGAGAATATACAACAGAAATGAAGTAAGGCATTTTGATTTTTTGCTGCCAGTCGGCAACCTAGGTTTTAAAAATGGATTTATTTATTTTTTATAGTTTTTAAAGTTTTTTTTTTTTTTTTTTTTAAATTTGGAGGGTGTTTTTTTTTTTTTTTTTGTGTGTGTGTGTGTGTGTGTGTGTGTGTGTGTGTCATTTTCTTTTAATATGCCTGCTTCTAGTATTCCTCGCTATATTTAGCGAGACACAACCACTTAGTTAGCGCACATGTCCGCTACGCTGCCCTAATACTGTTGATTGTAATTACGTCAATTTTTAGCTATTCTTATTAAGGCAAGTTATACTGTATATTATTTAGGGTTCAAGAAATCATAAGAGGGTCTAGGAAAAAACTGTCAGGGGCAGAATATAGAACCATAGCAAAAGAGAGGATTGAACAGAGAAAACAAATTATAGCTAAAATGAAAAATGGCTTCACGGAAAAGACAAAATGTCAGACCCTGCCGTAACTTCTGATGGTGCCGAGATTCTAAACAATATTGATATTTCTTGCAATTTGCATGACCAAGATGAAGAATCATCATCTATCATCCTCAAGCAGACTTCATTTCAGCAACTGAGAGAACAACTTTCTTCATAGACCCCCCAAACTAACATCTAGAGCACATGAAATTAGGATATAAAGTATTTTCTCATTTTTCAGTGTGCGCAGCGAAACAAAGAGTGAAAATCTTTTGATTTGTTGGACCCAGGGAGTTGGCCAGTCACAGAAAAAATGAACGATCAGCAGCGATCTTTCTTACAGTCAAGCTGCATTATTAGCCGAAAAGTATCCAGACAACATAGACCTTAGGTGCACTGAACGTGATGGAAGATATTTGACATCTTCATTGTATGAATATGAAGACTTAAATTATTTATTCTAAAACTAGAAATACAATTTTTTTACACCCTGTGAGATTTATCAGAAACATTCCACTGCCCTTACATCAGCATTGTGTACTACAACATTCACTTATTGGAAAAAAGCTTCAGAAAGGTTAACTGAGCACGAAATATCTGAAATCCCACTGAGAGTGCATGATTAAGTAGAAAATTCCACGATAACAAATGAAATAGTGTCAAGGCATCAGGACATTAAAAGACTAATTCACACAGAGAAAGAAAAATGGAAAAAGATCCTATAAGTGAGTATGGATGCTGTATTGTATCTCAACAAACTGTCTTTCTTTACGTGGATCTGATGAAACCCCTGGCAGTCTGCTCACAAAGTGTCGATGTTTGTGTACATCTGGTCACTGAGCATGTAACATACACATATAAAATACAACACATGGCGCAGACCGTTGATTAAAAAAGAAAATCTTTTTTGAAGAACCATGCAGCCTCAGTAAAGATGTTCTAAACAAAAACATCATGGGAAGTTGTTTACTGTGAAATCGCAACTTATATTGCTGGTAAGTGAGTTGTTTATTTTTATTGGAAGTGGCTAAAAATACGTATA